CTTCTGATTTTGGGCACAAGTCGGAGCATCTATTAAACGAGGAACAAAAGTAATAATAATTATAACAGAAATAAGAATAAAAAAAATTCAAACTTGTAGAAAACATAATGTTCATGTTTGTTTAAAGTAAACTTACACAAAATATTTAAAGCGAATGGAGCACTGATTCCTTCTCCTTCGGCATTAAACCCAACGCAAGAATAATTTCCGGCTGTGGCTCGCGTTACACCTTGTAATACTAAAGAGTGGTTACTTATTATGACGCCTTGCGAAATGTTGTGAGACAAAGGTTGCTCCTGAAAATAGTCAACCAAAATTAAACAAATTTAAAGAACATACTTGTTAAAGTCTTCCTTGAACTTACGTTGTGCCGCCATTCAATGCGAAATACATTTGGATGAGCCATTACGAGACAATCAAAGTACACATCAGTTCCCTCCCGCAAAGTACTGGGATCCAGAGATGTTCCTAGACGAACATATGCTTCGGGGACATCTGAAAGCGAATTAAATGAGTTAAGTAATGTTTGTGCAATTAATTTAATTATAAACAACATACATTGAATGTCAAGCTTCCAGCCATCTTCCAGAGGCTCGGAGGGGACAGCATGATTGTATGCCTTACATGACAAATACTTTCCCGCATCTGATTTACTAAGACTTATTGAAAGAGTACTTGTTGTCTGGTTGCCATCGCTTGAAGTCTAAAAGTTATATTACGTTTTAGATAAACAACACACTGAGTCCAGAAATACCGTCTTACCGTCTCTGTGGTCTTTTCAAGTCGAATACCATTCTGCCACCAAGTAATTACGGCCGGCGGCCTGGAGCCAGCACTTTGGCATAAAAGATCGTATCTTCGTCCAGCAGACAAAGGCTGATGAGCACCCAAGAGTCGGATATTTAAGGGAGCAACTGAAAAAGGGACATTTTATTCGTTTATAATTCATTGACTTAGTTTCGAGTTGAATAACTTGAAAAATCTAAATTAGTTAGTTGCTTAAATTAATATTTTGGTATATCAGTACTTACAATTCATGTCAATTTGAACTACTGCCTCCACGATTGGTGCTCGGGGATGGCTCAATGCCCTGCAGGTCAATCGCGAGTTCAGATCTTCCCTTCCCAGCGAAGGCAGAGTAATTTCGCACTCGATAATTTTCCCTCCTGCTAAATGAGCTAATTCGCATGGTATTTCAACACCATCGCGATACCAACTAATAGTGGGGGTTGGGTACCCTGAAATTTAAATAAACGTTGGGTATTCAGTTTATACACAAATAAAAGTACCACAGAATAAAAATTTATAGCAATATGACACGCTCTTGATGCTGATATTTGTCATCTGGTCAGAGCTCATTTTAATACAATGAAAATGAAATTTTTCATATTAAAATAAAGAATTTATTAACATTAAAATTACCAGAATCATCTTTCATTTTAATTTTTGGTAAATAAGTCTTTGATGAAAACTTATTAAATGTATGTATTATGCTTTAATTGTCTGCATTTTAACATTAATAAATTAAATTCTATTTCTCGATAAATATAACAACCAGTATGCCTAAATGACAATATACAAATTTTTAAAGTTTAACCTATAATACTTTAGGAAATCTAATTATATTATAAACCTGAAAACTATTAAAGTCAAATTAAAGGAACTCAATCCTTTTCTTACCTCCAATGACTTGGCATTTTAATGCCACAATGTCGCCTTCGCTATATGGTCCCACCACTGTTGACCGCTCCACATTAGCACTGTCTCTAATTATAACTTGCTTAGGCGGAGCTAATAGGGAAGATTAATAAATAGTAAATATAATATTATTAAGCTTAAAATCTAGTTTAGTTACTGTTTCTAAAGAATGGCATAAATGTATATGTGTGACTTGTAAGAAAAATCGTATTGAAACCAACTACTTACATATGACGTTAAGCCTGACACGGCTATTTATGGTTTGGGCTTTCAGGAAGTCCACTCTGCATCTATATGTTCCGGAATCAGAAGCTTGGGTGTTTTGAATAGAAAGTTTTCCGGGCTCCTTGTCGAATATAAAATAAGCTCTATCTCCGAAGACAGATTCATCAGACCATCTTTTCGGTGCCTTGGACACTCCGGCTCGTATATCAATGCTAAAAAGTAAGATTTATTTGTCAAGATCTAGGTCAGAAAAGTACACATATGACTGCACTTAGATTCAATAAATATGAAGAAGTTCTAAGAGCAATAAAAACCAATAAATTTGAGCCAATTTATTGATTTGTGCTCCCTTTTGTTTCGAGTTCAACACTTGTTCAACTTTGGTTTCTCGCAGGAAATGTTAGAAAGTTTACAAGTTTCTCATTAATTTACCTGTATATGGGGGTACCTTTGTCATCTCGGTACCATAAAACCAGTACAGGTTCATCCCCGTCATAAGTGGTTACATTGCATGGAAGATATATATTTTCACCAACTAGAGATTCAATTTGATGTATTGGTACTGTAAAGGAGGAATTCATATTTAAATTTTTTATTTTTATTTGAAAACCATACACTAATCCAATTTAAAATCGCTTTATATATACAAAAAACATATGGAAATATTCCGAATCACATTATACATTTCTTAGTTCCTCAACATTTATTGGTTGTCTGATATAAACTCTATATATTTACTTCATCATGATGAAAAGCCATTATAATTAATATATGATAAATAACTGTAACTCTTGAATGAAATTTCTTTGATGGTTTTTTTATTTTTAGTTTATAAGCAAATTTTTATGATTTTTGAGCTGGATATAAAAATACAAATTGATACAACATTTATTATATGAATTTATACTTTGGTAGAAAATAACCAAGTAAATTCAAACTTGGAATATTTAAGACTTATTACTTATGTTTTAAATTTCTATGCTAAATTTGACTTTTTTATTGAACTCAAACCTAACGAGACATTAAAGATTTTACTTTTGATACTGAAGTAATATAATTTAAGAATATTAGCATGACGTGTTGCCCACGTTAAATGTTTATATTTAAACCTTTACTAAACATTTAAATACATAATAAACTTACCGTCCTTACTGCCAAAGCTTGACTCTATAAGTTGAAGTGCCAACATAAATAGTAGCATCAACTCCATGTTGAACACTTTTTCGAGTTGCAATTATTCGCCGTTTACATTTAATTTGTGGCTTTAATTCACAATGACACTTTTAGGAAATTTTACATTCTTAATTGAATAGTAAGTTACATTTCATAAACTGAGTTTTCACGGCAGATGAGGGGACAGGACTCTTACACTTTGTGTGTGTGTGTGTGTGAGCGAGCACTCAATTATACATATACGTGGGATATAACATTGTATGTATAACACATAGCTTTATGTATTTTGAAATAGTTGAGTTCACTCCAGGACGTGCATATTTTTCATTTTCGTAGAGCACACTTGTCCTTAAACACTAAAAACTATTTAATTTAATAATCCAGCTTCCATGAATGGTCACAGAGATTCCATTTTATTAAATGTACATTCGTGCGTTTGTATTTTCGTCGTATGCACTTGTGTATGTTTGCCAAATTTCCAGGATACACTCTTTGCTACTATTGCTTATTTTTGCATGCGCACATTCACGGGTATCTGCCGGAGGGTTTTAAGTTATAGAAATACATTCTGCAACGCCGATTTATGCATATTATTTGAACAAAAAGTTAGATGGAAAATCCTGTTCACTGGAAGAAAGTTATATTACTTTTCTAACCGCGATCCGAAACTAACACGTCGAAATTCCATCGCACTACACCTGCAAACCTGGGCTAAAAAGCTTGTCGTCGGCGGGCGCATGCGTTTCGGCAGAGCTTTTGATGTAAACATTGCAACTATGACCTTTGTACATGTGTATGTACGTGCATCCGTCTGTCCTGTTCAATTTATCCTTTTTTCTCTCCATAAAATATGAGTAGTAATTTGTCGGCACCGAAACGTAAAGTTTAAATTGGACGCATCCAAGGATGCTCACTAATTATGGTGTTCATCGAATGTGGGAATGTTTTGGGTCTATATTTTCTCTTTTGTATCACTTCAGCTACCGCCGAAGTTATTTTATTTCAATAACAAGCTTAGACGGCACAGCAGAGAGGTGCAAGTCCGACCTTATAATGTATCCGCACATATACAGTGAAAGCTCTACGGGAGGACAGCTGCCGTTTATTCACCTATTCTCTCGACTTCTCCTCTCGCACAGATGAACGTAACGTCTTATCCTTTTTGCCGGACAAAGAAACTAAAACGGTCGGAGTCGGAGTCCGCCCAATGTATCTAGTTTCATTTCAATTGCGAGTACACATATCCGAGAGTTTTCGGGGCGGTAGGGTGGGTCATAAATGAGAAACAGTTGAAACTAATGGTAAACTTGTGGTAAACACAAGTTAATTTAGAATTAAATAACTTATTTTAAACATAAAGGGGAAGTTATATATTGATACACCTAAATCGAAGAAGAGAAAACTTTATATAAGTACGAGATAGTATAAGTTAACATTTTAAAATGTATTTTAAATAATAAATGAACTTTTAATTTATAGAAGGGTTTTCTCCAAATACTGTAAGTCTTATCTTAAGGTCTAACATAAAACATAACCTTTCTTGACGAAACTTTGAATTTATAAAATATGGTCTATTCTTTCTATTATATAGTCTTTTATTTTCAATATTTTAGTGGGTTTTCCCTTGGTACCTGGATTAAATACAGTGAATAATGCTATGATATAGTCGACCGTAGGCCGTCATTAATGTAGAATAATTTTTAAAATAATAAATTATTTAAAATAACTTAAAATACGCGAATTGATTTTGCAAAGGCCAAAATACTAGCTCATGCTAAATGATAAGGATTCTTGGTGCCAGGCTCTGGAAATATAGCTAGATCTGTCTAGAAATAGCTAATTTGGCAACACTGTCTGTCAAACTAGCACCCAGCAAAAAATACCACCTTTATGGAACTAGATTAATCGAACCAGTAGTATGCTTCAAATGCCATCTCGAACAAACTTTTTTTAATTCTTTTATGAAAATCGGTGTGCAAATTAAGATTTAAATAAGAAGCCGACGAGATACGTGTGAAAAATGGTTAATGACTCGGGTCTTTCGACTGTTGATGACTTGGAGAAAAAACTGAACACTGCCAAGCAGTCCCTGGTAATCCTAAATGAGAATATTCGCCGCATATCTGGTCGCGTCCATGTCCATACGAAGGATGCCCCCCATGCCCTGCAGAGGTATTGCTCCCAATTGGCGTTTGTTTATCAAATTAATGGTATTTTTTCTGCCCTTTCAGGACTGATAAATACAAATACAACCAAGATGCAAAGAAGAACAACGACAACAACGGCGGCGACAACAGGCAGTTCATGCGGAACGGTCCCGGGAACGGCCCCTTCAACAACAAGCGCCGCATATACGACTCCAAGTCGGTGACTCCCCGGTTTCCCATCGAGGAGAACGAAGGTCGTCCCCCGAGGATAAACTCCAGAGTCATTCGGGAACTGCCATCCAAAAAGGAGGTGGTAGAAGCGCAGGGAACAGATTCCGAGTCGCGGGCCCGAAATCGCAGGATGTTTGGATCTCTGCTGGGCACATTGCAGAAGTTCTGCCAGGAGGAATCGCGTCTGAAGAGCAAGGAGGACAAGAAAGCCGAGATAGAGAAGAAAGTGGAAAAGCAGGAGCTGCAGGAAAGGGCACTACTCAGGAAGGAGCGCGAATCGCTCTTCTTAAATAGGAAACAGAAGCAATTTGAGATCCGAAGATTGGAATATAAAATGGCCCGACTGAAGGACTTCAAGAGCTGGGAAGCAACGATGATATATTCCAAAAATAATATAAGAACCATAACTAAACCCCATCTCTTCTATCGGCCAAAAGCGCACTCTGCGATAACGGAGAAATTGCTAAGTAAAAGCAAAGGTGATGCCGACATCTTTATAGAATGCCGGCGCGAAGAATTAGAGGCCGAGCTCAGAAACTTGGAAAACATCAGCTTTATGAAAATGGAAGGCGGCGATAGCAGCATGATGGACACCAGCTTCTATGATGAACCCGATGATGATGATGAGCTATTGGGAAGTGGGGCCAATCGATAAGTGTAAGTAAGTTTAAGTCAACCAAAAGGAGGTCAGAAGATCGACTTGGTGTGGTCGGTAGTGGAGTTAGGTGGTGCCTTTGATTAATTTCTCGACCCATCACGATTCAACAAATAGTTTGGTTTTCAAAATGTTTCTCCAAAATTTAGATAATTGTAAGAAACACGTGGATTTATAGTGTACACACTTTTCAATTATCCGGTCATCATTCGTATTAATAAGTGCATCTTTTTAGTTGGGTATAAACATACATACCTATAGAATCGTTCATAACAACAGCTTGCAGACTTTTCTAGTTACCACTTTCATATGTTAATGTAATGTAATTATTATTCTTGTTTAAATTAAAGTCGACATAATCGCTTGTTTTAATATCCCATATAATGTTCTTTTTACAGCTTCATTGTATGGTAAATGAAGTTCGTGGAAAAATAATGATGCTATTATAGGAATAAAAGATTAAAACTAATTGGATTTCATAGAATAAGACCTTGGAAATGTTGTTTTACTCAGAGAATGCCGAGGGCGTCTACATGTTTGCCAAAAACTGATAAACATAATTTATTAAATAATTATTAATTAATAATTAAAAATGTATGTATTAAAAGTTTTTTAGCTGTTCTTAGAAAATTGTTCTATTTTGTCGTGGTAAGAAATATGCTTATCTATTTATATTTAAATATTATTTTATTTGATTTACAGTAATTTGTATATTTCAGCATGACAAAGGACGGCCTTCCTGGATAATAAAAAATAGATCTACTATTTTTCAATCGTACAAATCATATTTATTATTATTTAAAAAATGTTTCTCTGGATAAAAGCAAAGTTATAATAATTTAAATGCAATATTTACCTTAAAATTATGGACTGCAATTACGAAAATTCAAATGGCAGGGAAAATATTTTTATCGATAGTATCGATAAAAACATCGACTGGAGTTCTACCGCCAGCTGAGCGGTTAGGTCGCTTGATTTGTTTAATTTATACATAGTTTATGATGTGCGGTATAAACAATAAACTTTAATTAATAGACGCAACTCGGCTTTAGACAGCGCAGAGCGGCGGCATCCTCGTAATTGGCCAAATAGTAAATGTGCAAGGATTACAGAGTTAATCCGAAGCGCGTGCAGTCACAGGTTTTTTGCAAACTTTTCCTGATTGCTTATAAATTATTTAAAATGAGGGTTCTGCGTCGAGGAACAGTGCAGAAAATCGGATTAGGATGCTTTGTGGTCGGTTTGATGGTTACCTTCTACGTGATGAACGACGAGCAGGATGTGGATAAAAATGTTAAAATGTATGTATGTAGGTTTGTATCGTAAATGTGCTTGGATATTGATAAGCTTTCTTTCCTGTTTGCCCATTTAATAATGATAAAGAGACATTATCGAGCGATCCATACGGTCGGTGATGAATCAGGGTCAGTGCCGGCATCCACATCTACCCCTGGACAATCCGGACATCATGAGGTTCTACAAGCCTGTGGAGCGTATAAACTGTGGCGAAGGCCTGGATTGGGTGATGTGCGAGGTGGGCAGAATGAGAGATGAGGAACGCTGGTAATCATATTACTCACATCCCTTATTTCGACAGAAATCCATATGCTTTGTGCGCCCGGAGATTGCGGCCAGTCACGAGGATGTTACCTGCTCTTACACGGATATTATTCGTAAGTCTGACTACAAGGCACGCTTCGGGAGAACACTGCGCTTGAAGGAGCCCTATGTCCTGCAGGCCAGTGACTTTGTAAAGGTGGCCTGCCGCTCGAGCAGCGGCGAGAGGTAATATTTTCATGTATATGAATTTATAACCAAAAAAAAATATGTAATTCCCACTCTCAGTTGGTTTGGCATGGCCCATGGCATTCGTGACGCAGTACCTCGTCCCTCGTCCACGAATTTCTCACCGAATCTGGCCGTTCTCCCTCCCGAAGCTGTCGCCCAGGCTCAGCAGCAAATGCAACAGGAAGTGCCTACAGCGTCCTTCTACAACGTCCTTATGTTTGGCTTTGATTCGCTAAGCCGGAACGCCTTCATCCGGAAGCTACCGCGGACGTACGAATATCTTACGCAGCAATTGGGTGCCACTGTCCTTAAGGGCTACAATATTGTGGGTGATGGTACACCGCAGGCTTTAGTGCCGCTGCTAACGGGCTACACCGAACTGGAGCTGCCGGAGACGAGAAAGCGGTTTTCTGGAGCTGGCAGCGTGGACTCCTATCCCATGATATGGCAGGACTTTGCCCGCCTAGGCTACATGACCTCGTTCAACGAAGACCTACCCAATGTTGGCACTTTCACCTATCGCATGACCGGCTTCGAGAGTCAGCCTGTAGACCATTACTTGCGGACCTACTATATACAGGCGGAGCATATGGCCGCTGAGAGTCTACCCAACTGCATTGGCCACCAGCCGGACCATGTCACCATGCTGGAGTACACCAAAAATGTAGGTTGTTTGGGAGATTTCTCTGAGTTCCTTCTTTATTTAATTAATTATTTTCCTTTGGCAGTTCATGTTGAAGTATCGGGATGCGCCGCGCTTTGTCTTCAGCTTCCATGGTGGGCTCTCTCACGACTCTATTAACCTGATAGGTGCTGCCGATGATGATGTTCACGACTGGCTGGTGGCGCTCAAGGAGCGATCGCTACTCGACGACACCATTTTGATCATGATGGCCGATCACGGTAATCGCTTTGCTGAGGTTCGAGCCACATTGCAGGGCAAGCAGGAGGAGCGATTGCCGTTCTTCAGTTTTGCATTTCCCGAGACGTTTAAGAAAAGATTTCCGCAGGAGTACAAGAATTTCCTGGCCAACGAAGAACACCTTACAACGCCATTTGATATACACGCCACACTGCAGCACATTATAAGTAAGAAAGAAAATGTAGGAGCTCTTCAACTGTCTCATTTGTTCCCACTCTATAGAGTTGCAAACCGCCAGCAGTGATGATGATCAGTTGGGTGATGGCAACGGCATTAGAGCAGAGCTTGAGCAACGGCAACCAGAGATACACATCTCGGAGCTAGCTCGGGGACGCTCCATGTCGCTTCTTGACCCCATTCCAAGCAATCGATCATGTGCCGATGCCTACATAGAGCCTCATTGGTGCGCCTGCCTCAACTGGTTGCCGCTGCAGCTAAATGACACCCAGCACATGGGGATCATTCTCAAGGCCGCCCAGAGCATTGTAGATGCCATCAATACGGCCACTGTGGAGCAACGTCAGCTCTGTGCGTCTCTGAAGGTAGCTATATTTACATCGAACTTCTCTCCGCAAGTATGTTATTAATCTGTACGATTGTGCTCTGCTGTTTCTTTCCTCAGGTACTCCGTGTGAACTGGGCACTACGCCTGCAGCCACATAAGGAGTTGCTGCAGTTTAAAACGAACAGCGACCGGGACGGCTTTCTGGCGGATATGACGGGCCAGACGCTGGTTCGTGATGAAATGTACCAGCTGCAGCTCGTCACGGAGCCCGGCGAGGGGCTGTTCGAGGCAAGTGTCAGTTACAGCTTGCACACGTTCAGTGCCACAACAAAACTGACGGACATATCCAGAGTCAACAAGTATGGCAACCAGGCCCGGTGCATATACGATCGGGATCCGGAATTACGAAAGTATTGCTATTGTCGCGACTAGTCCGCGCGCACAAAATATCTAGTCCAAACCAGAGAACTGCTAAGCAATCAACAACTCGAATAGTATTTTGCACAACCTCCAAGCAAAGACCTTAAAATAACAAGATGTATAACAGGTACTGCGTGGGAAAAATTTGTATGGTGTTACTAATTTTCTTATTATAAGTTCTTTGCTCTAATTGTATGTGTTGTCGTTGTAGCTCTCAAAACTATTATTGCCTCTCTTAAGTTCAAAGATCTGCCTCAGTTTGTAATATATGTAGGTTCCTTTAATCAACGATTGTAGTATTGTTTCATTAAAAATACCATTTGTGTGTAATATGAATAAAATATAAGAAATGGTCATTCCAATTTCTTAGCACTTATTGTGGATATAATAATATTATATTCTTTTTTGTGGCAAGTAAGTTTTTCGTTTGGAGTTTACTATAAGTATATACGCATATAGAGGTGCGGGAAGTGGGATATGGGTTAAAATTAACTGCTTGCGTAAATTCGTAATCGCGTATATACAATATGCAACCAACCAATCGGCTTAGCAAACTATATATTCTTCCTTTGGTTTATACCTTAAATATCTTATACATTTCAAGGCTGATGCGAGCTTTTCAGACTCGCTCCACACTGCTGTACTCTGGAGTGACTTCCCTGGTTTCATTACTTATATTTAAATTAAGCCAGACCACGGTTCGTTCACAAAAATGTCAAATTTGGTTATAAGATGTTTCTTAGATGGTTAACTATATATTACTTGAGACAAATTTGTTATACTGAGCGATATTGAGATGATTCAAAATGAAAACAAAAGATAAGTAAATACGTAAATATCGTACAAAAGGAGTAATTTATTCGCAAAAAGATACTCAATAAATTAAATAGCGTATTTATATAAAAATGAAGCATCTAGTGTGGAAAAAAAGTTTGTTGTGTAAAGTAAAACAAATAAAATTACAAACGAATAGGAAACCAAAACGCATATGTCTAAATGTGATCTTAAATCAAATGAGTCTCAAAAACTGAAGGTCAATTTTGCGTATTTTGCTCAACCCTTTGGGTCAACAAAACAACTTAGGATCTAGTGGGAGAGGCGGAGGAATTCGGGCTCTTATCTCAAGCCTGGTTATGGTTATATCGCTTTTGGTTTACAACTTTAACACTAAGCTTAATGATTTGGTTATGTGCATGAGGGATTTGTGTGTGTTGTGTGTATATGTGTGCATCATCTAGCCGTAGAGAGCCGCCGGGCCAGTGGCAGTCGTGGTGGCCAGGGTGTGTCACGACACCGAGGTGGCCAGAAACTCCTGGAGCCGTTGCACGGTGACCCGATCTAGTTTGCACAGGTCAAAGTCGAACGTTTTGTGCGTGATCTCATAGCAACCTGTGGCCGCTATCATCTCTACCACGTGCTGCAGCTCCTCGTTGTCCTGCAGGGTCATTATCTTGTGATGCAGTTCCTGCAGTTCACTCAAATACTCCGTTGGCAACTGCAGTTGTCCGGCCGCGGTTAAGTCAGCCGGCGAATGAGTGTTATTGCTGTTTGTGTTATTGTTATTGTTGTTGCTTAAGCTGGCTGCATTTGTTCCGCCGATGTGATTGTTACTTGGCGAAGATGATGGCGGCGGTGGCAGAAGACCTAATCCTGTATTGGTTGTACCTCCCGCGGAGTTTGTGTCCCTGGAAGGGCGTAGCGACGGCGATTTTGACTTTTCCCGCGGCGTCTTGCTCTGCTCCTTCTTTGATGCCTTTACAGGGGGTTCGATAAAACCACCGGCACCACCTCCACCACCACCGCCACTGCCGCTATTGCTATTTTGCGAACTCCTCCGAACGCGTTTCTTCTCTTCTTTGTCAGGCTTCTCGGACTTTTCAGACTTGGCGTCCGGAGTTTTATTGGCCTTTTCCGTCCTGTCAGCGCTTTTGTCACTCTGCTTGGACTTGGCCTTGTGCTCCTTTCCAGTCGGCTTTCCCTCCTTTCCGGAGCCGGAACTCCCCTTTGCTGGCTTCACTTGATTGGTTCCCTTAGCGGGTAGGTCTGGAAAGCTGCTGTTGGAGCTGTCCGAGTGCTGTAGTGTACCTGCAGTTCCTGACGACGCAGTTAAAGCGCTGGTCGCAGCCAAATCCGGCGCTGACTGAGCAGAGTCCACATCGCTGAGATCCAGGTTTCTGGGAGCCTTGTTCTGCTGGGCAGGCAGCGGATGTGCCTGCTGCCCCTGCTTCCCGGCGTTCTTGGGTTCCGGTAGCTTGTCGCCCACCTCCCGTTGACGTTTTTCATCCTTGCCAGAGGACTTCTCCTTTGACTTCTTGTGCTTGTCCTTTTTGCTGCTGCTGCTTGAATTGGCACTGGATGCAGTCTTGTCGGAGACTCCTCCCTCGGTGGCCGGACTGGTTCCCTCTGTTTTAGGCGATGGCTCGGCCGCTGATGGCTTCTCTGATGATGCGGTCGTTGGCTGCTTATCTTTCTCCCTCTCCTTTGGTTTCTCCTTATCGCGTTCCTTCTCTTTGTCCTTGTCGCGATCGTTGCGCTCTTTGTCCTTGTCCTTACTTTTGTCCTTTTTCTTGTGCTTATGGGACTTCTTGGTGTCTGCTGTCGCACTGCCATTGCTCGTGCCCTTGTCTGTCGTCTTGGTATCTGCAGTCTTTTCGCCATGCTTACCAATGATCTCCTCTTTATGTTTGCCGGTGGTGGATGCCATGCTGCTGCTGCTATTACTGCCCACGGAAGTGGGGGTGGCCTTTCCCGTAGCGGCTGCTTGGGACTGTTGTTGTGGGATTCCTACGACCGGACTGTCACTCTGACCTGCGCGCTCCTCCTTGGGCAGTCGCTTGTCTTTGTGCTCATCGCGTTGCTTCTCTCGATCGCGCTCCTTGTCCTTGTCCTTTTTATCTTTCTTTGACTTCTTACTGGAGCTGCGCTCTTTGTCCTTGGACTCCGTTTTACTTGACTTGTGCTCGTCGCGTTCCTTGGACCGCGAAGTGGGTGTCGCTCCCGCTGTAGACTGTTCTCCCTTCTTAGGGCTGGGTGCACTCATCTCGGCCGGCTTTCCCGGTTTGGGACTGGCCGTACTCTTTACCATACCACTAGCTGCAGCTACCGCGGGAAGACTAGTGGTTACCGCCGCAAGGGCTCCAGTTGTGCTGCCTGAACTTTGCTCACGTTCCCGATCCTTATCGCGAGTCTTATCCTTCTTCGACTTATCTTTCTCCCGCTCGTGTTTGCCTTCGCCGGACTTGCTCGATTTCCGGTCCTTGTCACGTCCGTGACGATCCTTCTTGTCCTTTTCCCGGGACTTGTCTCCGCTGCTTGACTTATCGCGTTCCTTGCTAGACTTTTCCTTGGCATCGTGGGAGCCGCTCTTGCTGCTAACCGAAACACTCTTAGCTTCCGGAGAGTGTTTGGAAGCGGGCGCCAAGGACTGACTATTCCCGGCAGTACCGCCCTTTGTAATAGGTGGGCCAAAGAGGGCTGAAAATGCGTTGCTCTTGCCGGGATCCTCAGGGCGCGACTTGTGCTTCTTGACCGCTCCCTGATCCACGTTTATAGAGATGGTGCTGGCACCACCCTTTGCCTTTACTACGCCTACCTCGTTGTTTGGAGTCTCACCAGCGCTTCCAACGCTGGGCGATAGCGTTCGGCTGATGCTGCTGGCACCAATGTTAGCCCCAAAAACAGGAACTCCGCCGCCGCGCATCAATTTGGCGCGAAACTCCTCTGACGGGGCTTCGAAAATATGGGTCTTTACCTGTACGTGGTGCTGGGGCGGACCGGTGGACTGCAGTATGAGGTCGTACTGGTACATGATGCGCTTCGGTTCGTCTCTGTTGCGGAAAAAAATTTCCACTGGCAGCAAAAAGCTGGCATACCCCGACTCTTGTATGGCATACGGTGGTTCCTTAACCACTGAAATTAAAAAACAGTAACGGAGGATAAAGAGCGAACGAGGGAATGACTAGCTGAACGGACACTTACCGCGCTTGGGCTTAGGAAATGATTCATGCAGCAAAAAGACCACCTTGTCCACAAAATTGCTAATGTCCGATTGGTTGACGCCTTTCACGTATATTTCCCAGTCGTGGGTAAAGGACAGCGGATGCGGTGTCTTCTTGCTGCGCAGCCTCGACGTGTGGCCAATCTCAAATTGCACCTTGACCGCCATGCCTGTGGCTGTGGCATTAAACACCGACTGCTAGGCTGCAATCCGGTTTCCTCACAATGTCTGGAAAAGCAAACATTTTTATCAGCGCGCCAAAAAAGTTTTGCACGGTTTCCCAGGTTCATAAAAGCTGAAAGTTGATAGGAAGCCGAAAAGTGGATATATAAACGATGTCTGTGACAATTAATGAGTCCGCCAGCACTGTGCACCAGGGTGGTGCATGCGTGTTGCGAATGAGGCGACTTCAGTTGCCAGTCACGTCCTCCTTGGTGAGGCCAGCATGGAATAATCCTTGGGTAGCAAACCGGTAACATCAGACAATGAGGTTGGAGAACTAAAACGCAACTTTGCCACCATTTTTTTGTTATGTTTTCCCCCGACGAGCGAGCGCAATCTGTTATTGTTTGTGTGCGAATGTGTGCCACATTGTGGCTGCCCTTCCGTGCTGCAAGCTTTCTTTCGCCATGGTCATGTTTTCCTGCAGCCGCCTCGGCTTTCGACACCTTTTTATACTTACATTAGCTGATTGGTTCACCCGCATGCAGTTGTACGGTATTTTCGGCGAAAAACCGAATAATTAAACTTGCAATCTTGGGAAATTCTGGAAAAACACACAGAAAATCCGGAGTTGTGATGTTGGGTGAGTAGTGTGACCGTTTCGGAAGCGATGCAAGATGCCAGGCGACTCAGATAAATATACTAGAATATACTGAATTATGAAAATTCGCTACATAAGCGCCTGTTCTGAAACAAAAAAATTAATTAATTAAATTATTATAATTATTATTATTTATTCAATGTTTCAATGTTTAAGAAATCCTTAAGATCATTAGACTTAAGAGTAATTAAAATAAAGATTAATACTTCAAAATATATATATATACAATACTCATAAAATTTGATATAGTTAACTTAACAATTATAAATTTTAGATAAAATATTACATGAAAGCGATATCCAACTATGAACACGATCTAGTCAAGCAACTTAATCTTAAAATTTTATATGTTTTCAAATGCATAAACGGAGGCTTCTCGAAAGCTGCATGTTTGGAACTAGTTCCGGTGTTGTTTCAGTTCGCGCCGGAACCACCAACAGCACTTGAAAGAACACTTTGGGAAAACTATAAAAAATATTTTGGGAAAGTCATGGCGAGCACTGAAAAGGACGTGTGAAGCCAAATATCTTGGACAACGACTGCCGTGCAACCACTGTCAGTCACGCACAATGACGACCGACTTCGGGACCAGCCCATTTGTGTCCAGCAATCCGAACGCCAGCTGCAGTGCATCCCGCTGGCTGACGGAGGAGGTGTTTAAGCTGATCGACATTGTCCAGCGCGACGAGGCCATCTATAATCCGCGCCACAAGTACTACTTCTGCCGGCCATACGTAGAGAACTTCTGGCGCGAAGTGGACCAGAAGCTGGAAAAGAACCCCGGCGCCAGCCTGGCCAAATGGACCAATCTGCGCATCTCCTTCCGGCGCGAGTACACCAACTACATCGAGGAGAAGGTACCTCCCTGTTGGTCCTACTTTGATCGCATGTTCTTCCTGCATCCGTATTTGCGGAAAAAGCATCAGCAGCCAAAGTCTCTGGATACCCAGGTGCAGGACGCGCTGGCTCATCTCTCTAGCCTTTCCAACCGCATGCAGCGGGAGCGGTCCGTGGTCATTCCGGCTAGCAGCAGCAGCGGTCAGCCCACGCCCTCGGCCCATCAGTCGCCCCAGGCGCAGCAACTGGATAACTACCTAGATTACTTCGACGAGGCGGAGCACAACAACTCCGAGCTTGAGGACATTATAGAGGAGGAGCAACAACAACATCGGAGTAGCCGGTACCGCAATCAACTAGACAGCAACGACATCAAGTCGGAGTGCGAGGAGCCTGCAGATGACTACGAACAGGAGCCGCACGACCAGGAGGAGGATGACCAAGAGGACCAGGATATGCAAAAGATGGCAGCCACCCCCTCCAGTTCTTCTTCAGCCATGGATATCCAGCGTCGTTATATCCAACATCAGCAACCGCAGCCACAACCGCACACCGCTCGAATGCAGTTGGGCCGCCCGCAGATGCGGGCCTATTTGGATGACATGCGTGGAGCAATTCGTCCGCGGTCCCAGGAACTGCAGGCTACTACAACAGCCGTAGCAGGTGTCAACTATGCCTCCCAGCAGGGTACACATTCGAACATTTCCTTTGTGCGTCCCACGTTCAGCAAGCCCGTTGATCTGGTCAGCACCACAACGCACACCGCGGGTGGTGGAGGCGGCAGTGGAGTGGCAACCACGACTGCGTCGTCTGAAGCCGAGCTACCCACGCCCTCCTCGGCGGCGGCGGTGGCTACGCCCGTTATCGCACCCAGCAACAGTGCCAACGCCAGCAGCGGCTACCTAAGCCAGCGGCATGCCCACAACCATGTTCACAGTGGCCACCACCCGGCTGCGCCGCCCCCGCTGCCGCTGAGATTGGAAGCAAGCAACTCAGCAGGAAGTGCGCCCATTTCAAATGGAGGCGTTAGTGGCGGCGTAGAGCTATGCGACTGCAAAACCGATCCGGATGCCATGTTCTTGATGAGTCTGCTGCCGGACATCCAGAAGCTAAACGGACGCGACCGTGGCAAGATCAAGATTGCCTTCCAGAACATCCTGCAGGACTACCTATATCCAGACTAGTGTCTCTAGATCTCTGTGAATACTTTCCGCTTATATGGCAGGGGAACAGATCCGGCTCAGCCGCAGAGTTCCGCTTTTATTCTTATGTTTGTTTCCTTGTAATTTTTGTTGAGAATTACCCCCAAGCTTTGCTATGCAAAAACAAAGTATCCTTAAACCGTTTTGAACACTATCAGCTTACGAATATTAAGTGTATAAATATTTATAAATATTTAATGTGTAACACAAGAATAAATTCATTCGAAATTATGCGATAAGTATATGGCTATAGGTTACTAACTGGATGTATCACTTGAGGATTGGATCCTCACTCCTCGAAGAGCTTCAGGTCGCGGCTAATCTTCTTGATCTTGTTGTCCAGTGTCTTGTCCTCGTGCTCGCAAATGTAGTAGTGCCTTGATGTGCACTCCTGTCCATAGTACACGTAGCTATGCTTCCCGGCATTGTAGCTCAAACGAAGGCAGCGACCCTTGCCCTCGATCTGCACTGTGTTGTTTAGCACATCGTCGGCGGCACCCTCCTCCGCCTGTTCAGAGCTGTCCACCAGATTGGACGCCGTTGAGTTCTCACCCTTCTGGGTCATCGCTATGGAAGTTAGATTCATGTTCGGATTCACCGGCTTGGCTGAGTTCGACCAGATCCAGAGGAGTCCCGGGTTCAGGCCACCCAGCCAGTAGTCGCGACCCCGATGGGCGGGCTGGTTCAGCAAATAGGCCATGATCTCCTCGTTCTCCGAGACCTTTTCGAACTCGGCCAAGTGCGAGTTCAGGGCCTTGCAGGCAGAATTTGCCGTCTTCCAGTTCACCTGCTGCTGGCTATTGATATAGTAGCAGTTGTCGCTGATGCGGGTGAAGTTTGTCGGGCAGGGATCCTTCACCTCCTTCTGGTTGTTTCCGGCCATTAGGTAGTATATCAGCTGCTCCGATCGTCTTACGCGACTCTCCAAGTAATCTGCAAAAAAAATAGCAATAGTTTTTGTTTAATTCGAATTACTTAAAGTTCAATCAAAGCTACTCAGGATTCATGATTTTAGTGGATATTTCGGTATTGATTTCTTACCCACTCTGTACACCAGCTTTTCGATGGCTCCTAGGAGATATAGATCGTTTTCAGAAACTGCCCTGAAAGTGGTTGGTTGACTGCCACCACCGCCTAGGAGATGTTGCTGCTGCTGCTGAGGTCGTTGTTGCGGAAGCTGTTGCACTTGTTGTTGCTGCACGGGGCGCTGATGTTGCTGGGAGGGATTGGCACCACCGCTAGTGCTTCCTCCAAAGCCAAATAATTGTTCCAGGAAACCGGGCTGCTGGCGTTGCTGCTGCTGTTGCATCTGCTGTTGTTGCATCTGTTGGTGTTGCTGCTGCTGCTGTTGATGCAACATCTGATTGGTCATGGGTCGAAACTGGGGATTGATAATGGGACTCTGGCTTTCTACGGGCTTCCGCAGATGGGGCTCCAGCTCCACGGCTTCACCAATCCGTCGAGTGATGTAAATGTTGTTGCCAGGACGCTTGTAGGCAGAAGAGTGGTAATTGAGCGGTCCGTTCATGCCCATGTCTCCGCTGCCCATGTAAGGGAGATCTTTGGACTTTCGCTGACTGCTGCCTTGGCTAAAATTTTTGGGCAAGATTAAGATCCATTCGCATGAGCTTCTTCTAACAAACCGTACCCACCTCAAGACGTAATCTTCGAGAAACTGCGACCATACTGGAACACCGACATCTGCCTCCGCAGTGGCGGTGAGTGATTCATTGGCGTATTTTTGCATAGTTTCACCATCGCTCGCATTGCATAAGAGCCCGGGCCCATAGGCCAGACCCAAGACCAGGTAAACAAGGGCTCCGACCCGGAGTTGTTTGCTAGCCGGCGGCATGATGACACGTAATGTGTACGGGTATATTGCCCCCGCCTCCAGAGAAGCACTTGGAGATTCAAGTCGCGCGCTAAACACTTTCGATTTCGGTGCGTTTTCCGTGCGTTTTAGCTGCGTGCGGTTAAAGACGCGTTCGTTCGCTTGGGTCGAGCTGAAAACAGCGACTGAAGTGTGTCTGCGGCTGAACTGACGCTGGAGCTGGAGCTTAAGCTGGGCTTTCTGTCTGCTCTGCAGCCGGTCCGATCCGCTCCGGCCTCTCTGTCCCACTCACCGCCAATGGCAATGGCCCAGACCTATTCAATGCTGCCGCTCGCGCCGAGAAATGCAAAATTTCACTTTCTCCTTCGGTTGCCTCTTGGACAAATGTAAGTCATTGGGCTTTTCATCTGTGTTTCTCTCGCCGCCTTTGTTACCCGTCAACGCCGACCCGCCTTTAGTTGTCACACTGTTTGGACTCCATCAAATTGGCCCAGACTTGGGTAATTAATGTTGGTCTGCGGAGTGTCAATTGAAGCCAAAAAAGCCATTAAATAATAGTAACTAGATTAAATATCATATGACAGTTCAATCTCCTTATTTTTTCGGAATTTTAAGTAAATAATGTTTATTTACTCAAGAGGTTTTAGATACTTGTTCGAAAATATCATTCTCAAAACACATTCCAAAATTTTCCGCAGACTCTATTGAAAGAAAGTAGCTTTTGACAGCATTCAGTGCGTAAGAAAGAAAACGATTTGCATATATGTATGTAATCCCAGGAATAAGGTGTGAGTTTAAATAAAATTAATTTATGGAACATTGATAAACTAATAAAATAACAATTATATAGTTGTTTCCAATATTAACATAAATTTTAGGTACATCTTAAAGAAAAGCTATTTCTAACAATTTTCTTTGAAATCTTTCTTCTTAAAATTTGCAATCCGAATTTAATAGAAACGAAAACAATATTTTGTAGCCTGATATGGCTTTTACTTTTCAAGTTTATAAACCCACTCTTATTAGATAGCAATCATAGCATAATGCGGCTTATGTAAATAATGACTCGAGCTTTTTAATGTGTAATTTAACACACCACTTAAAGATTTAATAACTATTTTATGGCACCAGCACCACACCACATCGTGAAGAGGAGAAAGAAATATTATGCAGAGTGAAAGACCGGTGGACAGATGGAGAATTAAAGATCCATCAATGAGAAAAGCCCCCAGAGCGAGTGAATCAATTTGGCCAACAGCGGGAGAGGACAGAGTGGAAGAGACACAGACTCAGACCCCCATGTCGAACTCGGCCTTAACTGGATTATTGATGGTCAAGCAGCGAACTGCCCACATCGAGCCATCACACAGATCCCTCATACAACATCCAAAAGGCTACGGAACTTTCGTTATTCATTGCTTTGACAATTAGCGGATGTTAACGATGTTGCAACGAAGGCCTCGTTTTGCGGATCGTGATCCATTGACGATGTCAAGTGATGACGCACGTTTGATCTCTGTTATTTCGGGGTTTCCCAAAAAACAAATATTAATCGAAAAAAAAACCAAAACCAAGTTTGCATAACCGCCAAGTCCGGCTGAAAACCCGAAGTTCGGAGTTCGAAGCTCGCTGACGGGCAAAGAAAATCAAATATTTAGGCATTCTCATTAAAAGCAAACATCAAACATATAATTTTTTTTAGCAAATTTTTATAAATCCTTTTATACTTTTTTTTGGTGGTTGTATTCTTTTTTTGTTTGTGTGTAATTTTAGTATATAAATTCAAATTTAAGCAGGCTTTATTCTCCACAGCTGTCTCTCACGCTGGCTTTCTCGCTATCTCTCTCTTTCTATTGCCTCGCTGTTTCCGGTTCTTAATATTTTTAAACATTTGCTTTAAAAATACAAAATTCGATTTTTGGGGTTTATGTATTTTTTTTCTTTACATTCTGCTACGTTTTCCTTTGGATTAATTTTATACTTTAGAAAATCTAAAAAGTTCTCTTGTGGATCGATCCTTGGTTCTACACAATCTATGCTTGGTTGTTGTTGCTGTTGTTGATCTTGTTGGTGTTGTTATTTATTTATTAAGAAATTATATAGATTTATAAAGAATTGTATACACAATGGATGTTGTTCTTGGTATCTTGATGGCAGCCATTGGTCTTGCTTGCTGGCCAAATCATTCTGAGATATTCGTTTACAATTAGTAGAGTTCCTCGTCGTCTTCTTCATCTCTTTCTTCTTCCTCCGCTGCTGCTCGTTGTTGTTGATGTTGTTGTTGTTGTTGTTGAAAAAGTTGTTGTTTTTGGGACTAATGGACCATCTTAATAGCCAGCCAACTCGGCGAATGTGGAGTCCATCTCGTCGGCCAGAGACTTGTACCTGTCCTTGTTGATGCCCAACTCGTCTGTGAAGGGGAGATTGTACAACAGAAATATTAGAGCATGATCTTTATAGGAAATATTTGAGGACACAGCAACACGTTGGTAACTGAACACAGAAAACACTTAAACTTTACACTGTGCGAATTCGTTGGAGCCTTAGCTCGGGTTAGTGGCGCGCTGTTCTGGTAAGCGTTTTAAGTAGGTTTGTCACAAATCTTAAAAAATATCTCTTCAGAAATATGGATATTCTGTGTAAAAAGAAGCACAACTGTTGAGTAATATTTTCCAGATAAGTGATACCCCTAGCTTCAAGTTTTCTAGTTGGTTAGTTAGCGATTCTGTGCGTGGAATTTGGTACTTTTGGCATTTCGATTTATCTACGGGGGTCTCTACGGGATCTATCCAACCGAAACACTGCAGAAATCCGGTGTGGGTTGTGTGGATATGAAAGAGTGTTTCACTCGAACCAAGGCCTGTGCGAAATCACGGTGAAAACCACTTAATGGCAGAGACACACAGACGGTATGATCTTCGAGAACTGAGAGAGAACAGATTGAGATAGAGTGCTGATCTGAGAATATCCGGGCAGGCAAGACAGGTGGTGAAGAAGAGATCATGCCACAGTAAACACGGGATAGAATCTGGCATACAAACAATATATACATTGATAAATTCACCTGTGTGTTGAAAGCACAATTAACTACAGTTGCAACTTGGTTTGGCTGGATCTCAGCCTATTTTTACAGTGTACTGGCGCGGGTATCTGAGTGTTTTTTGTGGTGGGAGTGGCCACATTCAAGCGAGACTAAACAAATTATTTACAGTGTATAGAAATAGGGGGTGGTGACAGAAGAGTGTGGTGGCTGTGAGGAGGGGGCTAAATACACTGACTCTGTCGGGGGGAGCTTCGATCGAGAAAGAAATGTATAGTATAGTAAACTGTGAGGGATATCGGGCTCTGAATTTCGTGTTCTCTTTTTTGGGAAGAATATGGATCTGTGGGAGTATTTTGTTTCGATCTTTTTTAATATCCAGTAAGTTCGGCAAATGTCTGGTCCAAATCGTCGCAGATTGCTTTGTACTTTTCCTTCTCATGGAAGAGACGGTCTGCAAAAGGCATGTTGATGTTGTTCATTTATACAGATATATTATTATTATTATTATTATTAAAGGGCGAGAGCGAGATGAGTTTATCGTCAATTAATGAAAGCATAGTACTAAGTACATAAATATTAATATCCTTCTGGCGATATATACAATGCGAGCATTAGTTGAAGCCATCGATCCAACTCGAGTCGGATCACAGCCTGGGGACATCATCTCCGACGTCTCTTGCTGGAGAGATGCCACCTCGGGAGATGGGTGAGTGGGAACTGGATACATACCTTCTAGCCTGTCGACCTCCTTCTGCAGGCGCTTCACTTGCTTCTCGGCGTGCTCGGCGCGCTGCTCGGCCTCCTTCAACTTGATGGACAGGGTCTTCATCTCGCGCTTGAACTCCTCAACGCGCTGGTTGGCCTTCTCCTCAGAGACCTCCAGGGACTTCAGGGAGTTGCCGACAACCTGAAGGGATGGGATGAGAAATGGAGAGAGAATTTTGAGCAATTTCTCTCAGAGAACTATAATTGAGACCCACCTTCAGCTCCTCCTCCAGCTCCATGATCTTGGACTCGCCGGAGCGGACACGATCCTCAGCCACTTCCAACTCGTCTTCAACGAAGGCCAGCTTGCGGGAGACCTCGTCGGACTTGGTATCAGCATCCTCAGCGAGCATGCGGGCTTCCTTCAGCTGGTTGGTCAGCTGGTCCATGCGCTCCTCATCCTGCTGGGAACGGTTCTCCAGCACCTTGCACATGCGGTTGTTCTCATCAGCCGACTGGGTGGCCTCCAGCAGCTTCTGTTGGGCGGTGGTCGAGCGCTCCTCGGACTTCTCCAGATCCTCCTCAATCTGCTGCACCTTGCGGTTAAGGGTGGCCACCTCCGACTCGGTGGCGGTCAGGAGCTTCTCCTTCTCCTCCAGCTCGGTGTTGGCCTTCTCCAGCTGCTCCTTGGCGGTGACGAGATCGACCTCAACCTGGACGAACTTCTTCTCCAGATCGCGCACCTCCTCGTTCAGTTTGTCGGCGCGGGAGTTGGCATCCTTGGCTTGGTTCTCGCAGGTATCGGCCTTGTCAATGGCGTTATCCTTCTCAAGCTTCATCGCTTGCATCTTCTTCTTGATGGCGTCCATGGTGTTTGTGTTTTTGTTGTTGGCTCAGAAGGGAAGAAAACTGGAAAAAAGCACTGTGGCAAAGAGGGATATATATACAGGTTAGTTGCGAAAACAGAATAGTAAATTGTATGTTTAAGTTTTCAGTCTAGTTTAAATTTTAGTAAATAAAAAGAAGCCACCAAAAATAATTCATTTGGACTCAAAAAGAATAACATCGTAGAATTATTTTTCTTTTTAAATTATTTAAAAATTGGTATCTTCCACAGATTTAGAACTAAAATAATATTTCTGTATTGAAATAAGTCATTGCATTTTACATATACTAAGATTTAAAGTAATTTTTTAAATTCGATATACTATACATTGTTTTATCTCTAAAACCTAAAGAATATAGTTCGCTTCATTAAGAGCTAGTTTTTAAAAACCAGGTCTTTATTTTAAAATGTACAATTTGTAGTATTTCTCTTGACACTTGTTTATTTTTAGCTTTCCAACTAAATTCTCAGGAATGCAATTGAAAATGTGTTTTTGGGAAAGCTCCAGGAGCATTCGATATAATCTATATCAAGTGCGTCTAATTATATTATATGTTTGCCTGTTTATATATATATGCACATATATGCACATGTATACATGTATCTGGGCAATAAATTTTAAAATTTAAATGTAAACACATTTTGTGCCAAGCAGTTAGAAGATCTCACGTAATTTCCATTTTCCATTTTCAATACGCCCCCGCTCACTGAATCCGAATCCGAATTCGAATCCGGATCCGGCGGTGGTGTGCTATATATTTATTTGCTGCACGATTCTGTAGAGTTAAAAATAAACTTTATATGCTTTTGCATGTGAGAAAAATATCCAGTTCACGCACTAGCACACAGAAGAAGCTATGCTTTTTTGGACATTGTGTGTGCTAAATGTAATTCTAGAGTTTCCCCCATTATTATTTCGAAATACACACAAATAGATATAGCAGAGAGAGAGAGATTGCAATTTGAAAACTTTTCAATTCTTTGGGGTCATTCAATGAGTGAGTGTGTATGTGGGTGGGTGGTGTTCTATGTATCTGTGTGTATGCTGTCTCCACTCTAAGTGGGACAAAGTCATTTATGTTGTAGTTGCTGCTCTTTTGGAGGTCTTTTGATACTTAGCAAAGATATATATCTTCCCCAAATGCTATATAGCAATGACAAGCTAGATTTTTTAATGGGGAAATAGAATTATATGTAGCTAATTAAAGAAAAAAGATTATTGTTTGGATTGTATTAAAAAGGTTGAGTTTTTTTTTTTTTTTTTTTTTTTGTATTTATAAAGACCTCTTATTTTAGAAAAGAGGAAATGACATTCAAATTGATTTCATCTTTCACTGCCCATTAAAATGCATTCCTAAACATAATATATTTTCCGATGTTTGCCAAAAGAACATTCGTTTTCAGGCCATTAAAATATCAACTAAAATCCGTATTTTCCTGGCCTTCGGAACCATTCGAAAATGGCTGAAAAATATTTGTTCTGAACTCAAAAAAGAATTCGGTGTGGGTGGTTCTCAAATATACATATTTCCTCTGTTATAGATACAGATCTCTGGGCTCTCTACCTCTACATCTGGCAATTCTCAATCCGCAATATTTCCAAAGTATCTTTCTATCTCTTTTTCTCTAGAGACTTTGGGCGCTCGAAAACAATCTCAAGGATAAATGCCGACATTTTCTTTCTTTCTTCTTTTTTTTGTTCTCCCTATGAGATCACACAGAAAGCTAGACGGAAAAGCTTTTTCGTCTAAGTTTCATTTGGATTTAAAAATAAATGGATATGTATGCGTGACAGGCAGGTGTCTGTCTGCAGTTAATTTTAAAGAATTTTCCTCGGGAAAATTGTGCGTAGCAATAGGTGTGTGTGTTTGTTTGTGTATGTATATGTATATGTGTCCCCATCATCGGTGTGGAGCTTTTCCCACACAAGGTCCCTTGCCTGTGTGTGTGCAAAATATTTCCCCGCACTCACACACACAGATATACATCGTCAGATTTAGTTACAAAATTCCTTATAAGCGAATTTTTTTAAACGTCCGAAAAGATATCATAAATTTTCCATTAAAAATGGGCTTTTATCTTTTTTTTTGGTGAACATTTCGCTTTTGTGTTTTAAATTATTCAATTTATTTTTAATTTTTTCACTGGAACTATAATGGTTACTTTCACTTTTTAAATTTTTTCCTTTTGTTGGAAACACATATACATATATGCACACTTTATTATTATTTTTTCTTTCGAGAATTATCCAAGATTTCCATATCATTTGGGTTATTGCAAAATAGAAAATTTCATGGGATCAATGCATTTGTTAAATGCACTGCACTTTTCACTGCTGGAGCAACTGGTTTTTTTGGGGCTTTATCCATTCGAAAATAGTTAAAAATACCAATTTTGTTGTTAGCAATAATGGCGAGATTTTCAATTATATTATTTTTTTTTGCAGCAATTTTTTCAGGCGAGCAGAAATCCTGGCGTGACCAACCTTAGCGTTTCAAACACACTATACGCTGTCGAAACCCCGAGAACACTGATGATGACCAAGTTGCTTAGCCCAGAAAGCGACCCCGAGATCCGACGCAAGGCGACGCACACATACGCACACTTGGCGCTCGGAAAATCTCACACCAATACCACCCCACACACACAGCATTGAATAATTTTTCTCGTCTCAAAATTTCCCAGTAAAAAATATAAGCGCAAAAGCGCTTTCGCAACTTTCCTCGGCGATCATCTTAAAAATTTCCCTCTGAATTTCCCCGAAAAAGCTATTAGCTATCCGTGTGCACGGCGCTCTTTTCCCACCTTTCTTTGTGCTCTCCCTGCATTCTCGGGAAAATTATGCGTTTTTTTTCCTTCTTAAATTTAAATTCAATTTATTTTTTTACTCTCGGCAACACCATCTTTCGGGCTGTGTGTGTGTGTGTGGGTATCCGTCAGATACGATGCTAAAAATAGCGCATAAATGTTAGATGCCTTGCCAGAGGAAAGCAGCAAGAGCAACAAGCCTAACAAGATGAAAATCTATTTTCGCCAGCTAAAAAATATTGAGAAATATTTGGAATTTTGATCGGAGCCAAGCAGTAGAAAGCAACAGTTCGTTTTTCTCAAATTTTCTTTTGCTTTCCAAAATCTCGAGCAGACGGAGCAGTAGATGGAAAACAGTATTCAATAAAGGATTATTCTAAATATTTATTGTTTGTAGAGATTTAAATTAACAAGGTTTTTTCTGAGAGACCTATGGCTTTTAAGTCGTTTTAAAATGTATTAAACCGAATTTCATTATTAATTATATTTCATATATATTATATAATTAAAATAGTATACTTATCATAGTGTTTTCTTTGAGATACTTTTCTTATTATACGAATATGAACTAATTATCTGAATTTGATTTAATATCATACAAATTTCACAGACGAATTTCCAAAATATATATATGCAATTAGTTGGCGAAGACATTAAAGGAAAACTATTTATTACTAATAAATTAAAATAAATATTTGAGCTCTTATAATTTTTATTAAGATAAGAGATTTTAAAATTCTTTTTTAATTTACATATTGATTGAAATCCCCAGAAATATCGCAACGATCACCAATTACCTAATAATCATGGATATTGCAAGAACAATGTTAGAAAATATACAAAATCTTTGAAGTTATCTGTGGCGTTAAAGGCTTTAATGTTCTTTCTCTTATCAACTATAGATAAAGCATTTAATTGTATTAAACTGCATTCTAACTCGGAACAATTTAAATCGACATTCTTATTATACAAAACTCATTAATAAACCATATCGTATAAAAATAAATCTTATAAAAGACTCAAACCGATTGATAATACTAAATATAAATAGCTACATTGACCCTATTCAGAACCAAATAATTTGTTATCTTAAGTGACGATTACTTTAAAATCCCACAAATATATATATATATACATATATATATATGTATATGTATATATGGATTTAAATAAAAATATATATTAATATATTATAAGATATATTTAGATATCAAACACATTGGATATATGCAAACCCACACTCCTATTGTTTTTAAAAATTTCTAAACGCTGATTAACTTTATACAAACCAAGGATGCACTTCCGACTCCCCAAAATATGCTACATATTTTGGAAAACCATATTGTAGGGAATTGATCTAGATAATTAAAATATGTAACTCTATTCTTTCGTTATACAGGAACAGCCTTCTCTCAATTGCAACATATATATAGTGAGGCAAACCAAAATATCTGTAGATGCATGGAGGGCCAATGCTCCATATATCCCTCTTTGATCTCCCATTGAACAAAACACAGATACCAATAGATTTATATGCAAAAGAATGTTTTCAGTTTATTAATCATAAAAATATTTGGAAATAAATAAAAATACATACATTGTTTTATTTGATTTGCATGCGGCTTCATTGCATTACAAAAGCTATGTCAAAATTGTAAATTTAATTTATACGCATCCTTTATATACTCTAATTTAATATTTTGTTTTTAATCTCATAGTACAAAGGCCATAGAAATTTCTAGATACAATTTTTATACTGCCAAGAAATAAAGCAAACTTCTAAGCAAGGGGAAATTGACTCCGGCTGAAGCGTTATGGTTTGTGGTTTATAAAATGTGTTATATACGAGATATCGACTGGTGGGTTGAAGGTTTGGTTTTTAATTTAAACTTATTTAATAATTACACAGACATTGTTTTAAGCTGGGAAGTGATTTTAAATAAAATGGCAGCGAACGCTTTACGGAATCCTTCGATAAACGCTACAAAATTTACTTTATTCTGGCTCTTAATTAAATATTTGTTTGTTTTTTTTGGAATGCTTAGGCGAAAAATGGTTGTGAGTGTAATTTTAAAATTAATTTGTAAATTGGACGTCGAAATGCCTTCAGACTCCATTTATTATGTGTTCCTTTTGTTTGTAGATCGCAGGCTGCATTTGTTGTTCTGGTTGTAGTTTGCTTTTCGTCCTCCGAGTGGTTAGAATCCTTTTAATAGTTGTTGAGATCGGCGTACTCCAGTTCCTGGGCAATTGTTTTGTACTTTTCCTTACCTTTGCTAACTTCATCTGTTAGCGAGCAGCAAAAGAGATTTAAATATAGTTTAAAGATTGATATTTATATTTTCAAGTTGATTGCTTTATTGCTTATAGTTTTGGATACAAATAATAAATAAAAAAACGTTTGAGTCAAACAAATACACAATTGTTTCAATGCTTCCTCTTATTGGTCCGCAGTCAAAATCTATCTACAAATTATCTACAACAAATACACAAATCAATCAAAAGTCACACAAGGCTACAAGATACAAGTACAGTGCGCGCCTACGGTTATACTACAGTAAAAACAATCGAAAAAATATGTGCATTGGCGCGCGGACAAAGTGTCGACAGATTTTGGGGGCTGAGGTCGAGGGGCGGCCGTCAAGGTCGATGCTTTGCTTATTCCTTGAGGATGAGCTCGACGAAGGCGGTGTCGAGATCGTCTCCGATATCCTTGTAGCGCTCCTTCTCCAGAACGAGGTCGTCTGTTCAAGGTGGATGTTCGTAAAATCATAAGAGAACGCAAAAGAATAAGGAACATAAATTAATAAAAAATATTTTTAACAAATCACTTAAGTTACACTGAAAAACCTGACAGACACAAAACTTATGACCTTCACATTAACAATAAATAATAAAGAAATAATAATTACCTCGTTTCGTTTTGGGGGGAAATAAATAAAAAGCCAGCCGGGCAGTAATTAATCTGCGGTTGAGTTTGCAAAATCGGCAAAATGTCGTGCTAGCTGTTAATGTTTTTTAAACAAAAGTATTGCAAAATAAAAAGTAAAAGCAGCATTTTGGTTTTTGCAATGCTTAGTCGGTTAACTGAACTCTTTTTAATTCGATTTTTCGTTCGGTTTTGTGAATAAAAAATGTTTCCAAAAAACGTGCTCTTAATTTTAGGTTTTTAAAAGCAGGGGCAGCATTTGGTAGCAGTTGTGGTTTATTCTTTCGGTCTTGTGCAGCACTTTCTGGCGGGGATTGGCTTGGTTCGTTGGTTTAAGCTGGTGGTGCCTCGCCTTCGGCAGCAGGAGCAGCTTCGGCAGCAGGAGCAGCTTCGGCAGCAGGAGCAGCCTCAGCAGCAGGAGCAGCTTCAGCAGCCGGAGCAGCTTCAGCAGCAGGAGCCGCCTCGGCAGCCGGTGCGGCTTCACCCTCAGCAGCTGGAGCAGCTCCTTCTGCGGGAGCTGGAGCAGCACCTTCAGCCGGAGGAGCAGCACCCTCAGCTGGAGGAGCAGCACCTTCAGCTGGAGGAGCAGCTCCTTCGGCAGCCGGAGCAGCACCCTCAGCAGGTGGAGCAGCACCATCAGCAGCCGGAGCAGCCTCTCCCTCAGCCGCTGGCGCTGGCTCTGGCTCGGATCCGGGTGGTGGTGGCTCGTAGTTCTTGACATAAGGCACCTCGGCACCCTCTGGGGGCAGATCGATCGAGTACTCGAATGGCGGCGGTGGTGGTGGTGGAGGTGTTGGCTCCTTGGGCGGCGGAGTCGGCTCCTTGGGTGGTGCACCCGGTTCTCCGGGCGCTTCTCCCTCGCCCTCGGCTCCAGCCTCGGCACCAGCAGCGGCTGCTTTCGCTTCCGCCTCGGCAGCAGCGGCGGCTTCCGCTTCCGCACGCGCTGCCTCCATGGCGGCCAGCTCCTCGGGCGTGGGTGTGGGCAACTTTGGCGTCGGCGGCTTGGGGTTGCGTGGATTCCAGAAGGGCTCCAGACCCACAATCAAGTCCACGAAGGCTTCGTCCAGGCTGTCGCCAATCAGGCAATAGCGCTCTTTTTCAACGATTAGATCGTCTGGAGATCGACGACACGATACGGATGGTGGTTGTGAGAAAAGCAATGCAAGCGATGGAGTAAATGGGGGATAGAGCATAGAGAGATTAAAAATAAGGCGTGAAAAGGATGCAGAAGCATGAAAACTAAAGAGTAATCTTCGAGAGAGTTAAGGATGGAAACAGTGGGAGCAGGAGTGGACGTGGGCTCGGTGGGGTAACAAGCGAAGGGGGTCGTTCAAGGTGGGTTTCCGGTACTGTTAGTGATAGGAAAACACTTTGGCCAGTTCTTTAACGACGAGATCCTTCTAGAGATCCTTTGCTCTATATTCATTGATCCAAAATAATAACGATAGTTCCATAATTTCATTTTCTAGGCAGGTGGTGCCTCAGCAGGTGCAGCAGCGGGAGCTTCCTCGGCAGGCGGTGCTGGCGGAGCTACGCCCTCAGCTGGAGCTGCAGCTGGGGCTGCTTCGGGTGCTGGTGCTGGAGCAGCTTCACCCTCAGCTGGTGGTGGTGGCGGTGCAGCGGCATCTCCCTCGGCAGCTGGTGCAGCTGGCGGTGCAGCCTCGCCTTCGACGGCTGGAGCAGCTGGCGGAGCTTCACCTTCTACGGGTGCAGCTGCTGCGGCTTCTCCCTCTGCTGGCGGAGCAGCTCCCTCTGGCAGGGCTTCTCCGGGAGGCGGGAAGTCACCCGGCTCAGCATTCTTCACATACGGCACCTCAGCTCCCTCTGGTGGCAGATCAATGGAGTACTCGAATGGTGGCGGTGGTGGTGGAGTAGGAATCCTAACGGGCTCGGCAGGAACAGCTGCCGCCTCGCCGCCTTCGCCTGCTGCTGCTGCTTCACCCTCGCCGGGTGCAGCGCCCTCCGGCTTCTCACCACCCTCGCCGGCAGCTGCACCCTCTTCTCCCAGAGCGGCCAGCTCCTCAGCCCTGGCCTTGGCCTCAGCTTTGGCCAAGGCAGCTGCCTCGAGTTCTGCCTTCTCCTCCTCGGTGAGCTCCGGTGTGGGCGGCTTGGGATAGCGCTCGTTGTAGAACGGCGGCATGCCCATCATCTCCACGAAGGTCCAGTCCAAGCTGTCGCCGACGAGGGCGTAGTGCTCAATCTCCTTGATCAGCTCGTCTGGCATTTCGGATGGTTTCGGTGGTGGATAGAGTGGTGGTGGCGGTAGTGGTGGTGGTTTAGTGGAGCGGCGGGTTAGAAATTCGGATTAGAGCAGATACGAGAGAGTTCAGAGAGAAAGATCGGGGCGAGAGAAGAACCTCCAGTGGCGGCCAAATGTGGGTTGGACGCACGACAACAGAATCGGTGACACTCACGCTGGACGGGGTAGCAACGATGGGAGATTGGGCACACATTTTTCGGAAAAAATACTTTATTTGTGCAAATTGCAGCAGCATGGTTGTATGTATTGAATATAGTATGGTATGTATAGGTAATATATTAAAGTATAAATAATTAATTTATGTAAATCGTAAATAGATCGAATTTCAAATCGTATTTTCAATGCCATTGCTTCAGTTGCAGCATTCATTTCTCTTTTATATAATGGGTTATCGGGTGGCTTTTCTTGTTCAGAATCGGAAGCGGGATTTAGTTAAAGTGTGTGGGAGTGGGGTATTAGGTATAGTTTTTTATTTATCAAATCAAAGCTGGCTTTAAACGCTCTATTGGAATGATGTGCGGCGCTAGTTTGTCTTGTTGTTTCTGGGAATCTCTGTCGTAAGAGGTGTGGGTGTGGGTGTTGGTGGGTAGAGTGTGTATGTGGCGGCAACTTAAAAGTAGGCAAATATTACACAACGTTTTGCAAACACGACGACAATTTGTTTAAATAATGTATAAACAAGGTAAACATTAGCATATTATTAATACAGTTAAGCTGGCGACAAAGAGTACAAAGTGTTTAGCATAGAATTTTTACTCTTTAAATATAAATAACAGCGATTTGTTTTGTTTTGTTTTGTTTGTCTCTCTCTATATATTTAATACACGTAAACTACTAAGAAGAAGGCGGCACTTGTGTTTTGTCCAAGTTTGTTTTGTCATCATCTCGTCAAAATACAAAAATACACAAGTATACAAGGTATGATTTATAATTTAAAATTTATATAAGTTATAAAAAGTTAAAACAAAACAAGGTTTTGGGGTAGCAAAAGCAAAGAGTATAAGTAAATGGAATAATTAAAGTTTTTCATTTCATTTTGTTTTTGATTCAACGAAAATTGTATTGCAACAAGTTTAAAGTTTTATAAAGAAAATGGCGCTAAATGCCAAATGTCAATGGAAATCGAAATCGCAGTTAATTGGAATGCGCTTGCTACGAGAATGTCTTGTTTTAGTTTTTTTTTCTGCCTTTCCATCATCAAAATAATGATTGTCATCTGCATTTGTCTTTTAGTTTTTATGTTTAGAGTGTTTTCGTTTAACGCTATTTTTTCTTTTTGATTAACTCAACTCTCCCCCGTTGATGGCGTCGCTTCCGCATCCGCTTGGAAGACACCTGGCGTCCTTGGGTGTTGTGTGTGTGTGTTGTGGGTGTTGGGTGGGCATGTTTGGAGATATATATGTTTGTGTGTGTGTGTTCTCTCTAGTATATTTAATTATGGAAAGCGCCAGTTTTGTGTGCGTTTCTTGTTTGTTTGTTTTGACGTCAAAGCAGGCAGTTTAGAGTTCATTTACATAAACGCAAGTTACGATGTTTACATGTTCTGTATGTCTTGTAAGGTGGCCTCCATTTCCTCCTGCAGCAGCTTGTTCTTTCCCCGCTCATTCAGCAGGTCATCTGATCGCGTTTTTTTTTTATATTTTGTTTGGGCAAACAGGCAGTTTGTTTTTTGTTTGGGGCAGGGCGGGGCATGCAACAAATTGTTTAGCAAATAGCAGCGAGCGCAAGTTGTAGTATTTTGTTAAGCACAACGACAACAAAATAATAGGTATATGAAAAGTAAACAATAAAGAAAATCAAAATTAAAACAGATAATCAAAATTATCGCGGTACATAAGGATATCTATCACTAGACAAAACAATCGGTACTGGATATATTTGGATAAGGAAATTAATTTTGATCCTACTTAAAAACTATAAATAAAATTGTATAATTAAACAACTGAATAACCTTTCATCGTCTAAGGCAATTGTACTTTTAATTGAATATAGTAGTGACTTTCTGTGGCTACTCTTACATTCTCAGTAAAATTCGTATAAAATCTTTGACGGACATACCTTCGAGCCTGTCGACTTCCTTCTGCAACTTCTGAACGGAACGTTCAGCGAACTCAGCGCGAGCCTCAGCCTATATAGTTGGGTAAAAGGATCGAAATTAGTAATATATATAGACTGGAGATATAGACAAAGCATCAAAAAGTGGCTACCAACAGCAGGCATGGAGATGAAGGACATTAAAAAAGGTGTCCCTTCATCCTTCCTGACTGTAAATGTAAATTCTGCGTATTTGTTTTATATGGAATATAGTTTAAAATATAATAGCTACTACACAGAATTTAGATTTAACCATTAATTTTTTAAGCCAAGCAGCTTCCCAAATATTCTACCAAAACCAGCATAAAAATTATACAAATAACTTGTGAAAGATATTAAATGAAAGTGATAACAACACGAGTGATGTATGAAAAGGATTAGTGTTAATATAAATATAATAAAAGCATACAAATGGTAGTCACTTTTAAACCTAAAGTAATTAAAATAAAATGCTTACAAACTGCTGACGCTTTCTTTATTTACTTTTTTGGTTTATGGGGTTTGTTTTTTAGACAAAACCTAAATCAGACACATTAAGTCATTAAGGGAATGATATTACTTCTACGCAGTCACTGCACAATAAATTGAAAAATAATGCTGTTAAGATATCTCTTTAATATCTACGCCCATTCAATCTGGGGCGACTTACAGCTTCTACACTTAATTTGAACTGTATGAGCTCCTTTTCGTAATATTTCTGATTTACGCGTGCCTAGACGTCGAGAGGGAAATACAACACAAATTATAAATTATCACAAAAATAGATCGATAGAGTGTGCGTCGTGTGTGTGCTTGTGTGTGTGTGTGTATGTAGGAGGGGATAATAGTATAAAATATCTACCGATATAAGATATTCTCTGTTTGGAATTAATAATTGGACTCTGTCTACTTAACGAGAATTAATTCTTTCTATAGGAATGCTGTGGCAAGACATATCGATCGTTAATCGGTAATTAATCGATCATTAATTGAGATCTACTTAGCAGTGCTGGAAAACTGTTCAATTTTCAATGGGTTTTACTTGGTTTTTCTTGCAATTAATGCACAAAAAGTTGTTTTCAATTTTAAAAACAAATGTACACACACACAGTAGTTCTTATTACAAAACACCTAATACTTGCCCATGATATGTACGATATATATCGACTGATCGATCTATTTTACATAACTCATAATTTGTGGTATTCCGCTTTCGTTTTCCTGTATTTTCACACACAAAGAGCTTGGCATTAAAAAGAAAATATTAAATGTCGAATTGACGAATATGTACAGAAACATTTAAAATTGAGAATAACGATTTGTGCAATTCAATATTTTCTTTTTTTTTTTTGTTCTTTTTTGGTTTTAAAAATTAGTATTTGCTTAGACTATGTTAGGGCTTAGATTAGCAGCGGGGATTAACCAACACCAGAGAGATTCACCGAGACCACGGGAATTACACATATATAAATAAGACTCGCTTTTGGTCGTAATTATACCTCTTTCAGAGAATGATCCAAGACTTTGATTTGCGTCTCAAAGGTTTCCTCTTTTTGTGTGGCCTGTTTTTTGTTTTTAGTGTTCAGTGTTGGCAAGCAGTTTTTATTTGTTATATTGAACGCAAATTTGTAAAGTAATCATGCAAAAACAAATAAGGTTGGTATAACATCCAGCAGGTGCGCAAATAATAATTGGATATTGGGCATATTTTAGCAGCAACGTACAAACAATATATATGAAAATAAGAGAAAATATATATAAATTTGGATTAGATAAAATGTAGGATTAAGTATTATCGGTTTCATCTGTAAACAAATATATGTATGTATACATATCATGTCGGTAGACATTTTATAGGAATTAGTACATAAAACAATTGAAAAGAGGAAGAAGCTCCCTCTGTTTTTTTGTAGGGAATATTGTCTGGATATACCCCTTTCCCCTGATTGGGACATTGAATTAAAAACAAACAAAACGAGAAACAACAACAAAAGATACGCTGGTTTGGACACTCTCAATTTTCGCTTTTGACTTCGAGACTTGGGAAACTCTTTACGCTTTTCTGGGCCACTTTTTGGTACAAGACTTAGCCGTCTTTCAAATCGTATCTACCTCCTTTAGACGAGTGTTCAGGGTCTTGATCTGGTTCTTGTACTCTTCCTCACGTTGGTTGGCCTATATCATTCAATCGTTGTTGTTGTTTCGCGGGGAATTTTAGTTTTTGGGATGGGGAAATATTCAATATAGATATATTTAAGATTATATGATTTCAAAGTCAAAATAAAAGTGGTGTAAATCATTCTAATAAACCAATACTGACCTTCTCCTCAGAGACTTCCAGGGACTTCAGGTTGTTGCCAACCACGCGCAGCTCCTCCTCAAGCTCCACAATTTTGCTATTTAGGAAAAGAAAAAAGTATCATTAAATACTTGTCTAAATCATATAAGCTGGAAACGAGGAATAGTACAACTCATGCAATTGTTAAATATAAATGTGGTTTCTTTCAAGCGCTATTTATGCCCAAGCAGCAATGCCAAAGTTGACACTTCACTTTCGAAAAAGATCTTGTGGCTGCCAACGGAGGCGATGAGCTATGATGAGTTATGGAGTTGGCCAAGAGCCGAGACGAGAAATCCGTCAAATCATGATGCTGCGAAGGTCTGCCAAATATTTTTGTTATAATAACAATTGTTTTTATTTTTCGGTCCGGCAATTGAAAAGATTTCACTTTTTCTGGCCTTACTCTGTTGGCTATTTATAAACTATGGAAATTATAAATAAATATTTGAGTATCTTCTTTTGGGTATAAATGGCGCAAAGAAACGAATGTGGATTATATTTAACCAAATGCAGTTAGTAGACAGAATAAATAGACATTGAAGGCGGGGGCGTATGAAGGCGTGGCAATGGACAAACCTTTCGCTGAGCTCGACCTTCTCCTCGGAACGCTCCAGATCCTGTTCCATGAGCACGAGTTTTCTGGCAACCTTTGGACGTAGCGTGGCGTGGCATAACATGGCATGGCATGGCATGGCATGGCGGGGCGTGGCAAGGTGTTAGCATTGTGTTAAGTACACACAAAGTGGGGTTTTTTTGTTTTTTTTTTATTGTCATGGGTTAAAGGGATGACATAGAAAAAATAGTTTTCAAAATTAGTTTCGTGTCTGGCTGGGACGGCGGCAGATTGGCAAAAAATGTGAATACTGTATGTGCTGTTTTCGTTTCATTCATGATTCATGGCCACATGGAGCAGTAGTTGAAGCTAAAAAGGTGCAAATTCTCTGTCAAAGTTTTTACTCGATTCTCTTTGGTTTTCACTTGCATTTCTCCACTCTCTTTTGGGGTTCGTAAAAGCGCAATGACCTAAAACTTCAGGTCATTGTAGCTTTACTTCCCACCATAAAGAGAGGTCCCCTGAGAATTTCAACTCGATCAGGGAACATTTGCACCTTTTTTAACTTCTGCCAAGACTGCTCCATATCTGTGCTTGTTCTAATTGATCTATCTAATAAAGACATGCTTTTAACATACAAAATATTAGATTGCTGTTGGAGGATATTCACATTTTTAACCAAGCATACAACAAATATATATATAGGCAAAAGCTAGCTAGCTAAACAAAACAAGAACGAAATCAAACTCAAAATTTTAAATTTAATTTTAAGGTAGAAATGCAAAAGGGCGTTGTTTTCATTTTAATTGAGGTTAGGTTGTTGAGGCAGTGTCAACATTGCTTTCATTATTAGGCACAATATAAACGGGGTTGGAACAACTTGAACAATATAATTTTACTTATAACGTACTTTTCACCCTGCTCGGCACGCTCTTCGGCACGTTCCAAATCAGCTTCAACCATGGCCAATTTACGGGCAACCTTTTCTCATATATAGTTTCATATACATATCGATTCATTGATTCATTGTTGATTGATTGATCGATTGATTGATATATAGTACAAGGAACATCAGGTACACAGGAGAACAAATATGTAGAAAATGTATTAAATTTCATGTCGATTTTACACAGATTTCACACAGAAAAAAGCGTATTATTAGATGAAGTTTTTCATTAGGTTTTTATGATTTTGTTTTTCATTTTAGTATGTGTCTTTATGTAGTGCCTTAGGATATTTTAGTAATAACAAAAACAGTGTTCTTAATTTTATGGTTATGGTTTTTTTTTTGCTCTGTTTTTATCCCATAAAACTTGTGCTTTAGTGGAACCATACGAATTATTGTTGTACTCAAGTCGTATATCTAATGCAACAAATTAACTTGAAAGGGAATTTATTCTTAGTATATTTCCAAATTGTTGTACATTTTCTTTTAGATTAATTCCACTTAATACCATTTCCCTTTCTGATATCTTAAAAAAAAAACATTTCCTTAAAAACACATAAAACCTGTCTTCTATCTTATTTATTCCAAATCTCGATCAAACTTAAAATAAACCTCTCAAGAAATATAAAGCTTTGGATATAACGTTCTCCACATACGCCTAATTTGTATAGCCAATAGTTGGCCAAGGAAATTAAGAACTTTAATTAAACTTATAACTATAACCATCCAAATATGGATTTAATCTTTTTATGAACTTTAGCTTTCATAGCAAACTTCCCCTTCTCATAAAAATAATTAAAAATTTGAATTGAGGAAACTAGAACTTCTACTAGCTTTAGATGATATCTTTTTAGAAACCAGTTAAGCTGAAAAATTCTTTTAAAACATAGGAAATTGCTTTAGGCCATGTTTGACGCCATGCCTATTGATTTTTATGGCCATGTTGACCAAAACTGTCTTAATTTCCTGTTGGCTGTATGCTAATATGAATAAAAGTGAATCACACAAGTGAATGAATGAATGCATCAACCCCTCGACCGAATCGACCAGATGACTAAAGTGTCGTCACATCATCTTTAGGTGGAAAAGATAACCAATGCATATGGGCCAGTACTCTCACTCCACACACATTTCTCACCACTGACTCAGCCCCCCTTTCGATCGGCCTACGTCTGAGGGTCAAGTGAGCCTCCAACATCGCTTGATTCATCATCGATCGATTTGGCAACTGAGTTTTTAGGCGCTTATGTCATGGCCACCGGTGTGAGCTCCAAGCTCGCAAAATCTACACGGGGAGCGGCCTTCTCTTATCGCCAGGCGGGTTAAATAAACTCTTTTTTTACACTCTCTCACTCCCAGTTATGAGTCCCATTTTTTGTATTTTTCGTACTCTATAAACTTTTGCCTTAGTTTCTGCGAAAAGATAAGAAAAGCAAAAGGCAAAAGAAATAGTAGGGAAAGAAAGAAGGGGCTTATCTGCCAATGCTGGTTATCAGTTGTTATTTCTTCGATCTAATTGACGTGAAAAACACGTAAGCATTCTGCATGAATCGTAAAATGAGTTAAACCTTCCTAGTACTAAAAAATAAATGCTTCTTTGGCGTCTAAGAACATTTAGCTTAGCTTGGATTTCATAGGCTTTAAGTTTCAAGCTGTAAATTTTGTTTAAAACAGATTGATTTCTCATTTATAATATTATTAAACTATTTAGATATCCTCCTATGGAAACATCACAACATTTTGGCTACAGAAAGTCCATGTTTCTATATTAGATTTATAAGATTCCAATCAAAGCTGATAAGTATTGACAACGTTCTAAGTTCTATTGTTCCTCTTTTTCCTTTAATTTTCTTTAATCCAACATTAATCTGATAAATAAAATATTAATCTAAAATTTCCTCAGCCCAGGAATACTGAATCTTCAACTGATTGATCACTAAAGAAAAACCTCAGAGCTCCCAAAAAAACGTACAACAATTAGAAATAAGAGAATAATATCTGCTCCCTTTTTTGGTCAATAAGATCAAGTTAGTTGTTTTGCTGCAATTATATATTTGTATTTATATATCTTCTTTTTTTTTGTTTTCTTTTTGTATATAATATGTTATATAAACATTAATTTGCAAAAATATTAATCCAAAATTAGACATTTTCTTGGGTTATAATTTATAATTTTAAGGTGTTTGGTGTTTTATGCATATATACCGTGAATAAACCTTACATTTTCTTTACATGTACGTAAATCAAATGGAAATAAACAAACAAATCAAGGGAATATAAACCCAATTACAATTTACTTTTAAAACAATCAATTCATTATCGTAATATGCTTTTCAAGCTAAATATTTCTCATGATGGAAGAGCATATATGTATATGTATATTGAGTACAATCAGCAGACTACTTGTGGACATAATCATCGTATGGACCGCTTAACATTTACTTTACACAATGCTATTGGTATTTTACAAATTAAGACACACGACGAGGCTTTCGCTAGGACCGCCTCCAATATCTGGGGGGATTTGTTCACGAGTTACAATCAATAATTCATTGGATTTGATTTACATTGTATGTACATCGACTAATACATCATCATCATTTATACACATGTATATATATATATTGCATATTGTCAGGCGGCGGGCATTGCGTGCCTAGATCTAAGCTAAAGCTGCCATCAAGCTTCATTCGTTATCATCATCTGGATTCATCATCTACTAATCATCGCGGTAAGCACAAGTTTTACATCAACTCCTGGTGATTGATTCCTGTGCCAAGTTTCGGGGTCGAGGAGTAATTCTCCTCTCATTCAATTCAAAATCAAATTAGATCAATTGAATATGTTCGCTTTGGCAAAGGAACCAGATCTCAGGTGTCGTTATTGGGATTGTTGTTGTGTTCGGGGCTTGTGGTTGTGGAGGACAATGTGGAAGTCTCTTCACCAACAGTAGCAATAGTTCTGGATGCGTTATTGTTGGCATTAGCATTACATAGTTCTGATTTACTGATATTGTTACTATTGTTACTATTGTTGTTATTGTTGCTTATCATAGTAGAAGACAGATTGGTTTTTAGCTGCACCTCATCGTATTTCTTGTCAGCCTCCTCAGCAAGGAAACGCGCTTCCTTCAGCTGATTCTCAAGAGCGTCCATGCGTTCTTCATCGGCAAGGGCGCGGTTCTCAAGAATCTTGCGAGCACTACACAATCGATGTAGTTTCATTTTTTTATATAGAATAAACGGCGACGACGACCATGCCCATAGAAGACAGTGACCAAGTGGTTAGCGATGATTTGCCGTTCCCCATCGGAATTGCAGTTGGTACAGCCGAAAAAAGGTTTCGTGTGAATATCATTCGACGTCATCGTCCACATCATATGGGTTTTAGAGTCGTTGTTGTGGTGGTGGAGGTTGTTGTAGTAGTGTTGTTGTTGATGATGTTGTTGTTGTTGTTGTTGCAGTTGTTATGACAAACAGATGGTTTAAACACACATTCACAGATAGAGATAGATATTTTTTGTTTTTGGTTTTGTGAATTGTTTGGCGTAGTTGTTGTTGTTGTTGTTTGTAAAAAGAGACAGAAATTTGTTGTTGCCAGTTGAGTTAACTATTCGGATATTGTCTACTTAATTAACAAGTATTTACACAAGAGGATATGAAGACTAGAGGCGAGGGGATAAGCATGAAACTTTAACCATGTTTGGCATCATCTTTAGTCAAAATTGACAACTGTATTGACCAAATAAGGTAGCATTCATTTTAAAATAGATTTAACGGACTTGTCTAGACTTTCGATCTAGATCAAGAACGCAGACAGTCTAGTCTGCTGCTAACTGACAGACTAATTCCAAGAACCAAACACTGTTTAAGTTTCGTCTCATTACAAACATTGGGGGAAACTTTTGCTAGAATTTTTTTTTTTAAGACATAATTGCTAAACAGCCATTTGACTAATAGACTACCATAAGCTTATCTAGGACATCATGCTTTCCTACATATATATATATATATAATTTTACAATGTTTACAAGAATGTAGGGCGAGCATCCATGGTGTTCCAGTTCCAGCGGCGGGTCGACATCTTTCAACTTAGAAAACTAAATGCTGTTTACAGAAATTCTTAAACACTAACTTAGGAACATCATAATTATCACAGTGACCATTATTAAAACGACAATTATATCGTTCTTGTTGCAGAGATTGTTAGGTAGAAATTAGAAAAAAGAGAGCGCAGATATATATAGACAGAGGAGACCCAAAACCTAATTAGTAACGCAAATGTTGACCAAGTGAACCTAACCTCATGGAAGACAAGAACCTCAAGAACCTAATAACCCTAGAGCCCTAAAGAAACGGATACCATTTTCCGTGGATAAATATGGATACCATGACTATACCTCTTCGTATTTCTTATCAGCTTCTTCTGCAATTAATTTTGCTTGTGCTAATTGGTTCTCCAAGAGAGCTACTTTGTCGTCTTCCATATTTGTGCGATTCTCGAGCGCTTTTCGTATCCTAAATTATGTCGCAGCATTGCGGATTGACATACAGATACGATTAATAATATAACAAATACATATATAGAGTAACTCGAACTTAGGTAATTCGCAATAATAAACGCTGTAAACTTATAGAGTACATAATTGGGGGTATACAATTGAGTGGTATAGATAGGGGGCGGGTCATAATAGGAAAGGTAACGTGGTACTAACCGTTCGCTCTCATCGGCGGCCTGAGAGGCTTCCGACAGCTTGGCTGTGGCGGAGCCCAGACGCTCCTCAGAGCGCTCCAAGTCTTCTTCGAGCAACTGGATGCGACGGTTCAGGGCAGCAACCTCGGATTCAGCCTATAAGACAAGCGTTCGAAGGTCGAACGAACCAGATATAGCATATCCATTCGCCAATTCTTATAATCTAAACTTAATTATAATTTACTTCTTACAAATCTAGACTAAAGTGCTTAGTGCTTAAAAGGCAAGAAATACACACAATAAAGCTAGTTTTGGTATGGAAAAACTACTTAGATGCTGCTTGCTACCTTTGGTATGGGAAAACTATGTTAAACTTCTGAATTCTATTTTTAGAATGGAAAACTACACTCCCCTAATTGATTTGCGCTCTCTTTAACCCCTATTTACAATTCTTAAATTTGTAAACTTAATTTCTGGTTCCCTAAAAAGTCGACCATTCATCCCATTTCTGTTTTATGGCTTCTACCTGTAAAGAAAAGTTTCTTTTCCACCTCCTCCTCCTCCTCGTTGTTGTTGTTGTTGTTGCTGCTCGCGTTTTTCGAAGAATGAACGAAGAAAATTTGCCCAACGCTATACATTTGCGTGTTATTTTGGCCAAGTGCAATCGATACTGGCCATCAAAGCTACAAAACAAAGTTCAACAACACTGGATACGTATGATACGTGATATGGGTAGAAATTCCCAAATGAAGCCAATTCAAGGTTTTTGGCCCCCTGACGTCATCGAGTTAGACTAATCGAGAGTTTTTCCCACCCCGGCCAAAGAATTATACCCATTAAAGAACGGAAAATATTCGATGCTACGTGTGGCCTTATAGAGCATCGCGCACGTTAAACGATGAAAAGCGAAAACAGTCGGCGTTCGAATCACACACGCCCAAAAATGGTGAAAAAAGTATAAAAATACAAAATGAAAACAAAGTTTGAATCGAAAACGGCTGAAAAGCAATTGGACAAGGCAGTCCGGTGGCAGAGCCAGTGCTAGTTCCAAGTTCCATGTCCATGTCCGAAACCATGTCCAATGACTGATATGGTGCCGGGCATAGATACAGATAGGTGTACGTACACCACTGGCTACTGATATGTATGTATGTACATAGGGGTATTGGCGGAATGACAAAGTGACGGAATGAGCGAATGACTAGCTGAGCAAATGACCAACTGACGACGCCTAGAACTGAGACAACGATGTGAGTGCGGGTCATAAATGTTACAGTGTAAACTTTATGTTAAAAAATCTTAATTAAACGAACATTATTTTTAAAATTGAATTCTGCAACAGTGAAACTAGTGTTCTATTATTTTTTGCAGGGTATTAACATTTTAAAAATATTATTTTCTAGATTTTCTTTAAAAAGTATATTCGTAAATAGTTTTTTACAATTTTCAAAAACTATAGGATTTAAAGCTTCCCATAAAGTTCTTAGTTCACCCTATCGAGTGCGGACTGTGTGTTGTGTGATTATGAATTGGAACCAACCGTGTTGGCTTACGTCATCGTACGAAATACGAACACAGGCACACACGCGCTTTAAACGATAAAAAGCATTTCGAATTGGGGGAGCATAGCAGGCAGCGCCGCCGCCGCAGCTTTCCAAACACGAAAGTCACACAACAAACCGCCGATGAACAACGAAAAATGCCAAAAAACGGAGGAGACACCGAAAAGACACAGAGCAAAGAAGTCAAAGAGTGGATTCCAGTTGGGTTTCGTTTTGTAGCGGGAGTCTCGCTCCAACCCGCTCACCCTCTCTCGGTGTTTGAACTCATTAACAAAACGTATTGAAGATTAAACGCTTTATTAACGGGTCACAAAAGGGAGGTGGGGCGAAGAACACGTTTTCAAGAGAGACAGAGAAAGAGAGATCTGGGGGCCAAGATGGAGCCGAAGAGAGCAAAGAGAGTGGAGTGGAGAGTGGCCTCCATTGTTGTGGAATTCATGAAAAATGACCGGCAAAATGCAAAAAAAACTGAAATTCCGAAAAAACAACTCTCGCGTAAAAAAGAAAAAGAAAAAAGTCAATGCAAAACCGAAAAATTGTTGACGGCTTAGTCACACACACCTTGAAACCTCGTTACTTTGTTGTTATTGCTGCCCTGGCAACCGAAATAAATAACAACAAAAATGAAGACTTATTGGAGCGCTACACATAGGGCGTGTTGTGCTGTATATTGTATGCTGATGCATTTTTAATTATGAACCGAAAAATAAGCCATGAAAATGTTAAATACACTCACTGCTACGCCAAAGACGATGCTCTCAAGCATAAAATATTTTTCAAAAATTTCATCGCGGCCACGGGGGGTGAGGGAAAAGGGCAAGCAGGGTGTAGCGATGGCGTCATATGCTGTAATCTCGGAATTACGAAACTGGCAAAAGGCAAAGCGAGCACAAATCAAAACCAATTTGTCACAATGCGCTCATTGAAATTATCAACGTTCAATTGCAAGAGGGGGGAGTGGGGACAAAGTGGGGATAGAAGAAAAGGAAATGGGGGGTTTAAAGAGAGCGACAAAATGACATTGAAAGCCGTTTTTTCTTTTTTTGTTTAGAAATCGACAATAAAGCAAATTATGCTTTTTGTTTTAGACCTCGTTTTGTTCACTTTTCAAAAAGGGGGAAGCGAAACGTCAATCACTTGCTGGCAGCGTGAAAAACGGGGGAAATCAAGCTTACAGAAGAAAAATCTGTTTAAAATCGCAATCCTCTCTGCAGTGACGTCACACTCAACACACATACAGAAAGAGAAGGAGCCCTCGCACACTCAATTGTCTAATTAGAATTGAATTAAGAACATGACAGAGCCCGTTGGCGAATGAAAGCTGCAAGCATTAAGAGAATTAAACCACTTATTGATGAGCTTGGCGTAAAAATCATAATTAATCGAATTTAGAACACCGCTAGCTAAACGATGTGGCTTCTACTTCTTCGGCGGCGGATTCCTCTTCGACCGGTTTCTTTTTTTTGTCGCTGAGAAAGCAGATTGTATCAGAAAGCCAGAAGAATCACTCAATTTACAAAAGACTTGACTTCTTTCTCCTTTTGGCCTTATGTAAATGCGTGTGTGTGTGTGTGTGTGTGTGTTCTCCGCCTGGTTTATGCTAATGCTGCGCTGTGCGCCGTGAAGCGAGAGAGATAACACAACACCTGAATTTTCAAGAGGTGAATGAATTCGGTCACAGATAAGAACAGTTAACCCTGAACACCCTGTATCCCGAGTGTCCAACAATTTGCCCAAAATTCGTTCATCACGAAAAGAACAACAGAAAGACAGGAAAAAAACCACTGAAGAGTAAAAACAACCACACACAGCAAGCCAGAGAGAGCGCTCAGTGACGAGGCTGACACTTGCGTTGTCCCGCTCCCACACACGCACCAGCACACCGAAAACGGTGGCAGAGAGAGAGAGGGCAAACGAAAGAAGAAATGCTCGACTATCTTTTTCCCCTTTAGGTAGGATTTATGCAAAATTTATAAGACAGGTCACGCAGTCGTTTTCCCATACCAAAAGGGTAGCAAAAATTGAACTAAGACATTACGTAGAATAAAGGCGGCTTACTTCTTCGCGTCGCACAACCTCCAACTGCAGGCGCTTGTGGAACTCCTCGCACTCATCTTTGTACTTTTCCATCTCCTCTTTGGTCTGGCGCATCTTCTTCTTCAGCACGTCCAAGAGAGTGCCTTGTGGAATGCTGGTCGTCATTTTTGTGGTTTTTCTTCTTTGCTTTTATATCCAAATGAAGTTCTGGGTGTTTTCCTGGCAAAGTTTTGCACTTTTTCGACAATTTCTATTGCAGCACCGAATTCAATTTACACTTGAAATCTCGAGGAACACACACATACACAATTCAATCGAAATGAGCGAGGAACGAATACACATACAGTGAACCACCGGTTTTTCTTTTCTTCTTTCTCTTCAACTGCTTTTTCCTCGGCTTCGCGGCAGTGTTTTGTGGCAAAATTCGGTTGGGAACACTATGTGGAGTGGAATAACTCGTGTTTAAGTATTAAATATTGCTATTTGGTGGCAAAAACACACACGAATCGACGGAGAGAGGACAACGACTGCGACGAGTTGGAAATTGAAAATCGAAATGAAACAGAAACACTTGGCAGCGCCGTTGAAGCAGCGGTGGTTTGTGCGAGCGAGACAACTGCTGTGCCTAAAACGCTACTGTGTGTGTGAGTTGAATTCCGAAGCTGTTGTTTAACACTTTACATTTTACACGTCTGTTAAACCGTTTTACACGTTTACAGATACATGGAATCGAATTCTCACTTTTGGGGTCGAATTCTCATGTAAAATTCGCTCTCGGGTGCTGTCGGGTGGATGTTAGTTAACAGAATTCGCTCTCGGGTGAAGCGGCTGTGGTGGTTTGTGCGAGCGAAACAACTGCTGTGCTCCGTGCGTGACTTTCTGTCTGCCTCGCCTAAAACGCTGTGTGTGTAACGTGTGTGTGTCGGTGTCTGTATTTGCCAACGCAACTTAACGGCCTCTCTCGTCACCGCCACAACCATCTCTCCCTCTCCCTCCCACACCTGCCACTAATTGTAGGGGGGAAAAACGGAAAACACAATGCCGGTGCTTTATCATCGGGCTTATCAGCAAACTACGTAAAACGAAACGTAATGACTAATCTGACTCTCCTATTGGCCGCTTTTCGTGAAGTTCGCAACCACCTGTAGTTTTTTTTTCCCGTCGCGATGGCGTAATTGTTTTGATAATGCAAACACTCAATGAGCGCTCGTCCATTTTTAGCCGGCGACATTGAAAGGAAATTAAAAGTAAATAAAAATACAAAAAGGCGAAGGTCGCCGAGCCTAATAATTAATTTGTTCGCCAATTTGGCCAAGTTGAGCTTTGGACGCGTGTGGTTTTATGCTTTGGCCAAATATGGCCGGGTTTTCCTTTTAGTGTTTCAAACTGTTGCCATTTTCAGACTACAGAGAATTGAATAAAGCGCTGGAAAAGCGTATAAAACCGACGGGGTTGAGGGAGGTGTACTACTAATACAATTTAGCGCGCTTATCTCAAGCTCTCTTTTTGCCCATTTACGGTTCCACCCGCAAAGAGAGTAGAAGAGTGTACGAGGAGAGCAACAGGTGGCCGGCTGGTACCGTTAGGCATTCCAGAAAATTGCGCAACTAATTAAACAATTGCCTGCAATTAAATAAACTTATTTTTGGAATACCGTCTTAACGAGGGTTGTGGGAATTGTATCAGTATTGGAGACTTTCCGAAAAGAAGGGAAAATTCCATAAAATATTAAAAGTTTTAAAGCAACAAATACTGCTAATACTTTCATCGAAAGACAATCTCGGCTGTAAAAGCTAAACGAAAAATGCGTAAACCTAAACGAGGTCAAGTCTTGCAAGAAAATTCGAAGCGAAGGCCGAATCAAGACCGCGGGGCCATTGAAGGGTTAAGAAAATAGCGAAAAGACGAAGGCGACGACGACGACGTAATCGCTTTGCAATGCAAAAGAAGAGCGAAGGAGAATGAGACAATAACAAACTAGAGCAATCGCAGAACCTAACCAAACTTTGGACACTACTCTGGCAAGTTCAGCAACAACAACGAGGTGGCTTTAACTTGGTTTGGGAATAAACACAGAAGATAATACAGTGATTAGTAGTCAATAATCGAAGTTGCCCTTATTACCCGTTTGAGCTGCGTGTTCATGATGTTGTGAAGCTCGTTCCGGATGATGTTGAACTTCATCATGGTGTCTGAGCTGAAGATGGACCTGCCGAACGCCAGTCCGGGGTAGTCAGCACATCGTCCCTTGTTTCGGCGCGCCTCACGCTCAGCCACAATCTCGGCTGCTTCGCTGGTGCAGCGAAGCTTTGACCACTCCGCCGCCTGGTTATCGTCGTCATCGGCCAATGCAATGCCCTCGTCAATGGCCCCGGCGCTGAGATCGGTGGCCAGACTATCGCTGCTCAGCTCCATGGGGTTTCCGGAGGCTGCGGATCGCTTGCTGCGCTCCTTTTTACCCGAAGATGAGGATTTCTTCTTGCGTTCGCTCTTTTCCAATTTTTCCGAATTCTCCGACTTTTCGCCCTTCTCTCGTTTCTTTTTCTTGCTCTTAGTGGTCGGAGGAGCTGCTGGCGGCACGCCGGCCACTCCTGGCGTTGCTGCTGTGTTCGCTGCTGCACTCTCATCTTGAACACTGCTCTCGTCTGTGGGCGTGGGACTATTGCTGCCCAGAGAGTTTGTCACAGATTCGCTAAGCGGCAGGCTTAAGGTGCTTCTGCTGGGTGCCATCTCCGTTTGCTGCTGCTGCTCCTCTTCCGGGGGCGCCGCCTCGCCTCTGAGATTGGACAGAACACCTTTGGAGTCCCCGCGATAAAGAGCGGCCAGAATTTCCTGCACATTGGGTACATTGGGACGGCGGGTACCGGAGAATCGCGGATGATGCTGGTGGCCACGTCGCTTCAGCGAGGCCGGCGTCAAGCTGTGGCCCTGACTGTTGTTGCTGTGGCTGCCAGTACCACTGGTGCTAGAGTCATTGTCGTTGTCCATGTCCGAGTCGCTCCAGAAGTCGCTGGCCGGGGAGTAGCTCCTGCTACTGCTGCTGCCCCTTCTAAACTGTTTGTAGAGCTGCGCTAGGTGCAACTGGGCCTCCTCATCGCAGTAGTAGAGCAGGTCGTCCAGCACATTCAGCTGCGCCTCGATGGAGCACCAGCGCGAAGAGAGGCCAGATTCAGCGCCGTCACTCCGGCCTCCCGGATGGCGTGTGTTCCTGGTTCCACGCTTTCGCTGCTGCTGATGATGATTCGGTTTCTTATCACTTTTCAACAATTGTTTCTGCTTCTGTTTCGGTTTGGCAAATGTTTTGCCAGACTGTGCTAACACTTGGTGCTTTTCTGAAAATTAAATAATACTTAGCTAGGAAGGGCGATCGACGACGGCGGGGGTCGAGCGCTTTTCCGTGTTAATTATTTGAGTGTATTTACGGAATCCAATTATATTTGTGTGTTTTTGAGAATAAATTTTTGGCCAAAATTCCGCTGCAGGGATGACTTTTGTGGCAGTCGGGTTATCGAAAGTGGTTTGAGTCACGGCTACAAAGAGTAGCTCGTCCAGAAACCGTTGTTGCTCTCTCAGTAAGTCGTACTCCTTCTTTCCATTGATTGAGATGGAAACAGCTGGTAGTGTAGCCAGAGTGTTTAAGGAAATATGTCATTGGTGGAGTAAGTTTTTAGTCATTTGAATTACATATTACTAAACTGGGAGAAAAATTTGTTAGATTTTTAAAATCTTAAAATTTGTTTTTATAAACTTTAAACTTGTTTGGAAATTTTGTCGAAAATTCTGGCAACTCTACCAGCTGCTGATGTTGGGAGTGAAGAGTAAAAGCTAAGTGCTACGACACGTTTACATTCTGTGAATTTTAAAACAATTGAATTTTAGAATAAAAGAAATTTACGCTTTTGCTGCGTCGGTTGTTTGTCGTTGCCGCCGCTGGTGAGTAAATGCCGATGCGCTCGCTTTATTTGATGGGCCAGCGTTTGCCGGCGGGCCGAATTGCCAACGAATTTGATTTTAACGCTTTGATTTTGTGCTGGCGCCTTAACGGTTATGCTGTTGCATGTTTGCAACGGTAATGTTGGATTTGTGGTTTTTGTTGTTGTTGTTATTGCTTTTGTTGCATTTTTCGCACTGCTATTTTGTTGTTGCTGTTGCTTGACTTTAACTGTTTTTGCTGCTGTTGTTGTTGTCTTGCTATTATTATTATTGTTGTTGTATCTCACTTTTTGCCACTCATATGCATTATTAACTTTCGCAGTTCCCTGAGTTAATGTTTTTTCGTACATATTTTGTTGATATTGTTGTTGCTTGTGTTATTTGGTGCGTGTTGCTTGCTTGTTGTTGTTTTTGCTTTGCTTGGTTATAGTTTTTTCTCTCAAACAGCTGAGCTCATTGTACCGCTAGTTTGCCTATTTTTATTGATGATTTAATACAGATTTTCTTTTTTTTTCGTTGTTATTGTTGGCTCTTTGGCAGATTTTCATTAGCGCGTGAAAATTGCCGAGAAAAGTTTCCGCTACACTGTAACTCTCTGCTGTTTTTGAATTTTATGTAATTGAAAGATCACTAGAATTGCATTTGAGGCGACTCAAATGAAAGCAGTGATTTGAATTTATTTATTTAATTAATTAATGTCAATTGATTGCTTGTTAATTATTTAATTTTCCTGCTGGCGGGCGCTGCTGCTGGCTGGTTTTCTGCTGCTGCTTTTTCCACGCAGTGTTGTACTTGAAAATGTGTTCGCCGCGGCGATCATTTTTTGGGGCCATTTGAAAATGTGCCTCTCTCAGTGGCTCTCTATTTGGCCCGCTCTCTCAACTGCCCCCATGTGGCAAGTGTGTGGGAGCGTGTCAGCGATATGTATAGTATGCAGTTAGAGCGCAGGGCGAAAGAAAAAGAAAGCTAGAGCTAGGAAATGCGTACGCTCTCTCTCTGTCTCTTTACGACCGCTGAGAGTTTTCCATTCTTGCCGCTCCCGCCGCATTTGATTCATTTAATTGCTTATCTCTTCTTTTGTCTTCGTTTTCTGGTTATTAGTCAGTTAGGCATCCGTTGTCATCATGTTTATTTTAAAGCCCGGGGCTGGGCCAAGTAAACATGCTGCCTGATAATAGTTCTATGCTGTCTGATAAGCATTATTTACTTTTTATAAGTTTTCAAGAGATAAGTGTTACCTGCACCACACCTCTATACTTGACGATTTTCTTGAAACGCTGCCAATTGTCAGTGTCCTTGGAATACTTTCCCGAAATGTCTCCCAATCAAAAGTCGAATCGCAATTCGAATTCTTTTTGGAAACCTACGGCCGCACTGTGAACAATGTTCTAGAATTTAGATTCGCCACAGCGTTTGTGTATGTGTTCTTTTTTGCGAGTAAATCTTTTTGGCAAACGAACAAAGATTCAGCTGCGTTATTTGATATTACCCCAAAATGCATAGCCGCCTCTCTCTCGCACTCGCCTCTGGCTATTTTCAACAAATTTAAAAATAGCGCCATCTTCGAGAGGCGTTGCCAACAGCTAGTGGAGGTAGAGAGAGAGCAAAAGCAAGAGAGCGGCAGTGCTGCGTGTCAATTGCTGACTGCTCTTTCATTTGTTTGAAATTTGAAAAAAGAATTTATGATTTTTTCCATTTTGGAATTTCCTGGCATGTTTGCCGTTTCCCCCCAAACATTTTCTCCAATTTCAAACAGCCAAGGTGCCATGAAATTGGCGTTAAATTGCCGCGGCCCCATTTTCTAGACACTTTCCCCCAAAAAACCGTGAGCTGTCACCAACTCGTATCAGAAATTGGTTGTATAAATTTATGTGTATTTCTTGCCTGGCATGCATTTCAAAATATTGAGCATAAGCATAAAATATATGTATTATATATCTATATTTCTTAAGAAATAAACTAACATGTGGTAAACTTGTTGGGGAAAAGCGGAAAATGTTTTAGGATTCAAGACATTTTAAGTCTGACAAATGGGGGAGTAGATTTCAAATGATTAATGGACTGTTTTCCTTTGGGTTTATGTTTTTTTTCTTAAGTGATCTAAATAATTATGATTTTTTGGGGTGTGCTTTTAAATATCTTGTGGTATTTTTTTTTTTAGTTTTTCAAAGTTAAGCTAAATAGATTGTTCAACAATTAAGTAACTAACTAATGAGAAACAATAAGCTAACCAAATGTTAGTTAGTAGTTCAAATGAATTGGGTCTACTTTTTTCGAATTTTAATTTTGAGATTGAAACAAAAATAATAATTTATTAGCAATTACAAGATTTTTATAAATTTATTGAATAGTTTGATAATGTAAAATAAGGTTTCTAACTAATATTATATATAAAATCTTAGTTCAAAGTCCTGTTTTTTAAGGTTACTACCAAAAAATGGGGTTTACCCTAAGTCTTATTAAGCTAACTCTTAAAATCTTATTCTAAAATGTTTAAATGTTATTCTAAATGTTTAAATGAAAAAATGGTAAACTTACGTTCTGCAGGGCCTTGTTCTTCTCCTCCAGCTTGCCGGTGACCACAGTCAGGGCCTCCTGGGTCTGATCCAGGTCGTTCTCAACGGTCTGGATCTTCTTCTGCAGCTGGCGAGCCTCCTCCTCGGCCTACAGTTGCGTTATTTAAAATGTATACAAAAAGAGCAATTAGAAATCAACACACATCGACACGGGAATTGCATGTGTTAACAAGATTTATGGTGTTTGTTGTGTGTAAAGCCGTTCATTATGTTTTTTGTAGCAGCAAAATGTTTTTCGGTGCGTTGAATGGCAAGGTGCGTTTGCTTACACCGAAAAAAATATGATTTAAATACTAAGTACTCTAAATGTTTACAAATCTTATACTTTAACAAGGAGTAGCTTAGCTAAAATCTAAAAAAATGTTTTATATATTTTATTACTATACCCTTGCAAGGTATTATAATTCTAGTTAGTGTATGAGTCTATAAACCCTATACATTTTTAGCCTTAGCTATGAGCTTTTTAAACTTTGATGTATCGAACAAATTCATATTGAAAAATATCAATTTAAATAGTTCGAATATTTGAAGTTTAGTTGTTAATTGATTTTAGATTCCATCTTACATATAATTTGATTGTTACGTGCAAGGGTATATAAACTTCGGCTACCCTTTCTTGTTAAGCTTTATTATGAAGACAGTGAACATTTTATAAACTGATCTAATACTGTCAAAACTGTTTGCTTGTCTTTGATAAGTTTTGAGAAGTTATTTATAAGGAATATACATTTTAAAAATCTTAAAATCGCAATATTTGAAATATTTTTCTCTGTGTATCTGATTGTTTATGCTTCAGGATGAGGGGCTAGTAAGGCGGATGGCGGATGACGGGTGGCTTGTACTGGGTGGCTGTGGCTGACTCACCTTCTCGGCGCGAGTGTTGGCATCGCGTGCCTCCTGCTCGCAGACGAGAGCGCGCTCCAAAGCTCCGTCCTTGTCGACTTTCATCGCTTGCATCTTCTTCTTGATGGCATCCATGTTTGTGTTTGTTTTGCTTTTACACTACTCGAAAGAAACTGCAATTGAAACGAAGACAGAGATTGAAATCGAAATCGAAAACTATTGTTAAACTGCAGCCAATAAGGCAATTAGCAAATTTATGCGATAATCATCAGTAGCAAAACAAAAATGAAAGAAAACTCGACTTGTGTGAAAGTGAATCTGTGTTGAGGAATTCATTTGCATTTTACGATTGATTTCTGCTATTGAATATTTTTATGCAGTTGAAGAGGGTTAAAAAACTCTCATCTTATTATCTTTTCGTTATAAACTATATTGGGTTCAAAGATGTGATAGTTGTTGATTTTTTAGTAATTGCTTATTGAACTTTATTATTTTCCTGTTAACTTATTACTTTAAATTTTATTATAATCATTATAATGTTATACTATTATAATTTGTACCATTTAAGTGAAAGAATTCTTTATTGTTAAATACCTAACATATTATCTAGGCTTAAAAGGGATTACATGTCTGAAATCTTTGAACACAAAATTTTATAAGCTGATTTTTAACCAGACAAGAGAATTGTTGTATATAAATTCCTTTATTAATATTATTATCTATATGGTAAATAACCACATTTATTATCACTTTAAGGCTTGATAATTCAATCCTATCTCTTTCTTTAGAGCATCATTAAATATACCTCTTTTTTTAAATACTCAAAAAAATATCAGTAGATATACAATAATCCAAAAAGTGGATTCACCAAAAGTTTATTGATTTAAGTCTCAGTCTCTTTAGGATACGATAGATACTTTTCAGTCCTGTCTGCCTTGGCACTTTGTGAATAGTTATAAGTATTAGATTTATTTCCCAATTTCGAGATCGTTGATTTAAATTTTTTTTTTATTTATAAGCACAAAAAGGTGGCAAAACCAATTAATTATTTTCCCTTTTCAAAAAGTTAAGCCACCTCAAAAGTCAGACGGACGCATTGTTCAAGCTTAACCAGCTGATAAATTGAGAATTTAATATTTTGCCGGCGTTTCTTCACGACTTTTATTGCTCGATTCTCATTCCATTTCACATTGGAGGTGATCTTCTTTCTCCAACTGGGCTTCAATTTGTTTTTCGAGAGTGTCTTCTCATCTCACAGTAAATCATTAAAGCCAGAGAATACCTGAATAGGTGTAGTGCACGTTTTTGTTTTGAATTCTTGTCTTAATTTATGCTGATCACATGGGATCTGTTTTTGGAACTGTGAAGCGAAGCTGGGGATATGGGGAGTAGAAAGAGTTCTACCACCAAACCAAAAATTGTGTCAGTTGATTAAATGAAATCTTAACTGGGCCAGGAGATTGCTTTGTATGTTTTTAACAGGTGGAAGAAATACTATAACTATCAGTCAAGGTATGCATTTTTGGTTTATATTTCCACTTTATATATGTTATCTTATTTTATATCTTTTTATCTGCTTTTCTCCCAAAGTAAATCTCTTACTTATCTTTTTAAGACATTCTTTTTAGTACTCTCTTCCTCTAAAATATCTTCTCTCTTGCCCTCTAAATTCTTCTGTTATCAATGAACTCTAGAGATAAACTCTCCTCTCCAACTAAAGATTCCCCTCGAATGAATCACCTGAACAGTCGGCTGCTGTAGACTATTTTTCCCCCTGGCCAACTCAATATCCCAGACCTTCTGACTCAGAGTGGACGCAGCTGGAGGGTTCTTGGCCCCTCCTTAATATCCACTCCCTCCGAGGCCCACTTGACCAACATTTGTCATGGCTTAAACCGGCTAATTGACTCGAGTTTCGCAGACTGAAATTTTAATTCTTTATTACGACGCGACTCCTTGCTGTCATTTATTTTTAAAACCTCTGTTTACATTCCGGAGTTCGTTCTGATCCCACCGAAGAGAAGTGCCAAAGCACAAAAAAAATAAACCCAAATTAAATGTTGAATTTTAATGAAATTGCAATCGAAGCAAATTTTTTGTTCAATGGAACATGCAAATATATATATATATCTTCATATGTATGGAATATATGTCGATTGAGGTGACACATTGAGTTATGTTTGCGTTGATTCAGCACAAAAATCACCAGCATGACTTCGTATAACTTTCGGCAATGACATAGATTTATTAATTTTAACAAAAAACTGGGCCTATATCAGGAAAGACTATCAGAAAGAAAGGGCTTGTGAAAATGGATTCTTTTATATCTTAAAGATACCAAAAATATATTCCTAACCTAACTCTTATTTATTATTACATTAAATATATTATTTATTTGATAGTATAACTCGATCAACTTGCATTTTTATCCCAGTTACTAAAAACACCTCCTTCTTGGTTTTTTAATCTATAAATTGTATATATTTCTCCCACATACATTTCCAAATTATCCAACGGAAAAATCCAATTTTCATTATACTGAATAGAGAATTTTCTAATTATAGGATTTCAATAGATACACTCCGTTGGCTTACGTATTTAGGTCTAATGCATATATAGATTCCTTAGCTGAAAAGCTCTTCCACTCTCTATGTTCTCTAAGCATTTTATCTCTCGGAAAGTATCTAAAAATAGTCCCATAGAGGCATCTGTTGAATATCTTTGCCCCTTGGCGATATTACTTAATACTAAATTGAGAATCTGAGAGAAGAGAGCTTTCCGGGAAAGAATTCTTAGTGGATTTTCGCCTACGTTCGCCTCAGAACCATTTGGCATCTGTGGCCAGTGGTCGTGTGTATCGAATTTCGCAGATACAAAATTGCAAAAGAAATGTTTTACATATGGAATTTATAAATAATAAATTATTGCTAAGAGATAGTTGCCATTAATGAAAATTAACCTTTGCTGATAAAGATATATCAAGATGGACCTTTATACTATCAAGATATTCATTTAATCTTTTCATATACTATACGTTTGTTATCATAAATTTTTTAGACACCAACTATTTACCCTTCATCAATAAATTTTCCCCCGTTTTTCACAACTCTCCCTAACAATAACTTTAGCTGACTTTTAATAATACAATTTAGAGACCATTGGCAATGTTTATACATCTCATAAAATGCTTTTAATGGAAGTGGAAACCCTATATGTCAACTTGCGGTCAGCATACAAACTTGACAAGGCCCAGAGAATCGTTATTATTAGTTCTTATCGAACTATGCAAAAGGTGCTTAACCTCTATTTGGGTTTTTGGGCTCTGTCTTAAAAATATTTCAAACGATTTCCTCTGCATCCTGTTTAATTTCGTAATACTTGCGGTTTCTTCAACTTTAGATTTTCACAGCACTTTGGTTTGGTTTGAAGTTAGTCTAGTAGAAACTTTTTAAATTATGTAATTATTTTGATTTAATTTCGGGCCATTTTTGGTGTAACTTCCAAAAATTTGGGACAGTTTTTCAATTGGTTTTGAAGCACTTTCGTATATTTTTATAAAAATTCAGCAATATCTTTGTTGATTTTGTTGATTAAAACGTTAGCGTATTCCTTTTTTCTTTACTTACAAAACTTTTATTCGGAGTTATCCGCGACTTGAACGGATTGTGATGTTCAACTGAAAATATTTATTCAATATGTTGACGTTCGATGCTAGCTTTGGTCGATTCCGACCGATCTGCCTTCGTGTGTGCGTGCGAGAGTATCTGTGTGCGAGAGCGGGCACTTTTCGGCCAAAAAGCGAGGCGAATCCGAATCTGAATCGGAATCGGAATCCAAAGCTACATATGTTATTGCTGTTGTTGTGGGCCAACGTTTATTTTGGAACTGCATTCTGGCCTCTGCTCTCGATCTGCGTCAAAGAGAACCATCCGGAGGAGTGTATTAGGTGAACTTGTGCACTGTGCGAAATAAATAATATAAAAATGGAATGGGTATAATTAATAATTTTTTTAAGCAGACTCATTATTAATATATTTAACAAGAAACCGCCTTTTATGCCTAAATGATATTAGCTGTTTATATTTATTTTACTCTTTGTATTATTTATATTAAGGAGAAGATGGATTATATAGTTGAATTAAATGTAATCCCTCACTTCAGTAAAAGTAATAAGGTGGAAACGATCAAATATGTACTCTAAATATAAATACTATAATTTAAATATAGAACACAAGGAAAATATGTCAAAATATTGATCCAAAAATAAATAAAAATAAATCTACTGTTTTATATGGCATATTTCCTTAGCTGGCTTCCCTACACCATTTAATTGTACTCCACTTGAAGAGATTTAGACTTGGAAGACTATGTACATGTGTAAAAATTAAATTATTATGTAAATAGGTATGTAAGTAATCTCTTGATGATAAGATCTTCCAGCACTTAATCCTAATCATTTTCAAGCTACACTTCTGTCAGTGTATCTGAAATTACCGCCCCACAATATCCAATATATTTACCTTTCCCGAGAGAGCCCCCATTTGACTTCGGCTAGCGATCGGGCCGTGTCTGTGTGAGGACCGAACACCTTCGGCTGATTTATGATCACCTAACACAAGCACAAAAAAGCCGGCGCCTGCGCCCTTTCTTCGTTCTTCCGCTCTTTGCTCAATCCTTTCTCCCGCGCGGATTTTGTGGGGCTTTCACCTGTTCGCTCAATGTGCGTGTGTATGGGTGCTCAGGCCTTTGGAATCGAACAATTTTTATTCAGCCTATTTTTGAATATTTCCCCGTATTTCGAAAAGCTTTCCTCACCCAGTATTTTGACGATTGCAAAATATATTTCCAATACAAAGCCAACAACCATTTCTCTTTTCTTTGCAGCTGTGTGTGTTCGTGGATCTTTTTGTTTTGCTTTCTGATGTTCTCGACTTCTATTTTTAATTTTCAGTTATTGATATGCCAAAAAAATCTTGTTTCACTTAGGTATATGTATGTATTTCACGCCATAGGTCTACAGATTATTATTATTTTTCGTTCTCCATGTATATATCCTATGCGATTTCTATAGATTTTTCAACGTCATGTCTCTGAACGGAAAACATTTTGCTTGGCAATCACTTATGTATGTCTCAGATGAAGGTATATGATTTTTGTAACTGCCTCAGAAAGAAACGCATCAATGATTCATCATAAGAATTCAGAACGTGAAAATCTTTTGAATGCAATTTCCTCATAATCATTGTATGTAGATCCGATCTCAAGAAACGTACATATGTACATATAAATGTATCTTTGGCCTTGTAGATTCTTTTTCGACCACTTGAGCACGCTCACTATTTTCTACTTTGATATTTGCTTATTAATTTAATAAAATTATATTTTGGGAGATTTCGGAAGTTGTAAAGATTCTCTAAATGATTCTGATGAAAGATTCGGAATATTATCTACAAAACTGTATAAGGCAAAATATATACAATAGAGAACATAATTAAAATTTAGAATAAAATGAAATATTTTGACCAAAATGAATATTATATTAATTTGTGATTGTATGGTTTATCCCAAAGACGATTCCTTTAACAACGAAAGTTCACTAGTACTTTTAAACTATTTAATGTTTTATAAAGTATATAACTAAAAAAGCAAAAGCAATTTATTTGGAAATAATTATATTATCATGCAAGTAGTAATTCAATTTAATATTAATTGATTTTGTTTTTATTTCGGAATAACTTCTCTATTTTTATTTGTTTTTTTTTTTTTTTTTTGAGTTGGATTTAAGCAGAAACCCTAATTTTTTTATTTTATAATTGTAAAATCATGATAAAAAAATCTATTTAAAGTGTTTTTAATTAAATATGAATTGTTACATTTACAATTTTCAACCTTTAGATTACTTTGAATTTATTTTTAATATTTACTTAACTTATAAAACAAATAGGTCTTTGGCATCCTGAAAGAATGATATTTCTACCAATATTACCTACTTTATCCTTGCAGTTAACACCAAAATTAATAAGCTATAATTTCTTCTATTTATAGAAAATCGCATTATATAAAAAATATTATAAATGCAACCAAGCCCAGCTATAAATATCAGCAAAATTGATATAGATATTGATAGAAAATGTACCCCTCCTTTTTTTTACTTGTCGCCTGGTCTTGGAGAAAATTATGTTTTTTTCAGCACCGAGGCGCCGAAAAAGTTTATAATTAAAAATAGCAACACCCACATAATGACGTAATTGTTTTCATTCAAAACAAGAAAGTTGTGAAAAAGTAAACTAGATCGATATATATGTGTATTTATACTCACATAAAGGAATAGGCATGAGAAAGGCCCTTGAGAAAAGTTGAAAATATTGTAAAACAGCGAAAAAGTCAGAGCAACTTGCTAAATAAGACAACAAAATCATGGTCAACGAAGCTGCTAACATGTGTTAGTTATGGAAAACCAAAGTTTTCATAATTCCGAAAAAATATACGTGAAATAGGTACAAGTATACGTTTGTATATATGTATGTACATATTAATGTTTATATCTCTCAACTTAGCTCAGTCAAGTGCACGCAATCTTGCTGGAAAAATCGCAACCATATTTGGTGAAAATAGCATGGAAAAGTGCTTCGTGACCTAGGGGCATAGACGACTCACAAAAGTCGATAACATGTAGAGGCACTTTACTCAAAGTCAAATATTAATAAAAAGTTTATTGAGATAAAAAAAAATCATAATTATATTATATTTTAAAGTCTACTTCAATTTTAATTGTTGGAGTATCCGTTTGTTATACCCCTGCATTGTATTATCATTTTATTCAGAATCTTGTAACACTGTGAATGAATTTTCCCAACGAATGTAAATATTTTAAGATAAGTTATGATCGGTTTCCGATTCGTTCTTATAATTCAATTGGAAACTGCAAGGGTATATAAACTTTTTCTTCCCGAAGTTACATTCCTTTCTTGAATATAAATTATTTTGTAATGAACAATTTCAAAATGTTCTGAAAAAGTTAACCATATTTTGAAACTATAAAGAAATTGTGGGCTGCCTCAAAACAAGTTTTCCAATTTAATTTAAATCTTTTTAACTTCAGAAAAATCATGTAAATTAAGCTCATTTTAAGGTAATTGTTATCTTCACCATTTTCAGCGATACCTATATATTTTCTTTGAGAAATAACGGTTGACTGAAAACGATTGGCAAAAGTGTTAAAATAAAATTATTGCCTACATTTGGGCCACAAGATCAATCATTTTGAAATCTCTAAAAACTTTCGGAAAATGAAGAAAGTTACATTTTCAAATGAATGCTCAGTGAACAATGGGTAGAGGCCAACAAATAATGAAATATAATCTGTAAAGTGCTGAAGTACGCAGCAATATGAGCCGGCATCGAGGAGTGTTTTTGGAGGTGTGGACTATGCTATTGATGACTCAATTGGCGCCGGCTCCTTGTGAATGAAACGATTGCGAACTGGTTATGGTCGGGGAGCTTTATTGTGCCAAAAGGAAATCTTCGCAGCAAGCTACAGCTACTTGCCTTCCCAAAGTTTTCCAAGGTGGCCAAGGTGAGCCGGATCGAATGTCATGTGTGGTGTGCTTGTGAACAGCGTTTTGGCGCTCTTCAACATTGTCAGTGTCAATTATTTGAGAATTAAAGAGACACCCGAGACCTTGAACTTATCGCCAAACCGCATGTAAATATATAAATTAGACGGGCGCCGGAAAACAATTGTTGTTTAGAGATTCAGATTATTCTCGCACTTGGCAGGTTGCACAAATCTTTTGATTCGCGTTCGTTTCAAGGGCAGCGCTATTTCAATGCTAGGAAACAGCTGCAGAAAGTTATTGACGTGAACCAAAAGTGTGTGTAACAGAAAAAAAATTTATATTTTTCGTTTTAATTTTATGAAAGCTTTGTTGGGTTAAAACAATTAAGGGATTAATGGTTCCGAAATACATGGAAAATGATCCCAGAAGCGTGCTACAAAAAGTAACGTTTTTTTAAGCAAGAAGAAATTGTAAATTTTTACCGCTTTTATTACAAGCAGTGATTATTAACTTAGACTGCAAAACGAATTCTGCTGGTTGAACTCAGCTTCAGCTTTCCCTCATGGGGTTTTTTTACACATAGAAAACCGTTGTGGTTATTTATCACTTAAAATAAATTAACAGAGAAATCTTTTCTGTATATACTTTTTGAATTGAGGTCAAGGTCAAAAGTACTTGGTTTTGTCTGGGAAACGCGGGAAAGATTTCAAAATTAAAAATGTTGATGTGGTCAGATTATAGGGAAAACAATTCATATTTCCACTGTGACTAATGGTAAGTTGTATTTTAGTATTTGAAAACCTTTTAAATTTCTCAGTTATTCAAAATACATAATACTTATTAAATAAAATTCTTTTAAGAAAAACATTTTAATTTTATAAAATATGACATACTATCAAAAATTTATTGGCATTTATATAAGAAAAGAACGCGTTAATTTTTTTTAAATTCTGTTTTTCAGCTCGAAAAGTCTGGCAACGCTTGCTCATTGAGACCATACTCAAGGCTTGCCGGACTGTGCGTCTTAGTGTGCCCAGCTGCCGTGGAGCGAAAATTGGCCCTTTTTATGAAAGATTAACGGAATGGTATCGATAGTGACAAATGTTTTGCCAGCTCTAATAGTTATGTCTTTCGCCGAAAAACTAAACCACTACAGTAAACGGAAATCGTTTCGATATGGGATTCCCTTCCTGGTTATGATGGTCGCCGGCTCATTTGGCCTGCAGCAGTTCTCAAACCTCAGGTTAGCATTCATGGATCGGCTGGAAACTCGTGTTATAACCCCGAACTTGCACTCTTTGCAGGTATCAGTACTCCAAGAAACAGCCGGTGACTCCGGAGGAGATGAAGAAGTACGGCGTAAACATGAAAAAACGCCAGGAGGTGACGCTGGAAACTGAGTACGACAAGGTGAAAAACGTGGACATTGATAACTGGGAAAACAAACGTGGTCCACGCCCCTGGGAGGAGGAGGGCCAGACGACGGCGGCAAAACATTAACTATTTTGTTATTCAGGAACAATTTGGCCCACTGCCTTAGCAATTTCCTCTACAGTAGGGCGGTCAAATTATCCTATTCGACCCAAACAAATGTTATCCGTGTTAAGGACTTGCTGAAAGCAGACTGTTTGTTGTATATAGTCTTAAATTAATATATAAAAATGTTTATAAAAGGCGAATGATATTTTGTTAAAAGGGGTTTTTTTTTAATAAGCTCGGAAATTATAATAAGAACAACAAAATTAAAGAATTATAGAATTTAAATTTTCACCATTATTTATACAGATAAGATATTCGGTATTTTTTTTCTTTCCAACTGTAGGCCATATTGCTTTGTTCCAACCACGGTCACACTGATCTCTAATATTTTCTATTTTCAATAATAAAATGGGAGAAGTTAAACCCGCAAAAGTGGAAAACTGGAGCGCAGGAACGTCCGATGCAAACACACTGTTTGCGGATGGTAAGGCGCCCTCGGGCTATACAAAAGTTCCTCTAACCAATTCTCCCGCCTTCCAGGTGAACGGGTGCTGTGTTTCCACGGCCCGCTCATTTACGAGGCGAAGGTGCTGAAAACAAAGCCTGATGCGACGCCGGTCGAATACTACATTCACTACGCAGGCTGGAGCAAAAAGTATGCACGGGATTTGTAAGCAAAGAAACCGCTCTGCAAAAATATCCTCTTAATTCCAGCTGGGACGAGTGGGTGCCCGAAACCCGAGTTCTGAAGTACAATGAGGACAATGTTAAGCGCCGCCAAGAGCTGCTGGCGAGCCAAAGCGCCCCCTCGAAGAAGGACAATAAGAAAGGTGTGTTTCCCTCTTGGTTGTTGTCAAACCATTAATACGATTGTGTCCCCAATAAAGGCAGCGCCAAGGCAAAGAAAATGGAGCAGATAAGGAACGAATCTCGCGCCTCCACACCTTCAAAGGATAGCAACACATTGCAAGCGACAGTCAGTAGCACACCTACGACGAGTGCGGGACCGACAACCAAGTCAGATGCCATTACCACCACCAACACGGCCACCAACACCTCCGTCACTACCACCTCAACCAGTCGGGCCAATCGAAAATCGACACAATCTGCTGCGGTTGCGGCTACGTCCGGCACGCCAGTTGACAAAAAGGAAGATGCTAACACGACTGCGGAGATCACAGAGGACGAGGCAGCCACACCGGTCGCGCCGAAAAAGAAGCGGATGAGCGAACAGCGCCCGTCGCTGACAGGCAGCGATGTTGCAGCAGAAAAGCCGGCTCCGGCGCCCACCACTCCATCCACACCTACCGCAGACTCCGCATCGTGTGTGGAAAGCGAAGAAGCGTATGCCGCCAAGGTGGAGGTAAAGATCAAGATACCCGACGAGCTAAAGCACTATCTGACCGATGATTGGTATGCGGTGGTGAGAGAGCACAAGCTATTGGAGCTACCGGCCAAGGTGACAGTGCAGCAAATCGCAGAACAGTATTTGGCGCACAAGAAGTCTGTGAAGTCGACTAGCGCCAGCAAGGAGGTGGCCATTAATGATGTTCTAGATGGCATTGTGGAGTACTTTAACGTAATGCTCGGTTCCCAGTTGCTGTATAAATTCGAACGTGCCCAGTACTCTGATGTGATGCAAAAGCATCCCGATACTCCGCTCTCAGAGCTGTATGGCTCCTTTCACTTGCTGCGGCTCTTCGTGCGTCTGGGCTCCATGCTCAGCTACTCAGCGTTGGACCAGCAGTCCATGCAGAACCTGATTTTGCACCTGCAGGATTTCCTCAAGTTCCTGGTGAAGAATAGTGCCATGTACTTCAGCATGAGCAACTTTATCAACGTGGACCCCGAGTATGTGCGAAATTCACAGTAGTCGTCGGTCCGCAGACAATCAAACATCTCTCACCCTTTGACTTGATGGAACGACTCTGAAGTGAATATTTCATCCAAACAGTTTGCAATAACTCTTTAGTTGCTCTTCACAACTGGTTTGTAAATTAAAAAACGCACATAACAAGTTTTGTAATAAGCTAATCGTAATGATAATAAAATGTCAGCACCTTGTAAAAATTAGCCCTTGGCTTTAGCCTCCGCCCCATCAGCATCGCTTTCTTCGCTTTCCGCCTCGCTGCTACTGCTGCTGGTAGGATAAAATTCGCGCAGATCTCTTGGCTTATCTCGCTCCTGCTGCTCTTTTTCAAGGTACTCGTTTTGTACCTTTAGAATCTCATCGCTGCTCTTGCACGTCGCATATGCGTTGAGGAGCTTCTCGTTGAGCTCGAGAAAAGCGTGGCCCCAGGAGAACTTGCCCAGAAACCAACGAGCCTCATCTGTGAATCCACAGATGTGCAGTGTGGCAGCGATGGCCTCTACGCAGCTGAGTTTACACGGTTTGCCGTAGTTGATGGGATTGGCGGCCACGAGGAATGGCAGTAATCGCGGATGAGGGCTTCGCATCCTGCTAAATGGAGTTTCGTCTAGCTTGGCCCACGAGCAATCGATCACGGCCACGCCAGAGGAGGCCACAACATCACGATCCAGCGGACTGACGCACAGCTGACCAACGGGAGAAAGGACAAGGCCGGCAAACTTTTGTCCCAGGCGGAGATTGGAGATCAGACCCAGACGTGCTAACTTTCTGCCCGAGCACTTCTTGGGATCGCAGTGGTTAAGGTCCCACATAGCCACTGCAAACTCAGGCGGCTGGCCAAGATCATCCTTGCCACCGCCAGAGGATTCCGAATCCGAGCTATCGCCTCCGCTGCTACTAGCCAATTCGTTGGCCTGTTGGGCAAAGCTACGGGCGCAATTGTGATTCGTCTTGACATTGCGGTAGAGTCCTCCGCCTTTCTTTCCTTTGCCTCTATTCCGGCCACTCATTCTTGTCGGTAGATGCTGGGAGTGTCCTAAAGCTAAAAAATACAACTTTTGTTTTTCAGAATCTCGTGGTGGCAGAGCTGCCAACCCGTTATTTTGGTAGCATTGAAAGGTGGCGATGGAATCGAATACATGGTTTTGTGACGTCACTTATTTAAGAAATGCAAAAACGTCAGTCAATTCGCAAAGTGTTTTTAAAAAGGGCAGTGGTATCATCTAAATTTTACAATCCAAACTATATCCTAAGCCCAATATCCCAGCCCACAGCAAGAAATTATATTTCAAGGTTCTTCCCATACCTACCAGGCTTACTTAATACTTTATATTTCAAATAATTATTTTTTAATCCTATTTAGCGGGCGAAGACCTTGCATTGCTTTTACAAAAGCCAATTAAATTTTTAGATGAGTTTTAAATTTCAAATCTAAATTAACGGTTTCGAAACATGCGTCACCTTAACAGCGTCAAGTCGGCAAAGCCGCAATCGCGTGCCTATCGATAGCCCTAAAAGCAGCCCTGTCACGCAAACGATGATTGGAAAAGAACATGGCTGCCTGAATCTGGAGAAAGAATTAAATAAATTTTTTTCCGGCAAAAGTAGAGTGCAATACGAGTAAATGTATGTATTAATTGTGTAATCTCCGGTTGGTTAACATTTAAATGCATGCATCGCGGAGATTGCCAATAACTGAGACGGTGTTGAAAATTGTGAGCTTCCGAAAAACGCGTTGTTGTGTGAAGTGGGGAGGCGCCAAAAAAAAACCACAGAAGATGCAAATATCCAAATGATGCTTGGACAATAAAGTTGAAATAGAATCATTTTTGGCTAGTTGGCGCTTAGCAGTGGTGATAAAATATTAAAAGAAAGCCTGGCGACGCGCAAAACTCACCCACACATACGCCAGCAATAGCAACTCGGTCACACACGTACACTTGTATATCGATATATGTGAGCTGCATTGCGCGCCGTGCCGCAAAGGAAAAATAACCGAAAATCAATTGACGCGCTGTGCATTTGAATGTAAACGTCCTGGAATTCACTCATTCTAACTGTTTTTGTTTTGCTTTTTTCCCGGACATTTCTTGTTGCCTGCTTCGTGTCATAATTCGCATTTCCCGACCCCCTAACTCCTGCTTTCCTCACCCCTGTGGAGTACAGTTGCGCCACCAAGCCAGAGCCAGCAAAACAACGGGGAGGGCGCGCGAAAGAAAACAAGAACTTGCCAAGGCCACAGGATACAGGACAAAGCAGCATCGGCGAGATGGGCGAAGTTAAATCGGTGAAGGTGGATAACTGGGGCGTCTTCTTCCTGCAGAAGTTGCAGAACTTCTTCAACAAGACGGACTACTGCGATCTGACGCTCCAGTTTCGCGACAACTCACAGCTAAAGGTGCACCGCCTGGTGCTCAGCGCTTGCACGGACTACTTTAATGTGCTGGAGCAGACGTGCGAGATCGTCGACGATGCTCTCATCATGCCCAATGAGTTCCAGGCGGACGTGGTGGTGCCCATTGTCAACTTCATGTACACGGGCACGCTGGAGTTCGAGTTGAAGATGTACGGCAAGCTGTTGCGTACGGCCAAGGAGATGAATATGACCGTTCTGCTGAAACTTCTTGAGGCACATCGTCGGACCATGGAGAACGTAAATCGTCAACAAAGGGTGAGTCTAGCAATTTCTGTTGTGGTCATTAATAACTTAAAAAATTTATATATTCTTTTGTAGCCGCCCAGTCCAAAGGGCATCCGTCGGCGTGTCGTTGGACAGGCCAATTCGGGAACTCCGCAGCATCGCGTTATGGGTACATCGCCACAAAGCCGTGGGATGACCAGCGTAGGAACGCCCACGCCTCTGCGACAAAACACTCAGCGTGGATCCACCGGCAACACAATGATCCGGAGTGGGAACACCACCGTTAAACAGGAGCCCACCTCTCCGTTCGAGCAGTTGCGTAAAGGGTACAACAACAATAAGCGACCGGCACAGACCAGCCTCCTATCGCCGCCATCCAAGAAGCCCAGTTTGGAGGAGGTCAAGGAGTTTGCAGAACAACAACGGATGCGCAAACAAATAGCCGCAGAGTTCGGAGATCACGATCCCGAGTACGATAGTGGCATGCTCTACGACGATGTCCATGCTGGAGACGATGACGACGACGATTTGCCACCACAGCCCTCTACGTCCAAGCAGCAGCAGTTGACAGCATCGCCGCAGGGCACGCAGACTCAGCTGGAGCACGGCTCCACCACAATAATCCTGAAGCAGGACTCACCCAGCCAGACGCCCACGATAATAGTCAAGGATTCTTCGAATGCCAAGCTGAATCACACCAAGATTATAGCTGAAGTGCTCCGCCAGTACCCGCATATTGTCAAGGGTCACAAGAACATCAAGCTGAAGATTATGCCCAATACTCCAGCCACTCCCGCTGAGAAGCCTCCAGCGCAAATTAAACGAGGATCCCCGGTACAAACTGCCTCGAATCCACCATCGACATCGCCGCATAAGAAGCTGCATGTGTCATTTAAGGCAGATAAGACCACGCCGCTGATCACTGCCCAGCAAAAGGCCGCTAGCGCTCAGCAGAAAACAAACACAAATGCGCAATCTTCAGGCGGTTCCCAGACAGCAGCGACGAACCAAGCTGGCAATGCAGCCTCACAACAGAAGCGACGCATCGACAGCAAGACAATGCACGCCTTAATTGCCCAAGGGGCCGAGAACACCACTGGTAAGTGATGTTCCATAATGGATAAACCCTTTATTAATCCATCATAACAATTTTGCTTCTAGGTCCATGGCTTTGCCTGAGATGTGGTGTTAATGGACGTCCCATCAGCATTCCGTCTTATCGGGGATTCCGACGCCATCTGATCAATACGCACAAGGAGACCATTGATCCTGCGCTCTGCGAACACTGCGGTTGGCGATCGAGCAACAACCGGGAACTTCATTTCCACATGTACACAGAGCATCAGGTCAAGTCGCAGCTGTACACCTTCGCCGAGTGCGCATTGTGCAACCAGTCGTATCTAACCAAGGCCGAGCTGGAGGCGCACATTAATGAGGCGCACACGGACGATAATAAGCAGCAGTGCATCTATTGCAACAAGGTATTCGAGCAAGAGCTTCAGCTGTACAGGCACATGAAGAGCTACCACAAGGAGCAGGCTTTAGAAGATGGCATAATTGATGAGACCGATGAGGAGTTCCTTGGCTCCCAGGATGAGGAAGAGGAAGGCGAGGAGGAACATGAACCGGAGCAGACTGGCAAAGTACGCATACTTTCGAACATCAGTCTGCCGCCAGCCACTAGTGCCATTGCAGTGCAGCAAGCCGCAGACCAAGAGCAGCTGCAGGAAGACTTGGAGCATGAGCAAGATCAGGTGCAGCAGCAAGAGGTGAAGTTTGTGGGAGCTGATGGCAATGAGGTTGAACTTACGGACGAGCAGCGCAAGGAAATCCTATCGCAGCTTAATCAACAACAAGCAGGCGCTGCCGCCGGTGGTGTGGTGATGGTGCTCAGTGAGCCAGAGGCGGAGACCGCCAAGCAGGAGACTGATGCCAAATCCCTAGCTGGCACTGAGGAGGAGTACGACGACAGCCAAATTTACAGTGAGCTGGCTGCCGCCGACTCGGTAGAGAGTAGCAAGAAGAGTATTGCCGATGAGAGCAAGGAGTCTATGGATAATCTGGAATGGGCAGAAAATTTAATTGCCGAGTCCGAGGAGCAGAGCAATAAGGAGGTAAGTTGCATAACATAGTCGTGTTAAAACGGAGTTGGTAAATATATATTCAATTTAAAGCCAAAATCGGAAAAGTCTCGCGATGACATTAGCGAAAAGCTTAAAGAGCTAACGGGTGACTGGACCGAGGATGAAAACGACGATGAAGCCGATGACAGGCCCGCTACAACAGAGCTGGAAGGTGAACTTGCCGCCAAGCAGTCAGAACCAATAACCGGTGGCCAAATTCACGAGGAGGAAGAAGACGACATCGACTTGGCCCTAAAGTCCCTGCATAAAGGCACTGAAGATTCATCTGCGACAAAAGCTGCCGAGGAAGCGATAGATTCAGCCGCCAGCATAAATTGTCAACCCGAGAAAATGGAAGTCGATGCCCAAGTGACCAAAAAAGATAAAAAACCAGTTGAAGGGTCCGATGTCGTCAGCATTAAGAAGGAGTCTGAAATGGATGCTGAAGAAGAGGAATTTATTAAGGAGGATCCGACTGCCGTAGAACCCGAACCCGAAGTTGAGGCGGAATCAAGCGAAGCTGCAGCTGCCGATGATGATGTTCACATGGAGGCGGAGAATATTCGGAAAGAACTGCTTGACGAGTTGATAGCCGAGTCTGAAAAGCCCCAGGAGGGGGAGGAGGAGGAAGAGGAAAAGAATGGGGCTCAGTCTGAGCAAACAGCAGCGAAAGTGGTGTCCGCTCCAGCAGTAGCGACGGCGGAAGAAGAGGATCAGGAATCTGCCACCGACCAGCCGGCCGAAAGTGAGGGATCAAAACCGGACGAAGAGGCTGCCAAAAGCGAAGAAGGTTCCAAGGCAACGGACAAAAAGGATAGTGTGGAGGATAAGCCAAACAAATGCGATGATGTAGCAAGCACCGACAAGGTGGCACTAGTCTCTACGACAGTAACAGAAACTGGGGGAGCGGCATCTGCCACTGAAGAAGCCAGTGGGGCGGACAAGGTCAAGAGTCTCATTAGCGAGTGGGGGGACGACGAGGAGGAGGAGGATGAGAATGGCGTTAGTGCGGCAGCGAAGGAGGAGCTATAATTACTAGATTTATTTATGTTCTAAGTTCGGCGATTGAGTTCAGACGCAGATTACCGAGCGCGGCAAGAATTTTCGGTTTCTATTGTAAATTAAATTGTTAAAGAGGATTGAGAGGAGGATAAGATACGCATATGCACAGGCATAAGTGTATAAGATCTAATCTGCACATCTCACGTAACTGTAAATCCGACGCCCCCTTCCCATCCCATTAATGTTCGTAAAGCTCCTCGGAGTCGTCACCTTGAATGAGTGATCAGAGACCAATACCACCCAGCATTGCGCTATTTATGAGTGTCAGTTTAATTCACCACACCACCAACGTAGGAGCAAGCAACCAACATTTCACAATTAGGAAAACACCTTATAAAAACATATATGCATATTTAGTATACATATATATCAGATACATACAAATTAGTAGATGTATGTAGTTATATGGATGTTGTTTTAATTGGTTTAAAACAAAAAATAACGTAAATACGGATTATTAAGTAACTGATGATGTTTTACGAGTGTACTATTTAATGACATTAAACAAAACAAAAAAGATGACCCATTTTTTGATTACGGACCTGTAGCTTGTAAGATTTATTATATATAAAAAAATAAAAGAAATCCATAACAAATACACTCTGGAGAAAGCAAAAAATATACATTTAGACAAAAGACTATTGTGTGAATTGATTGGGTTTTACTTATCATCTTTCGCGAGTTACCATTAACCCTTATCAACAGATTAAAATCCATTATGCTAAATGAAGATTCGTTAAAAATACATGTGAAATGTGGTCTTATCCTAACATTAAACACTTAAAAGCTGCCAAATCGATAAAATTACATCCTTTAAAAATACAAAGGCACAACATTCGGTCACAGCGCAAGAATCCTATCTATGAAACTCCTTCCTACTCGTCATCTGAAAGCGGGACAGATCATTAGCATAGTAAAATAAGCGAAAATTGTATGTCAAATACCAGAAAGATAAAAGTTTATAATGCACATGGTCGCAAATCCGGCCACGACAGTCGCAAACTGGGCAAATCCCGCCCAGCGCCGCGTTTGATTAGAGTGCCAGCGTGCCTTCTCCCGTGGTATCACTTCACAGACGGTGACGTAAAAGAGAGTACCGCCCGCCAGCGCTTGGATAATAGGCAGCGTTTTAGTGGACCAAGCGGCGGGCACATCCACGATAAGCATGCCTAGGCCGATTCCCATGACAGCTCCCACTGCAAACACCGAGATGCCGACCAACTGGGCGCGAAAACTTGTCCGCGGATTAGATCGGAACTCTAGACCCAAACAGAAGCCCATTACGAACTTGTGGCAGGCGACCGCTCCAAGCAGAAATAGAACCTAAAACGAGACAAAGTAGATTTCGGTTATCTATGTTATTAGACTAAGCCAACGCGATTCTCTGCTCCAATATTTGCACAAGATTGCGCGCGCTTTATGTCTAGGAAGGAACCATGTCAAGGCAACGACCTTAGTGGATGAGTTCTGGACCCCAATGGCAAGCCCTTCGATGGCGGAGTGCAGCGACAGGGCCACAAAGAGGCCCAGAGTGCCGGTCATCGATTGGACACAGGGCTCTGTGTGACTGGTGTGGCATATGCGGGCATTGGCGTCCTCAACACTGGCGTCATCACATCCGGATGCACTGTACGGGTGATCTTGGTCATGAACGCTGATCGAAAGCAAACCATAAAATAATCAAATAGGTAAATGGGTAATGAACGACAATCGGTGACATACTGCGAGTGGGATGTATGTAACGTTGACTCCGCTGATAGCAAGGGCGCCCGCTCACCCACTGCGCCATAGCCGTTGCTCTGCCTAGATGGCTCGGGCTCCGGTATGGGTTCGGGATGGGAATGAGTGTGCTGAATGGCCTCGCCAAAGAAGTAGTGGATAAACTCGTCGATGAAGTAGATAACAAAGAAGCCACCGCACATGGCTACCTCAGCGAATTTTGAGTCCATTTGCTCGCGCACCTGTTGAAGTATCAGATATCAGTATCACTGAGTTCCTCCAATTCCCTAAATACCAGCCAAAAACTCACCTCTGGAAGAATGTGAACTAGAGCTGTGGCCAGAAGGATTCCAGCTCCATAGCAAAGGAGTATAGAAGTGGTTAGAGGAAACCTTTGTCGATTCCTCTCCGAAATGAAGGCGGGCAACATGCCCGACAAAAGACTGCCGAGTCCTAGTACCAGCATTGCCAAAACCTTCTCCCGGTCACCACGATCCGTGACAGCTGAATTGGTGGGGTCCATGGCGAAAGATTCGTTTGCTAAACTCGTTTGTTCAGCCGCCAAGCTTAAAGTTCGTTGCATTTACTATTTTTAAACTAAAGCAGTGAGAGAGCGAGAGGCAAATAGTTTAAAACGGCTGTTCGTCAGCGCCGTTTTGAAGGCCTGTACGGAGACACGAAATTAAAAGTACTAGAAAGTTAGGTGGCGTTAGGGTATTCCTGACGTCACACACTTTTAGTATTTTTTCGAGCGACTTGCAAAAAGAATAAAAATTTTATTAAAAAAAGCTGTTTGCGACCATTTGACTATTGCAGCTACTTTGCATATTTTAAGTTATAAATCTCGCCATGAACCAAAATTTGCGGAAAAAATGGAAGAGGAGTGGTGTATTTAGGCTGATATCTAAGGCGCGAACTATAAAAATGGAACCAGATGGGAACCAGCAGAGAACCACTCGCTGAACCAAACCATGGAACCATGTTCATAAAAATAATAAATTAAATAAAAATGACAAATTGTTGTCTAAAACATTAAGAAAAGTGAATACCCAATAAATCGAAAAGACATTCAAAACAATTTGGTGCGATACTTCATATCGATAGGGGCGCCTCCCACACCCTATCGATGAATAGCCCGCCAGAAAATATTCCTATTGACCATTTAAACAATTTTATGAAATATGCATGCCACATGAATGGAATTGGCATTCCAAGCATTTTGGTAGTTGTTTTATCAAAACCCGTTCAGTCGTTCATAAAAACCCCAAATTTGCATTTATTTCCATAAATGTTCCTACGAAGAGTAAATATACCCGGCAGCAAAGTCGGGATTTCTCATTAACGACTGAACGGATTTTGATGAAACATAGATCAAAATGTCCAGAACTGCGATGCCGTCTGTGGAACTGTCTTCCATTTGCATAGGTTTAACTATAAAGTTTAAAACAAGTTTTCTTTTTTTATATTTCACCGGTACATAAATGGAAATAAATGAAAAAGTCGGGATTTCTTATGAACGACTGAACGGATTTTGACGAAACGTGGATCAAAATGTTCAAAATTGCGATCCCGTTAATGAAACGATCTTCAGTTTGCATAAGTTTTATAATAAAGTTTTAATCAAATTGACTTAATTTTAGGCAGGCAGTGCTGCCAGATATATTTACTCTTCGTAGGAACATTTATGAAAATAAGTGCAAAAGTGGGGTTTTCTCATGAACGACTGAACGGATTTTTTATAAAACAACTAACAAAACGCTTAGAATGTCAATTCCATTCATGGGGCATGCATATTTCATACAATTGTTTTTATTTTTAATTTAATTTAGTATTTTTCTTACCATAGTTCCATGGTCTGGTTCAGCGAGTGGTTCTCTGCTGGTTCCCATCTAGTTCCATTTTCATAGTTCGCGCCTTAGATATTAGCCCAATTACACCACCCACTGTTATTGGGTTTTCTCGAAATCTGACAGTTAAAAACTATTGAAATTTTCACCAAATATTCATTAATATTCATTATTTTGGCGTATCGGGTATTGCTGCACGCGTTCGATTAGCCGAGATATTAAGAAATCCGTGAAATCATGATTTTTCATATGCTTTTTTTAATATATCCAAATGTCAAATACTTTCAAACCCAGTATAAAACAATAGTAAATTTATTTTTTAGCATTTAGAAACTTTATTTTATTCAAATTAGTGCCTTAATTACGAAATAAATCAAAAATTAAAGATCCCCTCCGTGTTCCATTTTCCCACCGTTCCATTTCGAGGCTAACTCATCGACGCTATTTTGACGGACATTTCCATGTCCTACTCCACGGTTGCTGGGCACACTGAATCGCTCAAAACCGCAACGTTTTGGCAGCACTGGTGACTCCTGACACTAAACCTGGCAGCGCCGGAGATCAAGCACATAGCGCTGCCATAAATGTTATCGATATTGTAGTGTTCTAGAAATCAAAATTCAAAATTCGACCGTTTATGTAGTTGGTGTGCGTTCTTGGAAATGCATCGTCGTTGCATTATCTGTGGCCAGGAGCCAAGCAGACAATGTATCTATCCGCGCAACATGATGGAGGCACGCCGGTGGCAAAATCTGGCTAATCTCGGCAGCTTTGACGTGGACACGGAATCCTTGTGCCAGCACGGCTGTGTTTGTGCTATGCATTTAGACACAGACCAGGAGTACGGCTCAAATCTGGGGAGTACATCTGGGGCTGTTTGTCCGCTGAGGCGTGCAGGCGGGAAGATATCAGCGCAAGACAAAGCTGCCGTCAAAAAGAGCTCATTTCAAACGGGTCGGTTCAAGGCAACCACACCACAAGCCAACAATAAGAAGTCAGGCGTGGGGATGAATACGCAAGACAAACCGATGTTGGAGTCGATTCCACAAGAAAGTTGTAACGTGGACAGAAGCAACATTGAACTCCACCGGTGTCGCGGAGCCATGCTTCAGGGAAATCTGTATTCCCAATTGCGGAAGAACTGTAATCGCCAACGGTCAACAGGCTCAACCAACGACACTGCTGCGCGACGAATTTTAAAAGCAAAAAAACCAACTATTCCGCAACTGTATGCCTGTATAAACTATCCAATACTGCGGGTCTCCAACGCTGTACCAGAAGAATCCACGTGTCCTTTGATGCGGAGCCCCAGTGCCGCGGCAGAATCTAGTACCTGTGAATGCATCCTTCAAAAAACTCAAAATAACACCCAAAGTCATTTGCAGCAAAGGTCGATATCTTATGATCCACTCCCATGTTACGTGTGTAATCAACAACAGTTTAAGAGTGATGAAGATTTACCCTCACGCTGCACCTCCATCGGTCAAAATAGCTCCACGACAAGCGAGAGTCACCACGAACGGAGGCCAGAATTAAAATGTAAATGTTGCCAGGCATGCATTAGCTGCCAGCTGAAGGATCAAGAGGTGCAATGTTCCCAGCACACTTTGCAACCTAAGGCTTCTTCAGCGGCAGTGATACCTACATCTAGCACCAAGCTAAAAGCCATCTCAATAACAACGGGATGCGAATGCGACACGGGCAAAGATTTTTCCAGCCAGCGATCAGCTAGTTTAGGGACGAAATATGGCAGTGTCAGTTCTAAGACCATCTCGTGCTCAGAAAACACCAATATGCCTAACTTTGCATATGGCGGTGAGGAACAACAATTTTCCGTCAATGCTATTAATGTGCTCCTTATGAACGGTTCCCGTCATAATAAGTATGAAGGCCCTAACCCAGAGATCTGCGTACAGGAGTCTGACCTAGCAGATTGCAACGAACGCGCAGTTTTTCCAAATGTCGACAAACCCAACTACCGATTGTGTCGGGCTGCCACCACAGATTCCAATACCAATGGCAAACAGGACGAAGCCAACGTACTGGTTCTTGAAGAGGGTCCCATGGATGAATGCAGCCCTGAATGCAAAAGTAACCAGGAGCAGACTCAAAGTGAACTACAGATTGTGGAAGGAATCAAATCTGTAGACCAGGAGATCCGATCCGGCCAATTTGGTGACAACTGCATAAATTCATCAGCCCCAGCTAACTTTACCAAAGTTCTGGAACTGCAGAGGGCACGCATCAATGAACTGGAGAATCTGCTGCAGCAACACAACAAGCTGCAACAGACCATCCAGACAAGGATGGCGGAGCTGCAGGGCCAAGAAAAGCCGGCTAAAAGCGCTAATAAAAAATAGCTATATACATTTCAATTGTTGTTTGTTTTAAGGGTGTGAGGAGTGGTTTATTCGCAATTACCGCTTGAATTCCAATTCCAAACTTTTAGTTTGAAGCATCTAAATATCAAGAGCTAATCCTTACGGGTCTAGGCGGCAGACTGAATGACATCGGTGTACAGCTTCACCTTGCTGGCAATGCTCATGTCAACATACTTGTCGCCAATGGAAACGATCAAGCCACCAATGATGCTGGGATCCACACGAGAGGTAATCTTCAGCGACTGGTTGGCCTTCAGGAAGGACTGGAAAATAAGCAATAAGGAGCCGTGAAATGGAGAGCCAATAGATTTGTTCTAGAACCGAAAGTAGCTACCTTAAGGGCACCCTCCAGCTGCTTGGTCTGGGAGGCATCCAGGGGCTTGGCAGACACGACCTCGCAGACTACCTCACCGCGATGAGCGGCCATGATGGTCCTGTAGGCATTAATAACGGTGTCGAGCTTCTTCAAGCGCCCGTTGTCAGCAAGCAGACCCAGTAGGTTGGCGGTAGCCGGGGCGAAACGCAGTTTCTCCGAAGCCTCCTTCAGGGCGGTAGCCATCACCTTCTTGTTGATGATCGGGCTGGTCACATACTCGCGCAGCTTCTTGTCGCCCTTGATTGTGGCCTGTAAAGCAGTCAGGTCCTTCTCCACTTGGTCCAACTGGCTCAGTTTCGAGGCGGCCGAATACAAGGCGGTGGCATAGCGACCCTCCAAGCCGAACACCTGCACTGGGGGCTTCACCGGAGCTGAGGCGGCGGCGGAGCTGAGGGTGCGGCTCTGTGGGAGTTGTGAATAATCACTCATTAGTTCATTCCTGAGATCAATAAACCAAAACAGTCGATGGATTGTGGGTTACAGTGCCCAAAAATTACATAACCAAGAAAAGCGCGTTAGATAATGGAGTATGCAATGTCCGTCTGTCGTCACGCTGTTATGCACGGTACCCGAAAGGGATTAAGTTCAGTAAGGAGAATCCAGTTTTCCTTAAGTGATTCCCTAAAAACATACCAAAATTGCCAATTTGTTAACGGAGGCCATCGTCTATCCCGAGAATTTTTCAGCTAAAAATCGCAGCTGTGACCAGGGCTCCGTTACACTTCGATACCTATAACAGGGCTGCAACACCCAGTACGAAAATTATCGGCCAGGGCTGACCAAAACTTATCGATTCATAAACACATTTTTTAAAATCCATTTTGCAAGATATATTTATCTGATCATGTTAAAATTAGATTGCGCAGCAAACCTAGTTTTTAATTGCTAAACTAGAAAAATCGGTTAATTTAAAACTATTCTTTTGGAGATTCGGATACACGTCTTTTTTATTTGTAATTTAAAAAGTTGTTCACTTAAAAACCTAAACTGTCTGAAATGGTTGCGAATATGTGAAGTCAGAACAACCACACTGGAAACTATAGTTGCTGGTGGCTTGGAAACACTTGGGCCTTTCGGTTGGGATCGTATTGAAACTGTATGCTTCATTGCAGTTTACTTGTCATCTGGAAAATAATTATGCTGTTAACAAATGTTTCTAGGACATTGGTGCGGTCTCATACCCTCATCCTCTCCTTCCTCTTCTTCCTCGCCCTCGCCATCCTCACCGTCCTCGTCATCGAATCCCTCCTCCTCATTGTCATCGTTATCCTCCTCGTCCTCGGGCTCCACCTCAATATCAGGTACCAGATAATACTGCAGTGGATTTGGCCAGAGGTCGTCCTTTATCAGTTCTGCGATCTCATCGTTTACTGGATCGGTGTTATCCGAGAACCAGTCGAAGAAGGTCTTGTACTCTGAGTTCCGCTTCTTCTTGTTGCCGTAGGGCTTCGTCAGCAGCTGTTTGAGCAGGTTCTTGCCCTCCTTCCACTTAATTGGCGTGCTGGTGGACGCGGGCCATTCCCCGTTCTCGGAAGCCGCCGCTGCATAGAAATAGATATATATATATATATGAGGGTGAGTAATATTCTTGGCAATGCGCTCGTGGTGTACATACCCGCGGAATTCAAGTGGAACTCCTTGGTTAGCACCTTGTTCTCGAAATAGGGATTTTCATCGAAGTGGAAGTTGATGCGGTAGCCCGATTTGATGTCCTCGAACTCCTCCACCTCCAGTTTCTTTAGTGAGTGCAGGCATTCCTCCTCCTCTTCGTCTAGAATACCGGACACTTGCGGGTGGTTGATGAACTGCAAAAAAAAAAACGGGAATCGGATTAGCACGGGGATGTGGATGACGCGTTTGCATATCAATCGATAACAAAGGTGCACATATTTTATGTCTTCCAGAAGCAAAAAGTACTTGAATTTATGGAGATTTTGTCACATGAACGGAAAATAAGTATATAAATTATCGTTTCTTTGCCGCTTTGGAGCTACAACTGTTTGAAAAGCTTATGTATTTCGCGAGCGGCCAGCCAGACGGCCTATCGATAACTCGCACACGTTCTCACGGGGAAAAAGCGGGGAGGCGGGATGCCGGCGGCTTCGCAGTCCAAGATGAACAAGAAAAAAATTCCTCGAATAGAGAAAATTTCTTGTACGTGTGCTTTGGGGACAAAATCAATTAATTTTTTACGCTCCGCCAAGTTGCATTATTGGCGCGCAGCTTATCACCGAACAGATAGACATTTGTTTCGGCTAGCCTGCACAAATGCAAATCATGGCCAAGACAGGAACTTACAGAAGTAACCCAGAAGTTGGAGATCTTCTTGACCAGCTCGCTGCGCTTCTCGTAGCAGGGTTTGCGCAGTTTATTGTACTTCTGCTCCACCTTAAGAATTTCCTCGCTGGCTTTCTCGTTCAGCACGTCGATCTCATTCTGCACACCATCGATCTGCTCCAACGCCTCCGACTCCTCCTCGTTGTTGCCTGCAGATGTGATGCCATCGGCGGGGGCTCCATCCAGCTTCACTCGCTTTGGCAGGCTCGACATTCTGCTCGCTTTTCCGGTGTGTTTGCAGTCGTAATTTGCAGGAAATTTGTCAAATAACGGCGGTACAGTTGAGCAGAAGCGAAGCGGATTCTTAACTTGCGTTGCGGTTGTAGAGATGAGAGTGTTTCGATAGCACTGACATCTAGTGATGGCACTTTCTTTCGATGGTCTCTTTCGATTGGTGCGTAATCGATGGTAGACGGCGCTGCACAACACTGTTTGATTACAGCGCGTTTTCGGTCCTTTACAACACGCGCGGACAACATTTGATGCCTGGCTGTAATAGCTAAAAATTAATTTTATAATTTTGTATACACATCGTTTTCAAAAACATCAGCAACATGGCAACGGCTGAAACCCAGATCGGTGTGAACCGAAACTTGCAGAAGCAGGACCTAAGCAACTTGGTAAGCAGCTGAAAAGCCACTCGCCAGACGCCACCTCTTTTTTCGTGTGTGAAAGTGTACGCGTCGTCATTATTGTGCCGCTTCCTACGAAAACGGCGGGTTGCGGGAGACAAGGACGCGCCCAGATGGTCCCGGGCGGCGTTTAGGACCCTGAAGCGTCTCTGCCCTCCAAACATCTCAATCTCCTTCGCAATGGCCAACAGCCTTTTGTTGTCACTCGCCCGGGGCTGAAGGAAACACACGCAAAATGCAGCACGTGGCGCTACCTTTTTGCCTGGGCGTTTTTCCCCGGGGTTTTCTGTCAGGCTAACGGACCGTATGTGTATCTAGGCAAGGCGTTCAATATGGCAAGCGATTCAGTCTCATCGAAGAGTCTCAACTGTTGCCATCTATTTAGCTGATGCAATTCAACCGACATTCTAACCTCAAAGTCCACGGTTATACACACACACACACACACACACACACACACAGTCATGCATCTGAGACGACGCGATTTCTCGGGAGGTTTGGGGGTGGTAATAACTACTATTTGAAATTCCATAATTGCCGGCACCAAAATGTAACTGTGTTAACTTGGTTTCGTTGCAGGAAATTAGCAAACTTACACCCCTCTCCCCGGAGGTGATCTCGCGACAGGCGACCATCAACATTGGCACCATCGGTCATGTAGCGCACGGCAAATCGACGGTAGTGAAAGCCATCTCCGGCGTGCAGACGGTGCGCTTTAAAAACGAGTTGGAGCGCAACATTACAATTAAGCTCGGTAAGTGGACACAGCCAAGTGTTCCTTAGGAAATACATAGATGTTACCCTGCTAGTCTAAGATAGCTGTACATTGCTTTCTCCTATTCACTCATACGCATTCCTGTAATCCCGTAGTTGCGCAGCCTTTGGTCCTAGAATGAATATATATATTATATCCCAAACCCTATCGGCTGGCCGAAGGAAGCCCTACTTCCCTCCAGTCATACCCCATTTTCCAGTAAGGCTCCCTAATCTTAAGAACACCCTGCTCATAACCCTGTACCGACGACGGCACACCGCGTAACTAAGGGAGGAGCTCTCCGCCTCTGATCTATGTATCTGTCGTTGTTTTGGATCGAGTTATCGGGTTTTAAAGGCGTTCTGCGAATGATTTTGTATCTATCTATTTTGTATTGTTCACTCCTTTTTAGTGTGTTATTTACTTAAATTGCTGGATTAATACGCGTTGGCTTGCCTCTCAAGGTGTGTCGTCGCCTTAGTAAAAAAATTCAATCTTTTTTTTTCATTAAGAATCTCTCTATTTTCCTGTATTCTTAGTCTTGAACTGATTGTTATTTTGATTAATACCACTGATAATCCAGCAATTTAATTAATTGCCAAATCTTTTTCTTCTTTTTTTCCCACATTTTCTTCCGGTGTTTTTCGTTTGCTTCGGTTGCGACGCGTCCACAAAACCACACCACACCCACAATCCAAAAATGTCCAAAACTTGTCATTTGCAGAACGCTTAAGCGAAAAGAAAATCCAAATACTTTTGAACTCCAAACAGCAGCGACAGCAATATGAGATCAAACAGTTCCATCGCATTCGCCAGCTTGCCGAATTGCGTCACAACAGGCGCAGCTTGCGCAGCTCCATGCCGGCGCCACCAACGACAACAGATACGGCTGCGGCTACCAGCCTGCAAAGACGCACTAGTCGCCGGAGTAGCAGCGGCTATGGCAGTGCCCTGGGTTGCGACGACCATGACACGGCCCAATCCGCACTGAAAGGATCTGCCGATTTAAAGCGGCGACGAAGCAGCGTCGTGAATTCTCCAATCACCCCCGGTTACAAGCGTTCAAAGAACAACGAGGGATTACCGATTAAAAAGCCGCCCAAGGGAGAGTACATTGTCGAGCGCATTGAGTGCGTCGAGGTGGTCCAGTTGCAGCCCGTTTTCTTTGTCAAATGGCTGGGCTATTCCTCCAGAAAGAACACATGGGAGAGCTTCGACAATTTAGCCGACTGTGCCAAAATGGAGGAATTTGTGGAGCGCCAGATGCAGCTCTTTGAGAAGTACATAGCCATTGTAACCAGTGAACTTGAGGAACAGCTGAAGGCCATTCCGCCCACGGAGAACGTATCTGTGGCTGAGATTGAAGCCTTTGAGCCGCTAACGATGCAGATTGACATTATACTTCTGGCACAATACCGGGCGGCCAGCAGTCGAAGCCAACGGGATCGTGGTATAATAGCAGACCGAGCCCTGCGCAGTATGCATATCAAGCGGGCGAAGCTTTTGCGCCGGGAGCAGATTGTGGAACTCGCTTTGTTTGAGAACAGCATGAACGCAGTGGAGGGGTCATCGCCGCCGATACGCGTTGAGAACATGGTCGACCTGGAGACTATAGACAGCAGTTTCGTATACATACGAAACAACATAATCGGCGAGGGCGTGCCCAAGCCGGAACCGTCACTTTTAGGCTGCAAATGCACGACCGATGACGGCGCCGAGGAGTGCACTGCTTCCACAAAGTGCTGTGCCCGCATGGCCAGCGAGTTATTTGCCTACGATCGAAGCACGCGGCGCCTGCGTCTTCGTCCCGGCAGCGCCATCTTCGAGTGCAATAGTCGATGCTCCTGCGGCCCGAGCTGCTCCAACCGTGTGGTGCAGCACGGACGCCAGCATCCGCTGGTTCTGTTCAAGACCAGCAACGGTAGCGGCTGGGGGGTGCGCACACCGGTCGCACTCCGCAAGGGAGAGTTTGTGTGCGAGTACATAGGTGAGATCATTACCAGCGACGAGGCCAACGAGCGCGGAAAGGCGTATGATGACAAGGGCAGGACCTATCTCTTCGACCTCGACTACAATACGGCCCAGGAGAGCGAGTTTACCATCGATGCTGCCAACTACGGCAATGTCTCGCACTTTATCAACCACTCATGCGACCCCAATCTGGCGGTGTTTCCGTGCTGGATTGAGCACTTAAATGTGGCCCTACCCCACCTTGTATTTTTCACGCTGCGTCAAATCCGAGCTGGCGAGGAGTTGAGCTTCGACTACATTCGGGCGGACAACGAAGACGTGCCCTATGAGAACCTATCGACGGCTGCGCGCGTCGAGTGTCGCTGTGGAGCGGACAATTGCCGGAAGGTCCTTTTTTAAGGATCGAACTGGACATTCCTTAAATACATCTTCTTAGATTGTGCACTGCCCCATCGTATTGTATTTTCTTTTTAATTTTTATAAATTTAAAAATCTTAGTTTTGGATTACAGAAATGTTTTTATATTACAAAAAATAGATTGACATTTTAAATTTATTTATTTGTTAACTTTTTGCACCAACTGTAATTGGAGATTATAGTGGTGGACTGCGTCGAATGTTAAGTTTAAAATAGGACGCATCGAAATGTGCTCGAGTAGCCGAAGTATCCAAATTATTATAAAACGTATCTTGATATTTACTGAACTTAGAATATGATTATTGCCCTGACCCCATGAACAGAAGTTATGTATCAAAATAAGTGTATAAATAGTAAGCTTACAGTTTCTCAATAAATTTATTATCGTAATTAAGTGATGCGACTTTTTTATTGATGTAACTAGGGTTTACTTCTCATTCAGGGTAATCTTAAGTTAGAGCTCAACATTTAAATTATTATTTGCATTAAGTTATCCTTGTTTTTTCTTTGTGCTTCTAAACACTAAACACTGCCTAAAATTTACTCCTACTTATCCACCTTTGAGGCTTTGACTGATCCACATTCTCATTTCCTATTTTTCTTTGTCTTGCCTTCAGGTTATGCCAATGCCAAAATCTACAAGTGTGACAACCCCAAGTGCCCGCGACCGGCTAGCTTTGTATCGGATGCATCAAGCAAAGACGACAGTTTGCCCTGCACCCGTCCCGCCTGCTCAGGCAACTTCAGATTGGTGCGACACGTCAGCTTTGTTGATTGCCCCGGTCACGACATTCTCATGGCCACCATGTTGAACGGCGCCGCTGTGATGGACGCTGCCCTGCTGCTCATTGCTGGTGAGTGATGTGCACATTGACATCTTTGTTAAACGCAGACTAACCATTTTTATGCTACTGCAGGCAATGAATCCTGTCCACAACCGCAAACCTCTGAGCATTTGGCTGCCATTGAGATTATGAAACTGAAACAGATTTTAATTTTGCAAAACAAAATTGATCTGATCAAGGAGAGCCAGGCGAAGGAGCAATACGAGGAGATCACCAAGTTCGTTCAGGGCACCGTCGCTGAGGGCGCACCGATCATCCCGATCTCTGCCCAGCTTAAGTACAACATTGATGTGCTCTGCGAGTACATTGTAAACAAGATCCCTGTGCCGCCGCGTGACTTCAATGCCCCGCCCCGTTTGATTGTCATTCGGTCCTTTGATGTGAACAAGCCCGGTTGCGAAGTGGCGGACCTGAAGGGCGGCGTGGCCGGAGGCTCCATCCTGAGTGGTGTGCTCAAGGTTGGCCAGGAAATTGAGGTGCGTCCGGGAGTTGTGACTAAGGACAGTGATGGCAACATTACCTGCCGCCCGATCTTCTCGCGCATCGTCTCGCTTTTCGCCGAGCAGAATGAGCTGCAGTATGCCGTTCCCGGTGGTCTGATTGGTGTGGGCACCAAAATCGATCCGACGCTCTGTCGTGCCGATCGTTTGGTCGGCCAAGTTCTGGGTGCTGTTGGCCAGCTGCCCGACATCTACCAGGAGCTGGAAATCTCGTACTACCTGCTGCGCCGACTGCTGGGCGTTCGTACCGATGGCGACAAGAAAGGAGCGCGAGTAGAGAAGCTGCAGAAGAACGAGATCCTTCTGGTGAACATTGGATCCTTGAGCACTGGCGGTCGCATCTCGGCCACCAAGGGTGATTTGGCGAAAATTGTGCTCACGACGCCGGTGTGCACGGAAAAGGGTGAAAAGATAGCCCTAAGCAGACGCGTGGAGAACCATTGGCGGTGAGTCAGCGACCTCTAAGGCATCCTCTAAAATTCAATTCACATAAATTGACCCTTCTTTTCGTTTGCAGCCTAATCGGTTGGGGCCAGATCTTTGGAGGCAAGACAATCACACCCGTGTTGGACAGTCAGCCATCAAAGAAGTAGAACTAGGCTAGAATCCTCCGAACGGTTCAACTTTTAGCAGCGACGGCAGTAGCAGCATCATCTTTAATAGGCCTCATAGCCCTCTGCTCTTATTTGTCCTCTAGCTCCAGCTCTCCATCGTTCCCTTCCACCGTCGTGTCCGTTGATCAAGCAAACCGAAACAAAACAAAATGAAAATACATACATAACTTAATTTATTTAATTTTGTTGTCGAGTATGTATATAAATATAAAAGAATTCACTAATTTCGCCGCTTGCGAGTGTTTTTGCATTAATAGCAGAATCAGGCATTACAAAACAACAACTAATAGGTTATACCTTACATATTATATAAACTAAAGGCAAAAAAAAAACATCTGATACATCGTAAAATTGTTTTTATGATTTAAAAATACAAAAAAACAAAAGAAACGAAAAAAGTAACAAATTGTATTGCATTTTTTACAATTAAAACCTCAAGAACTGACTTCTTATTTTGGGAATCTAAGCTGAGAGAAATCATGGGCGGGCACTAAACTTCAAAATGGAAGCGTGACTCTAAACCAGAGCTGCTATTTAAAATCAAGACTCTGGGAAATCAGTTGAATCAATTTAAATCAAAGAGAACCCCTATGTATGAATCTATACTTAAACATTTCTTTTTATGGGTGATAAATGAATATTCTCTTTGATATAATTGTTCAGCATTAACAACCGAGTCGATCTAGACATGTCCACCTTTATCTTCAAAATTAGAAAATATTAAATTAAAAAAAATTACGATAAAAATATAAAATCGTATATTTTTTAAATGTTAAACTAATAAAAACAAACTCAGAAATGCTCTTTGAATTCAGATTAATGTTGGCAGCAAGGTTATACCAATTTCGGTTTAGATTTTGTCTTATTTTTTTTAAACTTTTCGCTTATATCAATAGTCAACACGATATTTATCCATAGGATACAGACCAAATACACAATCAGATTTATTATTTTTCATTATAGACCAATTTATTTTTCCAGTTTTTAGTTGCAATTAAATTTAAATAGTTACAATACGACTTTTGTTCAATTAACACATTGATACTCGTAATATTTTGGTTTGTTTAAGCAATTATCCATACAAATCTCAATATCGACTTGAATTGTATTGAATAATTTGTGGGTTGAAACGAGTTTGGTTTTTATTCGATTTTGGTAAATTTGTTTTAACTATATTCCACACACTAGTTTAATTATTATTTCTTGTTTATGGTTTGCAATTATTATACTACCATTACCAAGTATTTTTAGCGTGTTAATTCAATATATTTGGTTTTCTTGAGACGTCGTTTAATAGTAAATATATATGTAGCTTATTGAATAAAAATTCGTACTTAGCCGTGATGTACATATGTTGTTTTTCTGTTCATTGAATAGTTGGAAACTAAATTTTGATAAACGACTCGACTCGACTAATAAGTATATATTGAAAAACGTTTGATTTTAGTTTATTTAATACTATTGAGTAAGTTTTGTAATACTTTAATTTTTTTTTGTTCGCTAAACTACTCTCCCCGGGTTCTTGGGGCGACACGATTGCGTTGTGGTCAGTACACGCTTTGAGCATTTGATAACAGCAAGTCTTCGTTGAACATACAATATGTAGTAAGTACGAACTTAAGCAACAAATTGTACCATTTACACTTATCAGAATGTATTACAGCTATTTTGAGCATCCGTTGAACACAATACAGTTTATCAGGTCTGAGATCGATTACAACCAAAAGCGGAACAAAAACCATTGCCAAGTTCCTGTCCTTGTCCTTGGAGAATGTTAGAACTAAAATATACTATATATAAGAAAACTAAGTCTAAAATCAGGGAAATTTCCTCTCGGGTAACTTTGGCGTTTGTCCAATATAGGCTTTGACTAATTGCTTGCATAACTCCTGGCTTAGTATCGACTAGTTTTTGCAAAATTGATTAAATCAGACAATTCATTCTTTAATAGAGAGCCTTTCCTTTCAAGACCCTAATACTCCTCTACCTGTATTTCATATACATTTACTTATATGCTTATATATCGTGCTCGTATCGTTGGCATTAGACTGTCATTAAGAAGCAAACGAAAGTTATTCTCTAGCAAGTCCTTCGTTATCGATCAAGAAACCGTCTAATGTCTATAAACCTTCACACCGCCTACGCCTAGCATGTTCGAAAAACGATTTCTTACTCCTATAAACTGACTTAGTTTTCTTTTATTTTATATGGTACATTCATTTCGATTCAGTTTTGGAAAAAAAATTACAATTTCAATTGGTATTTATAAAGCGGGGCAAATGGGATGGAATGCAATGTCGGAATGAGATTTCAATTCTAATACGTATTCTATTCTTTCCTCTACATATATGTATGTATGTATATGCAGATGTCAATTGGTTTATCCTACAAGTTGTTTTGTGCAATGTTCGGTGCAGCTGCAGGGGAAGAATACCTTGACTTTTGGTCAGTACCTATATAGTATATAAAAAGTTGTTTAGATTTTACATACATACACAATTATTGACAGTTAACATTGGCAAAATGGCAGATGGCAGTTGGGCTTGACATCCTAATTATCAATTTCATATACATATATATGCTAAATATTTAACAGTTCCGCTAATAATGCATGGGCTATAATTGATTTATTTCCTCGGCCTGACTCTCTTATTCTATCGCATAATATACAGATTCAATTACATACATACATAGATATACATACAGGTGTGCATTTAACAAACACGCGGACTTACATGCTGCTGTTGGGTTGATGCTTATCGCCATAGCTAATATCTAACAATCAATTGGTTACTCTGCCACCTCCTACTCACACATATTTTTTGCCTTAAATTATAGTATATTCAAGTTATATATATATACACACGATTTCTATCCTTCTTTGCAGCAGCCTTTAGTAGTTTTAACTTCGCTCTACTCAAGTTTATTTGCCTTCCGGGGATTGGGATAGTGTTTGGATGTGTTTGGAGCCTGCGTTTTCTTTAGGATGCGCTTCGGGGCATGGGATCGATCGGGCATCTTAAAGAAAATGGCTTAAATCTCATTCGTTAACATCCTCCTCCGATGAGCTGGCAGCGGGAATCGTCGAGAACTGCCAAGACTCCTGGTTGTTTTTACTAACTGAACTGTAACAGGAATTAGAGTTGTTTTACTTTCTTAAATTGTAGATAATAAGACTTACCCATGCTTCTTGGCATTACTGGGCAGAGTGTGCGAATTCCGGTAGTAGCTGTCGTGGGGCTCTTCCATGGTTTCCTCCAGCGACTTGCGCTGTAGAGTCATCGTCTCCTGGTGCGAGGCCGTAGAGCTGCCACCGTTCATTTCCGCATCCAAATAATACTTGGCACTCTGGGCTATCTTGCAGTTCTCGCACTCACTAAGGTAGTCATCATCCAAGCTGGTGTCGTTGGGCAGAAAGTGCTCCTTGGGGTTCAGACAATTCTTCGAAGTGGTGCACACGGGTAACTGTTTGTTGGGCGATCGTTTGCTGGATCCCCCGGAGCCGGCGCCGCTGCTGTTGCTCTTTGGAGTCAACGGGTACGTTGGCATTTGGCAATGGGCAATCGCCGGACTTGTGCCCGTTCCTGCTCGAGTCTCTCGCTTGACCCGCAATATCTTTGGCAGTGTGGTGCTTTTTGCCGGAGCTCCTCCCTGGCCAATCGAGCTGCTGTCCGGCGGAATGCTGATCACTGAGGGCACCTTGCTGACCACACTGTTGATGGTGCTGTTCAGGGATACCTTTCCGCTGATGTTTTTGGGCAGTGTGTACGTGACGTGGTTGGCCAGCGGATAGAATGTGCTCGAGTTGATCTTTCCGCTGGCAAGTTTCTCTCCGCATCCTGCGCCCGGACTCGCCGGCGGCAGCGTTAGCGTGGGAGTCTGCTCCTTGCGCTGCCCACTGGATGACGGCTTGCTTAGGGTGTAGATGGTGGACACGGCGTTGCTGCCGCTGGCGGACGAGGAGGAGGAGGATGTGGTGACCACGGTGGCGCTCTTTAAATTCGTTAGGCTTTTGTAGAGTTTCGGTGGTAAAGTCGGATTGCTTAGATCTTGATGATGCTGCTGCTGCTGATGTTGTTGTTGGTTATAGAAATGTTGCTGCTGTTTCTGCGTCAAACTCAAGTAGGCATCAACCTGAAAGAGACCGATGGATTAGCCACGGGACAAAACTACAAATATCCAAATCGAGGAATGAAACCAGAGAGATAATCTTCGGAAACCAATATGTGTAGCTCTGCTCCAATTTCGACTGCGATCTCATTCCCCGCCATGTCAAGCTCTCACAAAGGGATTACTTACATTTCGAACTCACCTTTCGATTCAAGTACGCGCTGGAGAGGGAATCACCGCCCCCGCTGGACGCACTACGTCCCCCGTTAGCGCTACCGCTCCCCCCACTCGTACTTCGACCCCGTTCCGCAGAGCTACTGGATGAACGCTTTTGAACGCGTCCCAGCACAATCGGAGGGGCGGAAACCTCTTCGGGATGCTGCAGCGGAGGCGGTGGAATGATGGCGGACACATTGACCCCGCCACCTGATACGAGATGCGGACTGTGAGTCTCATCGCCCACCTGTTTGGAGATGGTGGCTATCTTTGGCTCGTGGCCACATCCGCTCCGCCTTAAAGTCCCTCCACCCGCCGCTGCCGTGATTAAGTCCTGGGCGTGCTGCTGCAGATTGGTCGATGATTTGGCTCGCTGTCCATAGGCTAAGGTGGCCGCATGCCGGACACCGCCAGATGTCGCCGCCCCCGGTGACAGGGAGCAGGTGGGCGTCGAGCTGCTGCTGCTTGAGGTGGTGGCAAACAACTTGCCAGCTCCGCTAAGAAAGGCATTGGCGTTGGCAGTGCTCCCCATGTAGGTCATCGGTACGTGCTGGATGGGACACTGGCACATGGGTTTCTTGTTGGCCTGCTTTGTGCCCACTTCCGATGTGGATGTAGAGCTGTTGCTGGTCTTCGGCTTTACCTGCAGAGGATCGGCCACAGCGAAATATCGCGGAATCGTGCGATGGTAGCGACGCGAACTAGATGGAGTCTTGCTGAGCTGCTGCTGCTGTTGTTGTTGGCTGTTCTTTAGGGTTCCGTGCAGAGGCATTTGTGTCGTCTGCGTTACCGAATCCGCTGTACTTGACGCTGGTGTAGCTGATATTGTAGCAATTTCCAGGGGTTGCAGGAGCTCCATTGCCGGGGAGGATATGGCCGCCAGCAGATGTTGCTGCTGCTGCTGCTGGTGCTGCAACACCTGGGCGTGAGTGGGCGTGGCCTGAAGTTCCCCACTGGCTGCTGGTAGGGAATGATAGCTAGCGGCACTGGCGCTTGCATTGATTTCCACGTCGGCTACGGTGAGATACTGTTGCTGCTGTGGCAGCTGGTGGAGCAGCTCTTGCGATCCGCGAGGTGTCGTCCTGCGGCCCGTCGAGTAGACAGCCGAACTCGAACTGGCCGCCGCTGTGGTCACACTGGCGCTGATGTTGAGATGGCAGTTCTTGTAGCTACACTCCGCGGAGACTGGCGGCTTTGGCATGGCCTGCAGACAAATAGATCCACTGCTTACCGGAGGCTGCATAAGGTGTTGCTGTTGCTGCTGCTGCTGCTGATGATGATGTTGCTCCAAGGTAAGCTGCTGCTGCTGCTGCTGCTCACTCTGCAAGCTGTAAGGCGGTTGGTGGTTCTCCCCGGTGGCTATGGTGGTTACTCCGCCACTGTTGATGTTAATGTTAATCAAGTTTGTGGTGCTCTGGGTGTACTGGTTCGATTGGGGCAGTACTGGAGCGGCCGCGGCCAACTGGTGGCTATGCTGAGCATGCGGATGCGCGACCAGTTGTTGGGTATACGGCTGGTGGTGCTGCTGCGGCTGAGTATGCAGTTGAAGCGTGTGCTGCTGAAGGTGCTGGTGAGCCTGTACCTGCGCCTGGATCTGTTGTGCCTGAGCCTGTGCTTGGGCTTGAGCCACCGCCTGCTGCTGTTGCTGGCTGACAGTGGCCACCGCTCTCTGAGAGCTGCTGGCTGGTAGGCTCACCGTGCACTGTGCGCTCAAGGCTTCCGCTTGTGAAATAGCCACCGCTTCCTCATAAGGCGGTGGAGCTTCGCCTCGCGGGAAGTGCGGCTTCCACAAGGGATAGTGGGTGGCAGCGCCGCCATAGGAGTAGTCAATGGCGCTTAGATTGCCCTCCATGTAGCCCATGTTTCCGGCAATGTAACTGAAGTGCAAAAAAACATCAGATCATCTCCTTGAACACAGACACGATGGAACACTTACCCAATGCTGCCCACGATGCTGCGCTGATCCTCAGCATTCTGGCGATTCTCCCGCGCTCGCATCTTGCGCTGCCGCAACCGATTGACCAGGAAGAAGAGCAATGAAAGCGAGAGCGTGGCCGTGATGCCACTGGCCACCAGTCAAATGCCAAAGTCCGTGCTCCCGTCGCTGAACTGGTCGTCCAGGCAGATCACCTCGCAGCAATTATTGCCGCTACCAACGGTCTGAAAAGACTTGCACTTGCTGAACGCCTCGCAGAGTACCATCTTACAGGCCTTGGGCAGTCCGCTGTCGCAGGTGCACAGGCGGCAGGAGTCGGGTCCGGGCATGTAGTGCATGCCCGTCTCGTATAACTTCCCATTGTAGTCGCGGCAGTGGCCACCGGGTACTAGGCTTGAGCTCACCGCGTTTCCATCTGCAGAAGATCCAAAAAATCAAATTAAATCAAAAATCGGATCAATCCAAGCTAATGGTTTTAATTGTTAAAATGTTGTGTGTTACCAACGGTATTTTTCAAGATATATTCTTGAATACCCGCTTTTTGTTCAAAGGTGAAAGTAAATTCTTTCTCAAAACAGATAATAATACCACTAAATGTTGTATTCTACAAAAGTTGTAAATCTCGAATCTCGAAAATTTAAATGCATTAAATGTATCCTTCAAAATATTACGTTTTGGTAAAAAGAAAACTTATCTCTTGTTTGGCTTTAAAAGAAATTATTTCATATTTTTATATGCATTTTAATGGATTTGTAAAGCATTTCAAACGCCCTGTAATTAAGTGAGTACGATTTTTATTTATTGTTTTTAAATACAGAGTATGTATATGTTATTATTATATCAGAAAAATAATTACAATAAAAAAAGTCCAAACGACTTTAGATGTGAACCCAATCTTTTAAATGAATAATAACATCTCAAAAGTGTCACAGATATCACTTGGCATTTAAATGCAATCCAAAAGGTTCAATGATTTTGTAGCATACTTTTCTGATATAAAATACGCAGCAAGCTTAAGCAATTTTCGTTCTAAGCTAACTTAAATAAGAATTTTAACTGACGGATTCGAGTTTTGCTTTTATAAAATTAACAAGGCCAATTGAAATGAAAATCATTTGTATATATATGTATTTATGTTCATATGTAGACTCTCTTTTATGTTGGCAAAGATGTAGCTAAAATCTTCAGCGGTAGAAGGATCTGGAATATGCAGGACAGCCTCACAAATATGCACCTATAGACGCGCACTCGAATGCTTGGATGTTGAATTCTTTATTTTGGCACACTTGACCAACTTTCGCCTTTGCTGATTTAAAATTGCGCCACCAAACCACAAATACACAAACACATACCGAAGGAGCACATACAGCTGCAATGACAAAGTGCAGCAGGTGCTGTAAATCCTCCGCTCAATCGAGGAACGTGGAGAGTAAATCAGTGAAAATGAGATGGGGAGAGACGCGAGGAAAGGCCACAATATTTATCACTTGAATGAAATTAAATGCAAACGCATAACATTTTCGACATCATTTAAATGCTAAACAGCAAAAGGAAATTCAAATTAAAAACAAATATACATGCACATACACACTCTCAGCAATATACATACATGCATACATATGTCCATGTGTATGCAGCGGAAGACCGTATAAGTGGCAGAGGGAGGAGGAGGTGAAAGCGAATTTCTGGGCAGGAAACGCACGAACGAAAATGGCAAACAGGCGTGCGTTACGCCCCCGCAACAAAAAAAAGGAAAAATATCGCAAAAAAATGTTGCCGTACATTCGAGAGTTTCCAAGTGAAATTGGTGTGTAGGTGTGTGTGATAAATACATACACGCGTGTCACATACACACCCAGTTCACACCCATACAGAGGAGCCGAGTATACATGCAAAAAAATAAACACCATACACACACCACCCCCAAACAACCGCCCACCACAAAGCAGACACATGAATGTATATATACATACATATGTACATACAGGACCAAAGCTAAATTTTGCAGGCCACTTCCTTCGTATTGCCATTTCCATTTCCCCACCCAAAAAAACCGTTATGCCCCTTTTCTCTCTCTCTCCCTCTTTGATTCTGCTTCTGCTCCGCTGAGAAAAAGAGCGAAACGAAGCGCAGAATGTGGGTTGGTATTGGTGAGTGCTGGCTCTGACTGTGTGTGTGTGCCCCGTGTCCCATAAATTGTGAACTCTGTGGCCATGGACCATATTTCCAATTATCGCTGAAGGAGCAATCCGAGCAATCGAAATTGATTTTGTTGAAAAACCTTGTGTTCACTCTCAATCAGTTTACATTCTTTTAATCGATAGATTTGTTCATTAAAAAGCTCAACCTTTTTCGCATTGTCAGGATATGGGGCTAAATTTGCATGCTCGTTTGTCTGTGTGTGTGTGTATAAAATTTTTCACATTAGTTTTTCCCACTGGACCGTTCCCGTTACCTTTGGCATTTCCAATGAACGCAAGCAATGCCAAAAAATACATTTTGCACACGCTATTTAGAACTCTTCACACAACAGAATTATTTGCTAAATTACTATTTTGTCACACAAGTATTTTATCCAAGTATTTTCAACAGTTTTTTGCGAACGTTCGAGCAATACCAACAACCACCGACGACGACGAACCGAACGAGAGTTTTCGCTCAGAAGTTCCGCTTCCAGGGTTCCCGTTAAGTTACCGTTGGCTGTTGGAACCACTTGACGCGTCAAGTTCCAGGGCTGCATTAATCGTTCGCGTGGGAGTCATTTAAACTTGTAACCGTTGCATTTCAAAAGTTTTTTGTTTGTGATCATCGGAGGAGGCAGAAAATATTGTTATACATAATTCTCAAAAAAGTAAGTCGTTAATTTCTGAATTATCTTCAGAATCAACAAAGAATTCATACAGATTATTAAGTTAATTTAGGGAACCTAGTTTGGAACAACAATTGGTCTACTAAAAAATTTAATTTAAGCCAATAAGCCTTACCATATTACCAATATGCTTTATACATTTTTCGTAAATAAGCACATAACTTAAAACAACCTTTCGAATAATTTAAAATTCAAATCGATTTCAGTGATACCTTTGCTAACTTTAATATTTCTATTCAACGAAATTAATTGTGATTTTAAAGGAATTTTCAAACATTGACGTTTTCTAAATACATATCGTATTCCTCTAATGGTTGTTAAATTCAATTTACCCAAAATGCTCGCATTAATTTTGCAAAATGCATTCGGCATGCGACCCCAAAGTCAAGTATAAACTTTAAGGGTCAGACAACAACAACAGTAAGAGATTAGAGGGTGCGCAAACAACACGCACATGGAATAATTTGCGATTTGCTGAACCACGATTAAGTTGCATTTAAACCAAGTGTAGAGGTAATTTGAAACTTTCATTTACTTGCAGGCAGCTGCTCCTACCAATTGGACTCCGATTTTGACAGTCAGCAGACGGCTGAGAGAGTCAACAGACATGAACAACGCCACAGGCGCACTGGCAGCGGCAAAAGGAGTCGCGAAAAATCACAGCACCTATGTAATACCAGGCATGTACGACCTCTCTGTTGAGGACACCAACTGGGTGCTTACCTCCTCCTTCATCATTTTCACCATGCAAACGGGCTTCGGAATGCTGGAGTCCGGCTGTGTAAGCATTAAGAACGAGGTGAACATTATGATGAAGAATGTGATCGATATTGTGCTGGGTGGCTTCACTTACTGGCTGTTCGGGTATGGAATGAGCTTTGGCCGAGGCCCACTCTCCAATCCCTTCATTGCTATCGGGGACTTTCTGTTGGATCCACCGGTAGGCGATGCTCTGATGGGACAGATCTTTGCAGCATTCCTGTTCCAGCTGTCTTTCGCCACCACGGCCACAACTATCGTTAGCGGCGCCATGGCAGAACGGTAGGTTTGGCTTTAAGTTAAAAACTTTTGTTTTTTAATAATCCAAACTGCCTCTCCTTTCAGTTGCAACTTTAAAGCTTACTGTCTATTTTCGTTCCTAAACACCGCTGTCTACTGCATACCCGCGGGGTGGGTGTGGGGGGAGCACGGGTTCCTTAACAAGCTAGGCGCCGTGGACATTGCGGGCAGCGGACCGGTTCACTTAATTGGAGGTGCCTCCGCTTTCGCCTCGGCCGCCATGCTGGGACCTCGCTTGGGCCGCTATTCAGAGGGCTACGACCCCCTGCCATTGGGCAATCCCGTCAACGCCTGCATGGGTCTCTTCGTCCTTTGGTGGGGCTGGTTGGCCTTCAACTCGGGCAGCACCTACGGTGTGAGTGGGTCCAAGTGGCAGTATGCGGCTAGGGCGGCCGTAATGACCATGATGGGATCCTTTGGCGGCGGATTTATAAGCTCAATGTATGTAATTAAGACCTTGTTTTTTGTATATTCATCTTCTTCATTTTCCAAAAGCTACTCCTTTTGGCGCCATGGAGGCGGCATGGACATCATGGACCTTATTAATGGTGTACTTGGATCTCTGGTGTCAATCACAGCTGGCTGTTTCCTGTACCGCGCCTGGGAGGCGCTAGTGATCGGAGCCATCGGCTCACTATTCTGCGTCCTGGCCATGCCACTGTTCGACCGTATGGGTGTGGACGATCCAGTAGGTGCCAGTGCCGTGCACGGAGTGTGCGGAATCTGGGGTGTCATTGCCGTGGGTCTGTTCGCCGATAATCCCATTCCCCTGGACACGACAAACGGTCGCAGCGGGTTGTTCAAGGGCGGAGGCTGGTACCTTCTAGGGATTCAGACGCTTTCGGCCTTATGCTTGGTCTGCTGGGGCATCTGCTCCACTTTCTTGCTGCTCTTCGTGATCAACAAGATAATACCCATACGCATGGATCCGCACGAGGAGCTGCTGGGCGCCGATCTCACCGAGCACCGAATCCGGCACTCGCAAATAGGCTTGTCGCGGGCCATCTCCGCATTGGCACCCATTAAGGTGGATCTAAAGGAGATCGCCGGCATCCAGCCCATTGGTATTAATCCTGGTCACGAGCGCAGTATTGAACAGTTACGGGCAGCGGAAGACAAGCTGCAGCAATGGCAATCGTATCTCGACCAGGTGAGTGCTCCCAAGTCCAACCATCTTAAGTCAGATGCCGGTCGAGACATCATTTCAAGCCCAGGACGGCGGGCAACGTCTTTAACCGACGACTTCCTGTCCGAGACAATTTCAGCGGTGGCCTGTATAGGCCCAACAATAGTGACTTGCCCGTCATCGGTGGTCCATCCTCAAAGCAGGAAAAGGACCCTAATTTTGCTTGGGTGGATTAGAAATTACGCTTACAATTTATAATTCAACTAGAGTTTTATGAATTTTTAGATCTTTCGACACTACTAATTTTAACTAAATTTAAAAATACCTGGCAGAAAATTATATTACCGCCTAAAAATATGCAACGATTTGCGGACGGGATGTTCTAGAACATTCTATTGCAGCCGTGCTTTTTCTTTAATATTCTTAATTTGTACAATTACCTAAATTCTCTTTTAAAACAGAGAAATATAGGATCGCTTACGTCCGAATAAAAAAATGTAATTAGTAAAAGAATAACTTTGTCCTATGTTAGTTTTCTAGAAACACTTGCACTTAATCTCTCCAAACTGGCCACACCCAGTCTACCAAAGCTAATATCACACGCACTGTGCTTAAACACAGATAGTACGGAAGATAAGATAATCTGGAATAAATAGCAAACGAGATAACAATCCAAAGTACAGCGTAACCTATATAACAATTTCAATCACTAAAATACGTATACTTCGCTTTGTAATAATCGAAAATATAAAAGTTTAAACAGTTCTCCTGAATGGGAATAATAACAATTCAATAGATTGCAATTCTCAAATTTATTTATTGAATTCAAGTACAAGCAAATATTGTTTGGATGATCGATCGATGACAATAATATAATATATATTATTATGGAGCAGTGTTTGGTTTTGTTCTAGTATGAAATAATATTATAAATGATTTTCGGAAGCAGTTGTCGTTTGTTCCGATTGGAATTGGTGGCTGATTTAATGTTTTGTAGTGATTTTCTAATTTAGAATCCAAGTTTTGTTTAAGCAACTCTTCTACTGTTTGGTTGGTATTTTGTAGCTGGGAGAATTGTTACTGTATGGGGGGTGATTGATTTAGTCGACCTCCTCGATGGTGGGGCCAGCACCGCCGGCACCAGCAGCTCCAGGAGCACCAGCTGCTCCGGGCATGCCTCCAGGACCGCCGGGCATGCCACCGGGAGCACCGCCAGCGCTCTGGTAGAGCTTGGTGATGATCGGGTTGCACACACCCTCCAGCTCCTTCTGGCGGTGCTCATACTCCTCCTTGTCGGCCAGCTGGTTGGCATCGAGCCACTTGATTGTCTCGTTGCACTTGTCCAGGATGACGGTGCGGTCAGAGTCAGAAATCTTGGTCTTCAGATTGTCCTCATCGAGGGTGGCCTTCATGTTGAAGCAGTACGACTCCAGACCGTTCTTGGCGGCGATGGTCTCCTTCTGCTTCTCATCCTCATTGCGGTATTTCTCGGCCTCGTTGACCATGCGCTCGATGTCCTCCTTGGACAGACGGCCCTTGTCGTTGGTGATGGTGATCTTGTTCTCCTTGTTGGTCGAACGCTCCAGGGCAGTGACGTTCAAGATGCCGTTGGCGTCAATGTCGAAGGTCACCTCAATCTGGGGTACGCCACGGGGTGCGGGAGGGATGCCCGAAAGCTCGAACTTGCCCAGCAGGTTGTTATCCTTGGTCATGGCGCGCTCGCCCTCGTACACCTGAATCAGCACACCGGGCTGGTTGTCCGAGTAGGTGGTGAAGGTCTGGGTCTGCTTGGTCGGGATGGTGGTGTTGCGCTTGATCAGCACGCTCATCACACCGCCGGCGGTTTCGATACCCAGAGACAGAGGGGTGACATCGAGCAGCAGCAGATCCTGCACCTCCTGCGACTTGTCACCGTGCAGAATGGCGGCCTGGACGGCGGCACCATAAGCGACAGCCTCATCGGGATTGATCGACTTGTTCAGCTCCTTGCCGTTGAACAGATCCTGCAGCAGGCGCTGCACCTTGGGGATACGAGTAGAGCCACCGACCAGCACGATGTCGTGGATGGCCGACTTGTCCAGCTTGGCGTCGCGCAGAGCCTTCTCCACAGGGTCCATGGTGCTGCGGAACAGATCGGCGTTCAGCTCCTCGAAACGGGCACGGGTGATCGAGGTGTAGAAATCAGTTCCCTCGAACAGAGAGTCAATCTCAATGCTGGCCTGGGTGGAGGAGGAGAGGGTTCGCTTTGCACGCTCGCAGGCAGTGCGCAGACGACGCAGGGCGCGCTTGTTGGTGGTCAGATCCTTCTTGTGCTTGCGCTTGAACTCCTGCACGAAGTGCGTGACCAGACGGTTGTCGAAATCCTCACCACCCAAATGGGTATCACCGGCGGTGGACTTGACCTCAAAGATACCGTCATCGATCGACAGAATGGACACATCGAAGGTGCCGCCACCCAGATCGAAGATGAGCACGTTGCGCTCGCCAACGGCCTTCTTGTCCAGACCATAGGCAATAGCCGCAGCCGTGGGCTCGTTAATGATACGAAGCACATTCAGACCGGCGATGGTTCCGGCATCCTTGGTGGCCTGACGCTGGGAGTCGTTGAAGTAGGCCGGCACGGTGATGACCGCGTTGGTCACAGTCTTGCCCAGATAGGCCTCGGCAGTCTCCTTCATCTTGGTGAGCACCATCGAGGAGATCTCCTCGGGGAAGAAGGTCTTCTTCTCGTCCTTGTAAGTCACCTCAATCTTGGGCTTACCATCAACGCTGACCACCTCGAAGGGCCAGTGCTTCATGTCCGACTGCACGGCGGAGTCATCGAACTTGCGGCCAATGAGACGCTTGGCATCGAAGATCGTCTGGGTCGGGTTCATCGCCACCTGGTTCTTGGCGGCATCGCCGATCAGACGCTCCGTATCGGTGAAGGCAACATAGGATGGTGTGGTACGATTACCCTGGTCGTTAGCGATGATCTCGACCTTGCCATGCTGGAACACTCCCACGCACGAGTAGGTGGTGCCCAAATCAATACCAACAGCAGGAGCTTTAGACATCTGTAAATAATTGGATGGGGGAATCTTTTAGCTTATATATTTCTCTCTAAATTTTGTATAAATGTATATAATTGCAAAATGTACAAACAATAAGACACGATAGAATGAGGTTTCAGTTAGACAGCATAGTCATCGCCAGCTGTGATCAAATATTATTACATACTGTCGTTAAGGGTTGTCAATGTGGTTTAATAATCACCAAGGCAATACAGAACATAGTTTTTTATTTCCCCCTAACAAGCGCCATCTTATTTCGCCTTTTACAGCTAGCATTTCGTTATTGTGAAAATTTTTCGCTATATTTCCCAAACTGGTTGCCGAAATTGGCGCATCACGAGTTATGACTAACGGCCAACGCGATCAAAGCGAGAGTTTTGTTCAAAACGGCAAGATCAATGCCAAAACGCGGTAACAATGGCGGCCGACGCAGCTGCCATGGCTTTTTCCGAGAAAGGTGCGCAAAAAAAAGTAAAGAAACCACATGGACAAAGACGAAAATTCTGGAATGCTAAATAAGCAAACACACACACATGGAGAAAACCACGCTGTCGAAGCCAGGTCATTTTGGAGGGTTATTCGTGCACAATGGGTGCGAAAGAGACAACCATTCTGCTGAGGCCGACAAGGGGCTGTTTTTGTGTGTATTAGTTTTACCCGCTCACAAATACACACACGTGCGTGTACTTTGGATGCCGGTTAGCAACGTGTTTTCTATCTAAATATATTTGAAAACCCACATAAAATATAGATTTATGGATATGAAGACTATTTATAAACCAGCCGCGTCTATCAGATGGATCCGACTCATGTCTGGGTGGGAATTAAGCATGTTTCTGAAGAGTGTTATGTGGGTATGATTAAGTATGCATGTGCCGCTGACGTCCGCCGGTGTGCGTGTGAGAAGCCGCACATTTTACCATTGGAATATTCCAGAAAAAGCGCAACGACACTTAAAATATATTAGCAATTACGATGACTAATTTGAACATTGATTTATATGAAGATAATTAAAAAACAATGTCAAGACCCCGTTGGATGACGCAAGAATTTTCACATACATATACAGTCACAAGCCGTATACAAATGCAATGCGACTGTGAGGCGGCATTTCCCAGTGGAATATTCCAGATAAGCGGCAATCACGTTGTTCTTCGTTATTCTGAGTAATTAGTCATAACTACATTTATCTACCATTAGCTTAATTATTTCTTGAAATCAAGAAAAAAGTACACGTTTGTGTGATGTGTGTGAATGATGCCATTACTCATTAAGGGTCGAAAGTTCGAGAAGTCTCGTTTCACTAAGCAAGTATTGATTGAATAAGGAACTTAATTTTGACCCAACAGACTTGGGTGCAATGACGTCGAAAAACACGTGGTTAACTGTTCTTTTTTTTTATTAGGTCAAAAGCGTTTAAATGCACTTCTTACAACAAAGACGGCGTGGAATTCTTAGCACTTACCTTGTGTTGTTGAGTTAGAAAGTACTAAATATAATCGTGTAATTGCTACTTCACTATTCTGCCGAGCGGTCACGTTCGATCAGATTTTTTTTTCAAATACGCAGATGCATACAGACGCACGGCCTTTTATCAGAGCTGCGAAATAGTCGATAAGTCAATACTTCTATCGATGTTATCGATAGGCCTATCGACTAATCGATTCCTCATATTCTGGTCCAGTGGGCCCAGCTGGCGTAGAGGAGGAAATACTCTTTTTATGCCATATAAACGGAAAAGCCGCCGGGCACACTACACTTTCCGCGGGAAGAATAACAAAAAACAAAGCTTAAATTGCGCTTTTCGGTTAAAAAGTAATGTTCTGGCACCAGAATGAGCGCTCTCTTAAACGAAATCCAGCGGATCATCGCAGAGCTTCGATCGGACAAGCCATCAAGCCGAAATAAAGCCATCGAACAGCTGGAGGAAAAACTGGTCAACTGCAGAGAAAGCTTGACTGCTCTATTGCTGGACAAGCGATTCGACTTGTCGTGGGCAGGACTATACGATGTGGCCAAGGAGGGACTATTCAAGGTCTGTGACATTTCCACCGTAAATTTTAACACAATCTGAAGCATTATTTTTGCTTATAAATAGCACGCACAGAGCTTACACGATGCCAACGAGAAATCCTTCAAAACCTTGGCGACCAAGACTTATTTGTACGGCAATGTTCACGACAGGATCGTCAAGTACAACTTGGACGGTAAGCATTGAATGTGCACTTGGACCTTAGTTAACTTATGTGTTCTTCAGCTGGCTTGGAGTCGACAGGAAGTGGCCACTTTCTGGCAAAGACAAGTCTCTTTAATGCGTTCGAGGAAATGATAAAGTCGCGGGTGGTGATTAATCACTTTGGAGACCGCATTCTAGGCCTGCTGGACAGGGGCATTTACTCTTCTGCCAGCTATGTGCGCGAACTGAAGATCAACGAGTACAGTCGTAAGGAAATATTTATTTTCAAAGCTTGCTTTTATACGTAACCAGATCACTTGGCTTTTAGGAATCCTCTCCTACCTGTTTGAGGTTAATGTTGGCGGGGACAATTTCCTCCACACTACAATAATGAAATGCATCACAAAGACAGTCACTCTGGCTAAAGATCGAGTTCAACTGCATTGTGACATGGTGGTATATCTGCCCGAGCTGAAAAGCTTTGCAAGCACGGCGATTGGGGCGAGGAAGACTGAGATTGTTCGTCTCTATTTGATTTTCGTCACAGAGGTGGGCTTAAAACTTCTCTTTGCTTAAATCCTTGCTCACTCTTTTGTCTATGTCAGCTTTCGGTTAACTACCATCACCAGCTGTGCATCCACATGCAGGAGATCCTGCCAAAGCTATGTGAGTTCCACAACGAGGATGTGTTCCGCGATGACACCCGAAACCTGTTCTTCCAGTCCGTCATCCATTCGTTGCGATCACTATATCCTAAGCTGGTTATGGGTGATTTCTATACACTTGGCGTGCCTGTCCACGAGACGTGGCACCAAACTCTGATGCGACTGAAAACCATTGTAAACATGGAGATCCGCAAGAACTCCCTTCCGCGTTACAAGACAGCACAACTGAGCAATGATAAGTTTTCAGAGGCCTTCATCAAGATGTCAGCGTTGGTCATATATATTGTAGGGAATAACATATTATTATTTAAGTGTATACTTTAGTTACGTTTCTTGCAGGTTCTTTGGCATTTGGAGGAGGCCAGAAAACCGGATGAAAACGGAGATGGTGACGTACCCAAGAAGGTGCCCAAAACTTCGGATAAAATGGATGAAATTTTCGCTCTTATTGACAAGAAGGAGACCACTTTCAACGACGTCTGGTTTGCCATTTTCACAGAGCTGCTCCAGATAAGCAGCGTCATCCTGAATGTGGGCAACTACCAGCAGTCGCTGGCCACAGTTTCAGACATAATGCAAATGTATGGCAATGCCAGAAATCTGAAGAATCTTCATCTGTGCATGGGCAGCCTGCTGGAAAAGGAACAGGAGCTATTGAAGTCGAAGTCGATTCAGGAGGGCTTTCTTGCTGAATTGTGGAGTAGGATGGGGAACCACCTGATAACTGAGACCACCACCAACAGCGAGGAGATCAAGGAGAAACAGTTGGTGCTGCAGTTGCTGATCAGGCATCACAAGCTGAGTCCGAAAATAGTCACCAGCCTAGTGCAGAACATCACCACAAATGAAATGATGAAGCGTAACGAATGCTTTGCCAGCATTCGGGAGATTTACATTCATGCTGCAGAGTGTGGTCAGGACAAAGCCTCCGCAGACTTGGAGCCCATAATTGCGTGGGCCTACGGGTGCGGGGAGAGGACCAGCGCCACACAAGTCATACACAATATAGCCAGCATAGATGCCAAGTTGCAGGCGGACACCTTTGCGATCTGTATCATCAACTTCTTGGATCAGCAGCAGCTGGAAGAGCTCTCTAAGTCAGAGCCCAAGGCGATTCCCGCTGAGCAAAATCTTTTAGCATACAAGTATAATAAGCAATTGATATGCCTAGACAAGGAGTATGCCCGACCCTTTGTCTCAATTGCTCAGCTGCAGAGCGAAACAAAGAATTGTCTCTACCAGACCAACTACGAGTGCCTTATGCGCAATCTTAACTACCAATGTGTAAACGATAACCAACCCGCGGCCATTTTAAAGAACCTTAACACTCTGCATCGGTTGACCTGCACAATGGAGAGGCTTTTGCACTACAAAGTGTTCGATTCCGGGAACTTTGAGGCTTGTCCCCTGATCAAAAGAATTGGCCTCTTTCTCAGTCACATCGAGGTATTTGGGTGTAAAACGAAAACTTTTATTAGATACTTTCATACTTTAATTTATGTAATATTATTTTTGTATTTATGGTTTATAGTTCCAGTACAAAGCTAACTGTTCTGAGATGCTGGATGAGAGCGATCTGCGCGAAATTCTGCGGCTTCAAATAGCCGTGCTTGAAGTCTTTAAATCGAATTCGATTTTACTCAGTTATTTGGAGAGGCAGCCTATAGAAATGATGGTGGAATTCATTGGCTCTGCCCTCAAGCTGTACTGTAAGTTTTATATTTATTTAATTAAACATCTTATTCACATGTTTACAAAATTCTAGGCATGCGGCGAGAGCGCTCTGATAATGCAGATCATTTGACGATAACTGCTCAGTGCTTGCACATTTTGAGTGGATTGTGTGCTTGCAGTTCGCATCAGGAAGAAACATTTGAGCAGATAACCAAAGTGACGATGCGATGGCGGCCTCAAGATGTGCTTATTGTAACAAAGGTGGGTGGCTACCATCTCATCTCGATTTTGCTAACATATTATATATTTTTAGGAACTGTGCAGCTGCTCAAGTATTTCCGATGCAGTCAGCACTTGGCTGGTGAGCAAACTTAAGACAGTCTTTCAGCTTCATCATCTTGATTTGGATGTCATCGATAAAGTGGTCGACCATTTGCCCAGTAAGCAACGATTTATATTTTCACATAATTCATTGTCCTTAAATCTCCTCCTTTCAGCAATTTTCCAGTTTGTTTACCAAATAGAACATCACTTGGACGATATGCTAATGGCCCTTAATTCTCTGCTAAGGATTGCCATTAAGAAGTCCTACACATCCCAACTTACGGCGAAAATCGTGCAGTGCGTGGGTCTAATTGCTGAGCGTTGTCCTGACATTTACCAGCTCGAAAACTTTACTGTGATATGCAAGTCTACGGGGAAATTTTTTACAATGCCTACATTGGAAGTGCGTTTTGCCACCCTGTTCACCTTCACCATCTTGCTGGATACAAATTGTGTGACCAAGGATGCTATCGCGAACTCTCCAACTCACTGGGAGTTCTGTCGCGAACTCTACAATAGCATCGAGTTCAAAAAGCTTTCTGTATGTAAGAGATATCCTTAGTGGTCCGTAGCTCAAGAGATTTTCTTTCGTAGATAAACGACGACGAGGACGCAGTCCGGAATAGCAATGCCATAATAATACAAATGCTGATTGCAATTTTTTTGAGGAGCTCATTTCATCAGGAGATTGCTCTCAAGGAGCTGCTTTATCAGTGCGCACTGCGCAGACTGCCAGAAAGTAAGTTTCCTTACATGCTACGATTTTATAGTTTTAGTCTAATGGTATTTACTCTTCTCACAGGTGAGTTTCTTTCTCTACGCGGTACAGTGCCCGGATACGGACGAACCTTGGTAGATCTTATACGGCCATATACGGATTTCCTGCTGCACAAGTGGAGCTCACAGGGCTGGCCCATTTCCAAGTGAGAAGGTCATCTAAATAAGTGAAACATTTGTTGTATTACTTGCCCAACAGGTTCCCCTATTTTCTGTGCTATGAAAATAAGAATGATTTCCGTAGAGCTCATTCTAGTAGGATCATGGCATATGTATTTTTATACGGCAAGACTGAGGATATTGAACGTTACAGCAAGTCCATCGGCGAAGAGGTACCTATACTAGTTCATATCAATTCGATCTAAAATTTCAGTGATTGCTTCCGTTTCCGTAGGTGGCCCTTCCCCTAGTTGCCTCCTATGTTTTGGCCAAAAATGCATTTTGCAGCGAAACCGAAGCTAAGGAGTTCCAAGATAATCATCAAAGGCTTTCGGAGAATCTTAGATACTCCGAGCTAAATGCCAAGGATGTTGATCTCAATGTGGAGACCCTTTGCTGTGCGATTGGCCTGCTTGGTGACGATCTGCAGGAAATGAAAAGATTACTGGGTTCCAATGTGCCCATCAGCAGAGAAAGCAACTGGTATACACTTTCGGTGGAGTCTCTTTTCGATTGTCTTAACCTTCACATTGTAAGTAGTATTTTTAAATTACTACTTTTACTAAAATAAGTTCTTAGGGCTCCCATAAAGGTTCTTCAAGAGGGGACAATCGCATCCAGTCTATGTCAACACTTCAGATCAAACATCCTCGAATATTGGTCGATCTTTTTGGTCGCTTGAAAACCAATTGCTTTACATCCAGCTTTACCAGTCAGGCATTACGTTATTTGTTTCTATATTGCGAAATTGCTGATGCTGTTTATGAGGCTGCTGCCCAGGAAGCAGTTAAGACAAAGGCTGCTGTCGCTCAATGTTCCTACTTTGTTCGCGACATTTGGTTTTTTGTGGTTCGTTATCTTCATCACAGTGAGTTTTAATTAGTATTTAAACGTATTATATTAATTAACATTCTCGAATCGTAATGCAGCCAAGTCCATCCAAGTACAAATGTGTGCTCTTTCGTTTCTTGAACAACTGCTGACCTCCAAGCCAATATTTACTCATGAGGAGTTTACAACACACATGGCAGAGATAGCTAAGCTATTGAGTGGCTTTCGACGGGAATGCGTTGCCAAGGAAGTAAAGGAGAAAACCAGTGAAGTCGTAAAGATGATTCTGGAATGCTACCATTCCCATATCAATTTGCATTCCTTTCTCGAGGACACGACGGAATGCGAGTTCTTAAAAACTTGGCGAGAGAAATACAATTCCAGGCTAGAACCAAGCAAAGACATGACTGATGTGGCTAACTATCTACGTTCGTTTCTCAAGAGACCCACTGCTGAACGATTGCGAGACCTGAGAACCTATGTAAGAGTCCGAATATTAAAGAACTAAGTTTATTTAATGCTTTTATTGAATACAATGCTCTCCAACAGGTTGCCGAACACAAGGACAGTCTTCAAAAATATGAACGTATATTATTTGAGGTCATAAGTCGCTTGATTCAAATGGCCAGAGATTCGGTTAGCAAGCAGAGCAGTCTGGAAGCCCTCAAGTGTCTGGCTCAAATCGGACCGCTGAAGTTGTCAAATGTTTCATATTATTTCCAAACCGACTTTGATTCCTTTGAGGAGGTATACACTATAATCTTCTTAAAATATTTGTTTTGTCAATACGTTGCCATTTTTCTGTGCAGTCGGAGAATCTGGACCCTATAGAGAAGTTCGTGAACGTCATCTGTGAGACCTTGGAGAAATATTTGTTTCACTTTGATCCTCACACTCATGATGCTCTGGTTTCCGTAGTCGTTCAAGTTGTAAATAGCCAGGGTGGCTCAAAGATTACGGGTTAGTACTTCAGTACATTCTCATTATACATTACTTACATTGGATTGTTCTTTTAGGTCGCTTTAAAAACATTAAAATCTTTGCTGTCAAGCCTCCGGAATCTAGTGTCTTGGATGGGTACAAGCAGATTTCTCGCATCGATTGGTTGGCTGCACTGAAAGCCACTCAAGATTTGAGCTATGAGCCCTGGATGTGCGCCTTCGTTTCGAATGTTTTCACAGATTGCGGCTGGCTAGAATTCGGTGCGTTGGCTGCCAAGTCTTTGCCTTTTGCCAAGACCTGCCTGCAGCCGTTCATCAAGTTATTGTTGGCCAACAATCAGGAGCAGCACTTGGAAAGTCTATGCCCAATGTTAGATTATTTTTTCGAACGCTTTGTAGGCTCAAGGTCAGAGAGCTCCACTCCGAAAATCTTTCACAACAAGCGCGCCATCAAGAGGTTCCTTCACATCTGCGAATGTATACGAGTGGTGAATAATTGGAGTATTCCCGTGGATCTGAGCAATGTGGTTATGGCTAGTAATCACTGCCAGGCCTACTTTTTGAGCATTATGTACCTAGAGCTGTGGGCTTGCTCAAAGAGCATCAACCCCTTGACCAACGTTTCTTTTCAAGCCTCGGCAAAGAAGGTACTTAGGAAATCAGTCTCTCCTAAATAAGTTATTCCCTAAAATCACCTATATTCACAGGCCTACGAATCCATTGGGTGCTTGGATGCTATTCCTGGCTTTGTGAATCCCATGCTCTCTCGAGTGGACTTCCTTGGTGGGAGCAACAACCTGACCGCTATCCTATTAGAGTCAGATCCTCTGGATAAGGCCAACAGCCAACTGTGCATGGATATTATGAAGGGCAATGGCTTGTGGTCGTTCGCCAAACTCCAGCAGCAACAAAGCACGGAACCGGACTACGAAATCTTTTGGCGCCTAGGCCAATGGGATTTGCTGACAGACTCCAAGCAGCAGCAGCTACAGCAACTGGGGACGAGGACTTCATTTAATTTCGAGCAAGAGTTCACTCGGCATCACTTTGTGGCCCTCAGAAGCATTAGCCAGAGGGAGGAGGAAAACAGTCTATCGGCCATTGACATGGCCTACAACTGTGTGCGCGACATACTGCAAGAGATCAGCGTAGAGTGCCTGCAGAGTGTGTACAAGTACCTGACTTGGCTATGCTCGCTCCAGCAGGCGGAGGACTTTTGCCAGGTGATGTGGACTTAATGTGGACTGTACAATTAACTCGGCTTAACTCTCGCTCCGCTATACAGATCCAGTTTGGCACCCAACTACCTCCGTCCCATATGAACCAACTATTCCGTAAATGGCAGATAGAACTGGAGCTCAATTACGGCAACTTTGCCTGTAAGGAGTACGTCATTGCTCACCAGATTGCTCTGTTTAAGATGGCCGGTACACGAGCGACACGTCGGTTAACCGATTTTTACAAGGAAAATCCCGTGGACACATACCTGTTGAAGGGCATTGGGGAGTGCAAGGCAGCGGGTAAGCTGAACTTAGCAGCGAAGTATATCGGTGTTCTGCGGGAAATGCCAGATATTACGGAGTCTACAAAGGTAAGTAAACCGTTTAGATAACTCTCTTTATATACTCTTAAAAAATGTTTTTTAATGTAATCTAAAAATCTTGGTTATTCCTTTCAGATAAGCGTCCTACTCGAGGATGCCGAGGTGAATGTAAAAATGGGCAATCATCAGATAGCCAAGGCCATTCTGGAGCATGTGACTACCAACGATCAGTTTATCTACTGCCTTCAGCGAGTACCGGCTCTACGAATGCAGGGCGAGTTTCTCATGGACTGCAATGCTGCGAGCTTGAGTTCGGTTCTTCACCACAAGTTCAACGCTTCGCTAAAGCTGATCGATGACTTTGTACTCCATCGCGAGGCCCTGAAAGAGAAAACTTCAAACATCGGGCAGGACCTCGAAGCTTTTGCTAATCGGCACCGAACAGCTGCCTATGCCGCCATGGCCAAGTATGCTGACAGGGAGTACCAGCAGCTATATGAGTATCGGCACTCGCAGGACTACCAAACGTTGCTAGACATCATTGAGCAGAACCGTTCGACGGCTGCAAAGGTGTCGCAGCGCGAAAACAGAGACCGACGGATTATGGGCCTTCAGATGAAGAGCTATGCCAGACTGGACGAAGGGCAGTTGCAGCGGATAGAGGCTAAGCTGACTGAGCACCTTTGCTCGGCGGTCCGCAACCACATGGCTTACTGTCGCTTCGACAGTGGCTTCTCAAGCGCCGCCATCTACCGCATCATCTCGCTGTGGTTCACCAACGCGTCTAACGAGCAGTTGCAGCAGTGTGTTAAGGAAGAGATCCTCACAGCTCCAAGCTACAAGTTTATTTGTGCTGCTAACCAACTGACCGGTCGGCTTAATTCCAAGAACAAAAGCCTGCTCAAAATTCTTACGGAACTTCTGGTGCGATGCGGCCAAGATCATCCGCACCACATCTTCTACCAGCTGTATCCGCTGGTCTATGCCCACCTGGATGGAGAGAACAGCAATACGGAGCGAGCGGGGATTGCGCAACTCATTATTGACAAGATCTGTGAAAAGAATTCCTCAGCAGCTGAAACCAGCAAGCAGCTGGAGTCGCTCCTGCCAGGTACCCTTGGGCTTAAGCATTATTAGGTAGTATTTTTTACCTGCTTCTTGGTTTTTTTTCTTAGCTCTCATCAAATTCGCAAACGAGGGCAAGACTGAGAACAATCAAGGAGTTTCTGATCCTGTGCGCTACAAGCAGTTCGAAAAGGTTCGACGTATCCGCAATCTGGACGCTGTTCACTGTCCTACCCTCGAGCTGCCGGTGATGCCCAACAAGGAATACAATATAACAAGTATGTACTGGTCCATAGATCATTGTTTTAATTACCATACATTACCCCAACACAGGCATTATCAAGTGGAGCAACGAGATCTCCCAGTGTGGCGGCCTGAACGCTCCCGTCAAGGTAATGTGCATCTGCTCCGACGGCCAGACGCGGGCTCAATTGATTAAGGGCAAGGATGATTTGCGCCAGGATGCGGTGATGCAGCAGGTCTTTGGAATTGTGAATGAATTGCTGCAACAGGATGCGGAGTTTATTGAACGTAAGCTGCAGCTGCGTACCTATAAGGTCACGCCTCTGTCCATGCGCAGTGGCATTCTTGAGTGGTGCACCAACTCCATGCCCGTGGGTCATTACCTCGTAGGTGATGGCAAAGGAGGCGCTCATTTGCGATATCGTCCAAGCGATTGGGCCAACTACAAGTGTCGCAGCCTCTCGATGGTAGGATTAACTATAGTTTATCTAGATATTTTGCCTATATCACGTAAATATTTACAGACCCATCTGAAGTCGCCCAAGGAGAAACGCTATGAAGTATATAAGCTAATTTGCGAGCATATTAAGCCAGTTTTCCACTACTTTCTTCTGGAAAAGTTCCCTATTCCGGGCGAGTGGTTTGAAAGGCGCCTGGCTTACACGAACAGCGTGGCTACCACCTCTATGGTGGGCTACGTCCTCGGATTGGGAGATCGACATACACAAAACATACTTATAGACCAGCAGACTGCAGAAGTCATTCATATAGATTTTGGTAAGTCTCTGAAACTAATTGGAGACCTAAAATAATAGATATTTCTATTAGGGATCGCATTTGAACAGGGTAAGATCCAAGCAACGCCAGAAACCGTTCCCTTCCGACTGACCCGCGATTTTGTGGCGCCAATGGGAATATGCGGCACAAAGGGTGTCTTTGCGAAGTCCTGTGAGGCCACCATGCATGTCCTGCGTCGCTACAAGTCCGTGTTCACCACAATACTGGAGGTACTACTCTACGATCCGCTCTTTATTTGGGGAGTTCTCAAACCGAAGCAGTCCTCGCAACTACCCTCCCAGCAGTCCAGTAAGTTCATATCTTCCCATCAACTCCTATCCCAGTTACAATTGGTATATTTTTTAAGATGAGGAATCGGTTAATCTTGTTGCCCAGCGTGCTTTGCTTCTGGTGCAAAACAAACTGGAGGGAAGGGAGGCCGGTAGTACCCGTGGTGACTCAAATGTTGAGGCGCAAGTGGAACGATTGATCAACGAGGCTACCCTGCCGAGCAATCTGTGCATGCTCTTTCCCGGCTGGGACCCACAATTGTAACTATCACATCACACTTGTTATTAGATATTAACTTGCTTTTTTTTGTACTATTTTGTATTAAAATTTATAGGTTGTTAGTCAACTCTGTTGTTTGAAAATTATGCATTTATGTAAATTCATCAATTGTTAGGATTACTCTGAGTACTTTCTACATTTGTTTAAAGAGTTCCTTGTCTGCTACCGTAAGAGAAAAGCCCAATTGATATATATTATCATACTAGCTTTCATTCAAAACAGTTTTTTGATTTTCATTGTATTTCGGTTTTATTTTCTAATCTATAGATAGATATGGAATGCTTCGAATAGAATTTGGAGATAATAAATGCCACTTGGTGGGCGGCTAGTATAAAAAGATTAGGTCACTTAAACTCAATGTCGCCAATTTCCATTGGTCGCCGAAGCATTTTTGGACTAAGCTCAGAGCCTAACAAAAACCCTTAATTCTAACAGAGAGTGCTTTTTACCCTGACTATGTCTCAGCCTTATTTTTGTTCTACTTCGATTTGATGCAGAATATTGATAAAATACCTCCTGCATTTTATAATCCAACAAGCCATTGCCATAAATCAATAAACGGCTATAAAAACAGGGCTTATCGAGACCCCACACCGATTATTCGGTATTCATAGGTAGCAGCTATGGCCTTTGTCGCGGGCGTCGCTATCGGGAATACCAACGATGGTGTGATAACAGACGGATTTAAATGCAAATGGGGTTTTGATAGCTTCATGAGAACGTGTTACCCGATGGTCATCCTTATCACAATGATAAGTAAGCTCGGCTAAAACGTCAAACGGTCCATAAATCGTATCTTTTAAGTATTTTGTATAAACCCAATGCCACCTATCAATATAAACGTTTCTAAGTTTATTTTTAAGGCTATATTAGAATAGTAACTTATAAGATGTTGGTTTCAGTCTTAGTTCCTTGTGGTGGCCTCGAGCTTGCAGTCGGGCTCAACCCCCTCGAATATGGGTGCACTTTCCTCGCCATTTCCTCCTCCAGTTATAATGGAAATGATGTCCGATAATGTGAACTGACTCAAAAAATTGTTGACAGCCTAAAAATATGTAAGAATGTGGATGATAAGGACATAATAAGGTCACAACTCTATGGCGAACCTACCGTTTGAACCTTGGAGACCACTGTGCCCTGACCATAGTCCCAAACATCACCGAGCAGCTCTACGCCCATTTCGTTGACCAAAGCATGAATAAACTCATTCACTCGCTCTTCCTCCAGCAGATTGTCAAAGTTGATCTTTAGATCTCCAAGATGTATGTCAATTTGCAGGTTCGAAATGCTCAGCGGGGACAAGGTTCTCATCCGGAACGAGATTCTGATCGAAAAGTCAGTGATGGAGGTTCTAAAAGCAAAGAGTTTATAAGAAGGGCTTTTTAGTAGCCCTTTTTCTATGTTCTCCTTACTCTGCATTGCCATCGCCGGCCAAGTTGAGGATATAGGCTAGCGATCCCTTGGCCGTGTACAAAGACTCAAAGTGTGTGAGGGGAAAGGTGACGTTCATGGTGCTTGTCAGCCCGATCACCGGCCTCAGGGTAAGAGTAGGCACATCAAAGTCGGACAGTCCATGCAAATTAAAGTCGTCAATAGATCCGGTGAAGCTGTAAAAGTGGAGACACATAAAGCTTTCTATAAAGGAAAGAAGCCCTTTCAATTCGAACTCACTCCACAAGATATTTATTGTTCACCGCTGTCTCGGCCGGACCCAACTGCAGGGGATCCAGGGCGGGCAGTCCCAGGTTCGGAATGGGATGGCACATGCGCATGCGAAACTCATTAAGGAAATTAAGGATCACCGATTCGTAGACACAGGCAGCGGGTGACAGACAGGCGTAAAGAATGGCCGTGGCCAGCAGAAGCTGGGATGTGAAGTGTGCCTGCCGCATTCTGCTGCTGATCTGCTTCCGCTCGGCTTGGAATAGCTACTGCGGGCCACCGAGAGCCCACCTCGGATTTTGTTTGCGCGGACTCCTCAAGTGGATGCCATTGTGTGTGTCAAGATACGACGTTTATTTTAATATTCAGCCCAAACACTTATCGTCGCTAATCGCGGACGGGGCCCAATTTCGTCCGATTACTACCGCCGGTTTATGTGTCGAGTGCCGATGCTTCTATTTTCGATTTATTCTGTTGTTTATCAGCCTAATCTCTGTGCGACAGTTGAAAGGCTCCTCGTTAAACTATTATTAACTAGTGGCTAGGGTCCTTGAGGCTTCTACACTTGCTCCGGGGGCTGGCGCAGATGATCGGGAATCTGTTGCAGTTCCGTCTTGGACGCCTGCAGCGCTACGCCCTCGGGGAGGTTGCGTTCGATGTACTCCAGGAACGTATCCAGCGTAGAGCCCGTTAGCTTGTGGAAGTTCATGTAGCGGAAGTGGGTTCGCACCTCGTACTGCACTCGATGCTTCTTGTAGATGTGCACCGACTTCAGAAGCGTCATCCGCTCGTGGTGCGCCTTCCGAGGTGACCAACTGCAAAATATGATATTAGAGGTCTCCTCCAGTAAGCGGAAACTAGTGGCCCGACTTACCACTTGCCCTTCTCAATGCCCAAATGGTCTGCAGCGGTGGTGGCGAACCAGGTGTAGCTTTTAAGAACAGCGGGATCAATCCCCCGCAGCTCAATCTCCAACTTGCTATAAAGTTTATCCGGCTCCGGTGCAGGTGTCTTTGGTAAAACATTCGTCTGTGTCCCGGCACTGCTGGTGGACACGGCAGACAGTGCCCGAATTGGCTGCGCCCAGCGTAGAGTCTTCAATGCCTACAGATCAAAGATTATATGTTAATTTATAGTTTTCTTTAATAAATTAATTGAAATACCTGCAACATCGTTTTATTTACAACTAGAATTATGCAAGGAAGAGCTTCTCCTAACGCGTTTTAGATAATTCTTGGTATATACCAGACTTGGTATTTTTAGCCCCAGAATATTAAATCACCCAGAACACCCTATAACTTAAAACAATAGGCCAGATGAATAGTTAATAAATTTAAAATTATCATCCGGTGATATTGCCAAAAATGTAATAGAAAATCAATTAAACCTTCTTGGAGGTGCACATATTTTAAATCAATATGAATAAACAAAGCCAACTAAAACTTTAGGTATACGAAAAAATATCCCCGGTGATACCCTAAAAAATACACACGCGTTAGTTAATTTTTCCACCAATGCTTTCTTGTTGAATCTCCGCACGTGCTGGCACCGCAAAAACAAGTTAGTTGTAATTTTACATTCTTTTACTGTTTTTGACTGGAGTCACAACATGAAGGACACTGAAATCAAAGGTATAATCGCGGTTATGTTGTTAATTTCAACGAATGTACAATGTTTTCCGTATCTGGCAGAAAACGCACAGGATTCGGAGCGCCAGAAGTACGCCCGGGAGAAGCCGGCAGATGCCAGTAGCGACGAAGATGAATACGATGACATTGAGGATGATGATGACGATGCGATGGACGAAGTCGAAGAGCCAGTTACTTGTCTGTTTTGCGCCGAGGTCTTTCAGAAACTTGAAACTGCCATTGAGCACTTGGATGTTCACCACAAGGTGAACCTGTCGCAGCTTAAAGCGAAATTCCAAATGGATCAATATTCCTTCATCAAGCTGATAAACTTTATAAGAGCCAACAAGACAAGTGCCGAACAGATCCTCTCCACTGAACAGGCGCTATGGAAGACGAGAAGTATCTTAAACCTCAGGAGTATGAGCCCTGGCTGTGCTACGACTACGAAGCATTGAAAACAGACGCTGCCGATGCTCAGCCGACGGTGGCCGAGCTGCATCAGCGGATTGGCGAGCAATCCCTGCTGCTCCAACAAGCCAACGAGGATATGGAGCGCATGCGTAGCGACTACAAGGAGCTCCTACAGAAGGTTCATGGAGACAGCAAAGCAGCCAGCAATCCCGTGCCGCGCAATAATCCCAATCTGGACAAAGAGTACTTCAACAGCTATTCTCACTTTGGCATCCATCACGAAATGTTGAGCGACAAAGTACGGACCAGCACCTATCGCTCGGCTTTGCTTCAAAACGAGGCAGTGGTCCGTGGTAAGACTGTGCTAGATGTGGGCTGCGGCACAGGAATTCTATCCATTTTTGCCTCCAAGGCGGGCGCCTCCCGCGTGGTGGGCATAGATAACTCTGACATCGTCTACACGGCCATGGACATTGTCCGTAAAAACAAGGTGGAGAATGTGGAGCTTATCAAGGGCCGCCTAGAGGATACTGATTTGCCAGAGGCCAAGTACGACATTATTATTTCCGAGTGGATGGGCTACTTCCTGCTGTACGAGTCTATGCTGGACAGCATCATTTATGCTCGCGAGCACCACCTTAACCCGAACGGCATTATCCTGCCGAGCCGCTGCACCTTGAGCCTGTTGGGCTACGGCAACGACACCCTATACGCTGAACAGGTGGACTTCTGGTCGGATGTGTATGATGTGAACATGAGCGATTTGCGCAAGAGCTCTATTAAAGAACCGCTAATGGAGGTGGTGGATGCACAGTTCACGCTAACGGAACCCGAACAGATAGCAAACTTTGACATTATGACTGTCGATCTAAACTACCCCAACTTTAGTCACAATTTTAGCTTAAAGGTCACTAAAGAGGGTCGCCTTTCCGCATTTGTTGGCTTCTTTGACACACTATTTGAGCTGCCCTCCGCCGTCATGTTCAGCACATCACCCAATGAGACACCCACCCACTGGAAGCAGACGGTTTTCTTCATTGACCAGCCCCAGAATGTGAAGGCAGGAGATATTATCACCGGTAAAATTACGTCCCGGCGGCACAAGGAGGACGTCAGAGCGCTAAGTGTGGACATCGAAGTGTTTGGCAAGAAACACAAGTATATGGTGGTCTAGTATTGTGACTTCAGGGGACCTTTCGCATTTAAAACCAAGAGCCAGTCTGGGGTCTTTCAAATCGTTTTTAATTAAAGATTCGTGGATCGTACGCTGCTGAAAAATGTGAACTTATTTGTGTACCTTTTAAAATTATGTAAATATATATAAATTAAAATGAGTGCCAACTCGCCAGATAAGCTGGATAGTTGACATTGGGCGCGGCCAAAACATAATTGTAGTTGTAGTTTCAGAGTTGTGGAAATAGACCCGGCAACTCTTGCTTTAAGCGGTGTTGGTTTCCAACTCGGAGGCCGGAATCTCTGACTCCTCGTCGTTGTAGACATTTTCGGCCATCTGCCAAACTTGCATAATGTTGTCCTCGGACACTGAGCAGATAATCCAGGGTTCGTTGGGGTTCCAGGAGAAGTCGCTAATCTTTGCCGTGTGGCCGCCGTGGATGAACAGCAATTCTGGCGGGCCGTCTTCGGCATCTTCTGAACTCTGCTCCTCTCCAATTTTGGACAGATCCCAGACATGCAGGCGGCGGTCGGTGCCAGAGGAGGCCAAGATGGTCTCATTGTGCGGCGACCACTGCACTTGGAAGATCTCGTCCTTATGCGACTCAAAGGAATGTAGTTTTAGCTTCAGATTGCGCAGATCCCAAAGGGCAACGGTCTTGTCGGCAGAACCGGTCGCCAGTATGAACTCCGAGTAGGGATTGAAGCTCAAGCAGTTCACCTCGGCCGTGTGGGCATCCACAGTGTGCGAGGGCTTTGAGGTGTTGTTGTTGCGTGTATCCCAGATCATCAGTTTCTGATCGTCGGCCACAGAGCCAAACAGCGACTCGTGAAGCAGATGCCAAGCCACGTCCTCTACGACAGCGGTGTGCCCGGTGAAGATATTCTTAGCATCAATAACCCGGTGCTCCTTGGGGGTGGCGTTGATGTCCCACAAGCAAATGGTGTGATCATCGGAAGCCGAAAGCAAGTATCCTGAAAATGTCGTAAATAATGCATATTGTTCTTTCTAACGCAACCCAAAATAAAAATATATTCTTACCATTGAGGTTGGGGTTCCAGGAAAGACCATAGCCCTCCTTTTGGTGGCCGCGTAGGCGCAGGTCCGGCTGGCATTCTCCGGAAGGCTCCGGCTTGCTGGGATGCTTCGTGTAATCAAACACCAGGACATCGCTCGACGGCGTCTTGGTGGCGATCACGCAGGCGTTTTGAGGCATGTAACGGGCCCGATTCACCTCTCCCTCGTGGTTGATCTTGATCTCGATTTCGATTTTGCCACACACAGAGCCAAAGCCTCCAAACTCGCCCTTCTCGTTGTCGTAGTGCGAGCCATCGAACTGTGCATCCTCACTGGGCAGCTGAACGCTGGCGATCAGCAGATGATTCTGTTCGTCGGATGTGTGTGTGCCCAGAATGAGACGGTGCACTGAGTAGTCCTTGCCGTCCTGCTTGGTCACGTCCGGCAGCCACTGGGCAGTCAGAGAAGGCCATTCCAGGGCGTGCGTCATGACCAAGTCGTACAGGAACGGAGTGTTTTTCTTCCATATTTTGTACTCCTCATTAATTACACGCTCCTCGACGGCATCGTCAAAGGATTCGGCGGCTTATGGATGAACGCAGCCGATTAGACCATCAAATTAGCAATAGAAAATGTCATACTTACCATTATCACTGCGATCCACCATGGCGTCAAAAGTCGGCAGCCGAAAAATTCGAGCGCCAAAACAACAAAAGCCGAAGCGGCAAAACGCGTGCACAGACCGCGGCGAAAACTAACGAAATTGGCACGTTTCAAAACGGGCGCAGCTGACGCTTGATCAGGAATAGATCCGAGAGCGTCGAAACTAGATTCAGGTGTTTCGTGCACACTTTTACAAGCGTATCTACAGCGTTAAAGAAGAAATGACAATTTTCCCTTTCTTCCTATTTTTTTTTTTTTTTTGCAAGCGTCGTCGGCAATAGAGCTGACCAAAACATCGATGAAAAAATGGAGGTATCGATGTTTTTCGAATTTTCTAAATCATCGATGTTTCTTTGACCATCGATGTTTCTGCGCCATTCAGAGTAAAATCAAACGAAAGGTACGAGAGGGTGATTTTCAATAAGTTTTAAAAACATTATTTCAATTTTTAAAACATCGATGTTGTATCGTGTTTTGGGAAAACATCGATGTTTTTGCACCTATATTTAAACATGAATCTTTAACATGAATTAATTAGAAAATAATAAATGAAATATGATTTTTTGTTTCAAACGTTAACGGATGTATTTTTTATGTTTCAATTAATTTTTGTATTATTTAATATTAGGTATTAGGTTACTTAATAAAAAACAAATAAAATGTTAAAAAATAGTGTAATAATTGCATTATTTGCACGGTATCTGGCCTGGGTGGCAACGCCAAACATTCCGCGGGGTGGTAGCCCGGTTAAAATTGCATAAACAAAAAGCTGTTTAGTTTCTTCGTTATCAGCAAGTTAATTTAAAATCTTTTCACGCGCCAATGACCGGCCTACAATCATTACTTTTTAAGCCTTCCGCGACAATTCCGGCTCAGTTCCCTTCCAGCCGCGAAGCGAGCCAGCCGTGATTTATATCCGAGGGTGTAATATGTATTTTTTGCACATCGCGCTGCAACTATTGTGTATTTGCCAATTAGATTAACAAGTCATAATTGAGCCACCGCTGCTGCCATGCGACTTGCCGACATTGACGGATCAAATAGCTCATCTAGAAAGCGTAAACTCTGTAAGTGCAGAGTGGAATGGGTAGCGGTGTCGGCCGAAAAAACTTTCTCTCTTGGCACTCCATCGACGAATATGTTTGTTTCGGTTTTCTTTTCCTCTTTCTTTTCGTTAGTCTGAAATCGTTTTCTTTTCTGCGTGGTCTTTCCAGTGGACAGTGGGAAAATGCATGTGCGGTCGGATTCCAAAGATGGGCATAAGGCAGGAAAGGCGAAAGAGGAGTCTTTCTTAGATCCGGAGAAATACTTGGAGCATTTGCTGATCGACGGCAGTCAGGAGGGCGACAGCGGGGAGGAACTGGAGTTGCCGCCATGGTTCGATGAGAAGCTGTTCAGGCGGTAAGTTGCGTGACCGATCGATGGAGCTAATTGCTCACTTGCATTCGTAATATATACTGTAATGGCCTTTTTCATTGTTTCGCCCTCCAGTGGACAGAATTATTTCAGCGAATATCGCTTTGTGATGAATGCAGGAATGCTGGCGGGACTCATTGCCGTTTTGGCTGTTCCCTCGATTCTTCGGGTGCTCTCGTGCACACGCCAATCATCGACAGCGTTCACCGCTTACCGTCGCTACGTGCGCACCATTTTCCACACGCAAGCCTGGTACAACAACGACATATCAGATCGGAGCAGCCGTTTCTGGACTAGCATTGCGGCTGTTAGGCGGGCACACTCCCGCTCCAGTCATGCCTGTGCCCGTCGGGGAGCCGGACAGATAACACAGAAGGATTTGGCCCTGACCCAGTTTGGTTTCATTGGATTCATTACAATGGGGGCTCATCGAATTCAGTTGTACGACGAAGACTTCCTGGAGGCCACTTCGCACATGTGGCGTGTTCTTGGCCATCTACTAGGCATTAAGGAAGAGTACAATATCTGCGGCAGGAATTGGTCGGAGTCAAAGCCGCGCTTGGACATTGTCATGCGGAAGGTGTATGAGCCAGCTTTGGAAAATACCAGTGAGGATTTCCACCAAATGACAGCGGCCCTGATAAATGGACTGTGGCACATTAATACCATGCTCTCGGTGGACGCCAATATATTCTTTACGAAGCGACTGGCATGCGTAAAGGGATACGAGTACTACAGCTTCGATCACAGCAACGGGGTTGTCAGGGATCCTCAGCAAAAACTGCACTACTACGACATGGGATGGTGGGATCGCTTTATTGTCAGCTACGGCTTGTTTATTGTCACCTACCTGCACAGGTACGCCGTCGTGCGGTGGTATTTGAACTTTCGCATCTGGATGGTGGACGTGCTTACCTATTACTTGCCCTATATCGCCATTTGGAAGTTTGGCTTCAAGTCTGCCTATGTGCGCATCTTTCGAAGCGGAGGAGAGACCCAAGATTTTGCCATGGGACTCAAGGACGATTAGATTGTGCTGTTTTGTAAAGTTTAGATTGTAGATAATTTATTATTAAATACCTAATGGAATTGTGGCAATACGGGACAACTTACATACAAATTTACAAATCAAACAAAGACTAGGTAGAAAGTTAAACCCGAACACTTCGAATACTTGTATTTTAGACGAACAATTATTAAATTGAAGTTTAAACGAAATTTCTTAGGTTTTTTTTATTGTGCTGGCTGCACCTACGTATATGATTTAGGCTCTAACCCATTGAATATATTTTTTAAATTTAATTTCAAATTCTCCGGCCATTCGATTATATGTATCGATATCGGAAACATTGAGGTAGTCGATTTTCTGCAATCGACTTTTTGTCATCTCTAGCGTCTTGTCCCGGCTGTTTATTATATATTTTTTTTATAAAAATAATTAATAATGTTTTACCACGTAAGTTAAATTGCTTTTACTGCTCGCAGCGAAAGCTAATCATATGCTTCATTCATAGATTTCGCTGGAGCATGAGATCCTGCTGCATCCGCGATATTTTGGCCCGCAGCTGCTGGAGACGGTGAAGCAGAAACTCTACTCAGAAGTGGAGGGCACCTGCACGGGCAAATACGGTTTCGTGATAGCTGTCACGACCATAGACCAGATCGGCTCCGGTGTTATCCAGCCGGGTCAGGGATTCGTGGTCTACCCGGTGAAGTACAAGGCAATTGTCTTCCGGCCGTTTAAGGGCGAGGTGCTGGATGCGGTGGTCAAGCAGATCAACAAAGTGGGCATGTTTGCTGAGATCGGTCCATTGTCCTGCTTTATTTCGCACCATGTGGGTATTTATGGTTACGTTGGAGTTATAAAAATGTAAAATGTGGTTCCCCTCTTGCAGTCTATTCCCGCCGATATGCAGTTCTGTCCGAATGGCAATCCGCCTTGCTACAAGAGCAAAGATGAGGACGTGGTCATTTCTGGGGAGGATAAAATACGTCTGAAGATAGTGGGAACTCGTGTTGATGCCACAGGAATCGTAAGTTGACCACAGTATTTGCATTAAAGACTATATTAACGATTCTCCCTAAAATTCATGTAGTTTGCCATTGGCACTTTGATGGATGACTACTTGGGCCTGGTGTGCAACTAGAAACGCATACTATTTTTGTGTACAATTTAAATATATATATTTTAAACTTTAATGAAATGCATTTAGACAATTAAACATCTATGTGTATATAGTAATAAATATGTATGTACTTTATAAGATTTGATTTCAAATTTAAAGGTACGTTACATTTGTAATTTAGTAGTTTGTTGGTGTGTGGTCTAGGATTTACAATAACTATAATGGATGGACGTTAAGTAAACAAACGGCTCGAGCTATACATATTAAGGGCGATCATATTTAGAGCTAAAGATAGTTTATGATAAAGCACTTAAGTTAGAGGCGCAGGAAAACAATGAAGTTCTTAAAAAGCGGATGGATGCTAGCTACTAAATTCAAAAGAATGCGATTGCACGATTGGATCTTATCAGAAAACGAATACGGCGCGATGAGATATTTGATACGCAGTTACGCAGATTGCCAACGAGATTGTGGAACTCTATACAAAGCGGCAGAGTGGACCTCACAGATCCCATGAGAAGAGGTGGTGCTTCACCAGCATGTCCCGTACTCCGTCCTTGAGCGGCTGTGACTCCTTTCCGCGCTTCGGCGGCAGCTCCCAATCGGGATTCAGATTAAAGGCGAACTGCGATAGGATGCGCAGCTCACACTTGATCTGCACCCAGCCGGGAGAATCAATAAAGCTCCACGAGTGGTACCACTTCTGCACGACCTCCTGGCAAGCGCACAGCACCTCTAACCAAAGGTGCAGCACCTGCTCGTTGAGGCCCAGGCAGATGAGCGATCGCAGCTTCACATCCATTTGGGCATGAGCATCGTCGTGTGTCTGATTGATGGCCTGGACGCAGCGGTAGAGCAGCTCCTCGGGGGTGAGAACCTTGCCGTCCTCGTCCAGGCGATACGTCTTGCACAGAACCAGCCGGCTGTAAACGGACTCAAAGTCCTTCTCCACCTCACGTGTGGCAGCCTCTTCGATATACAGCCAGGGGTGAATGGGTCCACCCAGGAATGTGGGACGTTTCATGCCGTGCTCTAGGAAGGCCTTGATGGCTGGCGCCAAAGTGCCCCGCACCAGGTCCGTCACCGTCTCAGAAATGGCATCATCACCCGCCGAGGTGTACAGCTTGCTTCGCTCGTCCAGCAACTCCACAAACTTGGCAGGAAACCAGCCGCGAAGTCCGTTAAGTTCGCCCACCCAGCAGTGCTCGTCCTTTTGGCTGATAATCGTAATGATGTCGTTGCGGCGGAAGCCCAGTTCATCGTCGTCGTGCCGTTCGAAGTCGTGTAGGGCTTTAGCTCGACGCTTTCGCGTCCTAGCCACATTGATGAAGTTTTCGTGGTCCTTTGCGTGCGACTCGCTGCTGTAGTTGGCCGTTAGCTGGATGTGTCCGGCAAGCTTCGGCTCGATGGTTATAAAGTGGCGGCCCACCTTTAGTATGGCCTCTCTCAGGTCCACAAGGATCTCAGTTTGCCGTATGTTCTTGTTCTTCAGCTGATCTCCATCGCTGGCATCGCCTCGAAACAGGAAGGCCTCTAAGATCGACTTGCTCTTGCGGACCTGCCGCCGGGCTAGTTGCTGCTTCGGAAGATTCGGCGCTGCTTCGGGGTTACCAATCTGATGGCCCTGATCCGCCATGAGATATGCCAAATGGCGCCGCCGATGGGTATCGATTACTGTCTGGCTGAGAGAACCTCCAACCTCCAGGGCCTGACGGAAGAGCACCTCGACGTCGGTGACCTCGCCCGGAATATCCGATAGCGAGTTGAAGATTTGGGCGGAGTTCTCCAGGTGTTTCAGCTCCTGCTCCTTAACCTTCAGCATGCCCAGGGTGAGCTGAAAGAGGACGATGGATCCCTCGTAGAAGAACCAGTCCCAGATGCGTACCAGGATTTTCATATGGACCACATTGGCGAAGAGGGTGAGGAACCAGTGCAAGGTGATCAGCGACAGTTCAATGTCATGTTTCCGCAGCGACTCGTCCACGCTGCTCAAGTAGTTTGCTATGAGCGTCTGCATCACACGCTGGTCTGCCTGGATGCCCAGCAGCGTTGAACTATAGTAGGAGGCGGGCAGCAGATCCTCTACAATGGTGGCCATAATCCAGAAGGCGTTCTCCTCCTCCATGAAGAGCAGAAGGCATGCGGCTATTACACCGGTGCCTTGGCAGTAGCCGATGTCCGGGAAGAGCCACGCGATGCCCCTAAGGATGCGACGCAGGCGTGGTATGCCTGTTCCGTTAGGATTACTAAAACAGGCGTTAGTCGGCAGGATGCGCAGCAGGTCCTTCTCGATCTGCTTTGATGTCATCAGTTGGTCATTGCTGGAGGCTGAAAAGGAATATTGAATTTTAATACTTGCTGCCAAACTCTCGGAATAGGATATTACCCTTCACTATGTCCTGGTAGCTGGTCTCGCTCTTTTGCTTTTTGGCCAGGGCTCCTGATAATCGCATCCACATCTGGGCCCGCAGCGTGTGCGGAATTCCCTGGCGGACCATGTTGCGCAGCTTTTCAGTGCGCGGCAGCATCACATCCACGTGCTCCCAGCTGAGCTCGGTCGCCTCCTTGTTGTGCGAGAACTCCAGGTGAGCGATCCACTGCAGGCGCTGCTGCGCGTCCTCCACAAATGGAATGCTGAGCAGTTTGTTGGAGCTCTGTTCCGGACCGTCCTCCTCCTCCACCCGGAAACCAAACTCGTCGAAGCGATACTCCGGCTGGTCGTTAGGACCCGCGGAGGCCAGCTCCGCTGCGCCGCCTAGCTTCGCCAATATCTCCTGCGGCCACATAGAGGCTGTAAGGGCGGAGAAGGGGCCACCGGGATTCGGTCGCAGGCCATCGGCCACACTAAGCTCCTCCATCATGGGCGGCAGCTCGCCCAGGTCGTCTTCCGAGCCTAGGTTCTGCAGCTTACGCTGTTGGCAATGGGAAGGTGGAACGATAAATATTAATTACCGTGATAAGCAATTCTAGTCGAATGATGTGTGCGTACCGTATGCTCTTCACGGCCCACGTAACCCTCGTGATCTCGGCCAAAGATGCTCCTGGCCATGTCCATTGTCCAGGCTACCTACTAGGTTCCCGGATTGAGCATTCAGTGAAAGCGTCTGAACAGTGTCTTTTTTTGTTTGCGTGTTAAACACAAATTAATTATTTTTCTCCATTGTTTCCAATTGTCTGCCGAAGCTGATTTCACTATCAGCTGTCCGATAGACGATATGTGGGTGGTATCGATTTTTTGCCAGTCCAATAAGAAAACAGGTGGAGGAAACACTAATATATTTGAATATAATATAAATTGGACTCATTGTATATTTTAATAAATAAAGTACATTAATTCATAATAATACTCCATGATGTATATATATTAATTCTTACTAGTTTTCTGCCGTAAATGTATATGGAATCCCCCGCAAACAGTTCTTGGCTACGTCCATGCGCAGGGCTACTAAAAAACACCTGTTGACAATCCAGAAAAAGGATAACGTTAAAATTTGTAAATTATTAGTCTAGTGTAATAATAAATTTAAATGAATTAAAGCAATATTTAAAATATAAAAGTTAAAGATACTTTAATTGATAATCGATAACAAAAAGCACAATCGATATCGAAACAGCTGTTTTTCGTTGATTGTTGAGGCTGCTTTCTATATCCAATGAAAAATAAACAAAAAGAACGGAAAACATGCAGATAAAGCCAATAATTACATGTAAGTTATTGAAAAGCATATATACAACTCCCATTTAATGTAAATTTTCACTAGATTCCGGTTCATGTCCTCTTTTCCGGTCGCTGGAGTCTCAAATCCTGAATGCAATCCCTCTGGACACTTGCGAGTGGCGGCGCACCTTCCAACGCCCCACAAAACATGTTCGATTGGAGGCCCAGACCCAACAGTTCAATGTGGCTGTCCTAGAGAAGTACAAGCAGGGCGACTGGAGCATTTTGGAACACCCAATACTGCACATCTACGTGACAGAATGCAATGTTAGTTTGGCTACTTCTTCCCATAACGTTAAAGTGCTCACTTTCTTAAAACTTTTGGCAGGATGTGGACACCTACAAGGCCACCATTAGGGAAGAGATCGATACCTGGCTGAAGGTGTTGACCAGTTACGGCATCTCGGACTGGATGATACTGCTTGTTGAGACCTTGGACATGCGAAAGACTAAAAACTTTATGCCTCGCACCACGGTGCTCGATAAGATTCGTCTGGACTTTGGCAGCAAAAATGACGATCGCTGCATTTCCGTGCTGAATCCAGCCAAATTCGAGCAAAAATCGACGGAGTCGTTCCGCTGCCTGGTGCAGCGTATCCGCTTCCTGATGCTCACCAGTTACAATCGCAATATTGTGAAGTACGAAGAACTTATACGCAGCAAGCGCGAGAAGCGGAATCACGATGGCTGGGACTTCCGCCAGTATTTCTTCATGCAGGAGGACCTGGCGCTGATCTTCGAGAAGCTGGAACTGCCCACCGAAGCTCTGATACAGTATGATGAACTTGACGCCATGTTCTCGCAATACGTCACGCACACGGGTCTCAATGAGAAACAGCCTTGGCCCAGCCATTTTCGCCGGCCGCTGGATGCCTTTCATGGCATTTGCCTGTCCAGACCGGACAGGTTTGAGATGAGGACAAAAATCCGTGATGAGGGTGTTTCCCTGCTGGAGTTCCGTAACTATCTGTTCGAACGCCAGGCTTATCTGCTACTTAGTTGTAACGACATACCGGAGATTGCAAAGAGGCTGCTTAACTTTCTCTTTTCCACGCTACGAGAGGTGGAGTTTATCAAGCTGGAGTGCCAGGAGGGAGCCCTCTGCTGCTGGGAGTTTGTCTGTGCCCTGGAGGTCTTACAGCTGTGCGAGCAGGCCATGGAGCCCAACGAGGTAACCTGTTTCCAGCACTGTGCTCCCATCTGGAACTTGGCCAAGGACAAGCTCTACGAACTGGGTAAGCTGTGCGGACTTCTGCCGGGTTGTACGCCAAGCTCGGAGCAGCTACATATCGTGGTGCAGCTGTCGTCGGGCATAGGAGACGCCCCACCAGAGCAGCAACAATTTCTCCAGGCCACGCCGCAGCTGCGGGAGCGTTCGCCCAACCGGAAACCAAAGAAATCGGCGGCGGAGCAACTTAAGGAGGCACTGGGCTCCAATCAGGCTTTCCAGAAGCTGTACCTGGAGTTGGCGGAGCTGGCCATCAGCACATACAAGCATGTGTCCCGGTTGCGATCGGCGCGGTTGGTAGGCTTGGATTTAGGCAACTTTTATTGTGCCCTGAATGAGCCACACAAAGCGGTTGGATTCTTCACGGATCTCCTTCGGGAACTGAAGGCTGAGAACTGGCATATGCTAAGCTCCCAGACGTTACTGGAACTGGCCAACTGTTATCGGAAGATGGGCGACTCTCTGGCCTACACCAAGACCTGCAGTTCCATCTCCTGCTGCGTAGAGTTGGAGACCCTGGTCCGAACTTTCTATTTTGACGAGTTCCTCAAGTCGCTAAAAACCCTAAAAACAACGCTCTCGGCTCAGCCATCCATGGAAAATGCGAATTTCTGTGTCCTGGAGGATCATTTTCGTGTCATTGATATCGAGGTGCTTAATCAGACAGCGATAATACAGGACGACTACATTGTTGTGCAACTGAAATTGGAGAGTCTCTATCCGCGCGGGATTGTTGCCGAGAATATCAAGCTCTGCTACGAGTTGCAAGCGGCTCCTCTGGAGTTAGCCATGGAAAATGTCTCGCTGACAGCCACAGCTCAGCCGGCGGCGGTCAAGGTTAAAGAGTCGACATCGCGACTGAAAGTGTCCCTGCAGCTGGTATACAAACAGGACAACCGTTTGCACTCGTCCTCTGTGGCATGCGACATGCCCAAGAGCAAGCAACCAGTGCGGCGCACCAGCAGCACAAAGCGGAAGCTATCACCCAGTGTGCAAGCAGATTTCACCAACTTTGTGCAGGCCGAGAACATTGCCCTGCAGCCGGGCATCAATATCGTTGAGCTGAGGGCAAAGGCCACTCGAGTGGGAAGCTGGCAATTCAAGCAGGTTGGTTTGTACCTCTAATGGTCAAATATATTTAAATATTTTCTTTTTTTTCCCCTCTTTCAGCTCTGTGTCAGCATGTCCAGCTTGGAGTTCCTGTCCGAGCAATTGCCTTTTGCTCCCCCGAGCTTTGAAATTAGCACGAAACCTGCCAGCGCCTCGCTGGAGTTTAAAACTTTGATAGCGGGAATTGTCCAGCCCATTAGTCTAAATATTTCCGGTGGCAGTTTCATCTTTCCGCCTGATGCCAAGATCTCGTTGCGCTGTTCAAAGAATTTACGAATTCGCCAGGCTGTGACTCTCGATACGGCGAATGCCAATGATGATTCCTCGTTTGAGAGCTTGCTTCAAGTGCCGCTGCAGAACTTCAAATCGTTCGAGGAGCGCAGCATTCCATTGGAGGTTCTCACAGATATGCCAGGCCGGAAGGTGTCCAAGCATCATGAGCATCACATTGCCCTCAGTTGTCCTTGGTCACGCACAGAGCTGACGATACCAGTCGAGTTTCAGCCAGCCATGGAGGCCACTTGCCGCCTCCACACTTGCGGCACCCAAAAGTTTCTGCAGGTGATCATGAAGGGTCTTGATGCTCATTTATTACTGCAGCAGGCGAAAGTAAAGTGCGATGTGCCCGGTGTTCAGCTGCTGGACCTGAACCCCACCTCCCAAGACCCAATTGTAAGTAACAGTAAGAAGTATTTCCCATCACTACTGATGGTTTCTCTGTCCGATCCTCGCAGGAAATCTACAAATCCCTGACTGTCACGTATCTGTATGAGATCCAGGTGGAACCACTTAAGACAGAGCATGAGTTGCCAATCGTTAAAGTGCACTTTGTGATTAAATACGCCACACTAACGCAGCCGGATGTCTGGCGGACCTATGGCTGCGCCTTTGATCTTGTGGATTACACCACACTCTTCAAGCTCCAAGCCCAGCTGGAGCCGAATGAACTGTGCCGTCTGCGTACGGTGTGCAACATGAACCTGAAAATAACCAAGGTCCATGAGAATCCCTACACGGATCTCATGTACGAGGTGCTCAACGATCAGAATCTCTGGGCAGTGTGCGGCCGTTCGGCGGGTAAGATACTGATATCCTAATCGATTCCTTTTCCTGTCTGCTTATGATTTAATTCTGATTTTTCTACACGATTTACTCTTTTGCATTTTAAGATATGGGTAAGTCTCTGGTATAGGACACACTTAGATAGCTTTAACAATGTAGATTTGCTGGAATGCATGACTAACACCAGATCCTCATATCACAATCCTGTAATCTTTCCTGGCTTTCGATTGGAACACAACGAACAAAAATTTGCCTAGCTTCTAAGCCTCTTAATATCCGTTTTATTTCAACTAATAATAATGTTTCCCAAAACCTTTTCAGGTGTCGTGTCAATGAAGGATGTTGATAGTCATTCCATATCGCTGGATGTGATGCCCTTGAGTACCGGCTTTCTTCCGATGCCCAGCATTCGGTTGTCCAAGTACACGGCCGGCGGCAAGAGTAAGACCGATGCTCACTCCAAGGTGCATCCTTTTCCGCCCGGACAAGTCTACAACTCCACGAAGAGCATGCAGATCCATGTCATAGCCAGTGTAGCCGGGGATCAGTGAGAAGCCAAAAATTAAACAAAAAGTTATATAGCAACTATAAACTTTTGCTTTAAGTATTATTTAACTTGTACTGTGAACGTTAGTAAATATGTAAAATCGAAAAGAAGTCAAGACTTGGATGAAGCCAGATCCTGGGCTAATTTGGCAAGCTGTTGCTCCTCCACGCGGTAGTAGTGCCAGCCCTCCTTCGCGGTTAAGTCCACCGCCCCAAGGCTTTCGTAAAACTTGCGGGCGGGATTCCACTCCAGGACATTGAACTCCAGACGCGGACATTTCAGCTCGGCGGCTCGGGCGGAAACCTCGAGGAAGATTCGTTTGCCGGCGCCACGCTTTCGGTGCTCCGGACGCACGTAAATGTCCTCGACAAAGAAGTAGCGACCCTGCCAGGTGGAGTAAGCTTTGTAGCAAATGGAGTAGCCAATCGCCTGGCTGGGTGATGAAAGAATTTGATGATTACCTTTAAGCTTTTCGAATGTAAATCTTACTTACTTTGTGGCATTATCTATAAGCACATAGACTTCACAGCACTCCTGGTCACCAGTTAGCCCTGCATCTCGCTTAAGATCTGTTTGTATATTATATAAAATATATATTTAGATGTATATATTCAGTAACCTTTACCTTCTTCTGTAAGCTGAGGACCATTGCTCATTTTTTCAAAGTCAGCCAGCTCCTGAATATCAGATTTCGCGGTTGTTAAGTTTCTTTATAAGGCATATGTATGTAGTTCAAACCTGTATCATGGCCAGTACATCCTTTATATCTTCAGCCTTAGCACGGCGAAAAGTGAATTCTTCGGACATAGTTTTAAACTTGGAGTTTTAAAATGATTCTCTTTATATTAGTTTTGTATTACTTTCAATGCCTAATCTAATAGCATTATCGAAATGTGCGTTCTTCTGCTTATCAATATGAACGTTTTAGAGATGAGTAAAAGCCTCGTGACTAAAAATAATGATTCCTTATAAGCACGATGTAAAAAGTCATCGTTAAGATTTTAAATCATTCGGTTGGTTCGTGTGTGAAGATGATGTCCTCGAGAAGTCTATCTGTGCGCAACTCTGCAGTAGGTTTGCAGGTTGTCAATTTAAAGAAAAAAAGTGTGATTTTTAAACGCAAACATACTTCTTTATTACAATCTCTTTAATATTATAACCTTGTTCTAAAAACATATCAATGCAAAATTTTACGACATTTGGAAGACATCTGATCCTTAAAGATCTCTCAACCTATGGAGCCAATCGCTCGTAGATCCAGCCATCCTCTCCCTTATGCACCAGCTTGCCATCAATCTCGGACTCAACTCCAGCACCTCGTCGGAAGCGAATGCGATCGTGCAGCCGATCGGTCTGTCCCTGCCAGAATTCAATGAGGTCTGGACGCACTAGGTAGCCGCCCCAATTCGGCAGGGGAACCTCTCCATCAGCTCCCAGCTTTTGCTTAATGCCAGCCTCCACTTCATCCAAGTAGCTGCGAGATGGAATCTGCTGACTTTGCGGACTGGCAGCGGAACCGATTTGACTAGCCCTTGGTCGCTGGTGGAAGTACTTGAGGGAATCCTCGCGCGAAATCTTTTCGGCCATGCCCTCGATCCGGACGCTCCTCCTCAGCGGCAACCAATAAAAGGATATGGCCACATTGGGATTGGCGGCAATGTCCGCCGCCTTGCGACTGCCGTAGTTGGTGAAAAAGGTGAAGCCCTCAGCAGTGGCATCCTTGACCAGGACAAAGCGATTGGATGGTTTACCATCGGCACTCACGGTGGCCAGTGCAGCGGCATTAGCCTCTAGGATCTCCGGTGTCTTGAGGGCCAGGTCTAGCCAATCGCGGAACACGCAAATAGGGTTCTTAACGCTTATATTTTCCTCCAGAAAGGCATCTTTGCGGTCATGGTATTTGAGACGAAGGGCTGACATATCATAATATAAAACTTAATACATTATAAAACAGTAAATATATTTTAACTCACCCGAGAGCTGCACTTCTGGGGAAGATTGGCTCATTTTGCGAACAGTTTGCAGGAATTTCACTGGTTTTGTGGGTTTTCAGGTCGTTGATTAATGACACTTGTAAAAGCAACAAAAACACGTACTTTTTCAGGGCTTATCTTCTCTCCAAATCGCTATCTTTCAGTCGCTTAGATTTTCGTGTTTTAAATCAAGGTTAAAGTTGCCGAAATCAGCTGATTTTGGCAGTATATTTTTTATAAAATTCCGTTCTAAACTGTCATAAAAACTGTTATAAAAGGTAAAAGTACTCTTATAAAAAGGTTGAGGACTTTGAATAAAAGGTGCAGAACATTGGTCAGGAAAAGTAAGGCAGCCATTACGATTTTTGCACAAAATGGCATAAATATAAATAATAATAGGGGTAAATAATAATAACAAAATTTTAACTCATTAAAAACTTGAAATTGATTAAAAAATGTACTATACTAAATTCTTTAATAAACCCTTGTTTGACACCGAAAACAAATTTATTGAATACTCAAATGAGTATTTTAATTATGAATTAAAATAATATAAACCTAAAATATTATTATTACCGGCTGAATTTTTGAGACTTCGGTTCGTTAACTTGGCATTTGTATTCGAGGAATTTTTTCTTGGTTTTCATGTAGATCCTTCACTTCCGGTTCAACAAAATAAAAAATTAAAGTAACACATATGTAAAAATATATAAAAATAAAAAATTAATTACCTAGGTCATACATTTTTTTGAATTTAGATTAGCATAGTTTATTTTTTCTCAGAATCTAGCTGTTGCGGGCGGTCATAACCTGGCAACACTGGCTTAAGCTGCGAGTCCTTTCGGCTTCGTGCGAGCGTCGCATATATACATATATATATCCTGTGCTCGGGACAGCAACGATGATGGCATGCGGATAGAGCAAATCCGACACGAACGGCTGCTGGACGTGTTTGCTGCTGTGAAGCAAAACGACAAGAGAACGAACGAGCGGAGCCTCAAGCCAGAAATTGTAGCGGAAGGCGGACGACAAAGGACCAAGAGGCCGAGACAGACGACAGACAACGGATGAACAACGCGAAAACGGCTGAAATAATTAATATTCCTCACCCATGTTAATGTTGCGAATAGTATTTACGAATTTCCCATAACCGCCTCCCAGTGTTTGTGTGCGTGCGTGCGAAAAAGTAGGTTACGGCAAGGAGGAAAGACATTTTTTTGGAGGTCGGACGGTCGGTCGGTAGCAAAACTGTGTGTGTTTGTGTGTGGTAAAACGCTCACAAATTTTCCGTGTGCATGTGTGTGGACCGCGGGGTGCCAAGAAAATGCAGTGCGACAAAGGCGAAATCCAAATGGAGGCTTGATGGCGAATAGCAAATAGCAAAAAAAAGGATATAGCAAATGAACGAACCAGCAGCCCATTTCCCAAACACTTCGATTCATCGTCTTCAGTCGACAAGGGAAAAGTGATATTTTATACAAAAACTGTGGCCTGCTTTTTGCACAGTTCAAAGTAACCCGAACACATTCACACACGCCAACACTCACCCAGAACACACACACACACGACAACTATATAGCAATATATGCCCATTGAGTGCCTTATATCATTTGATAATAATCCACAAGGTGTCTACTATGCCGGACAGGAGCTATCCGGCGTTGTTGATCTCAGCGTCGACGCAACCAAGCGCATCAAAGGTGAGCCATTTGCCCAAAAACTCCTTCTCCCGCCCCGGAATGTATACTACGGAAAATACTACGAAGCCCATGACTCACGGGGCGTATGAGTGATGCGGTCACTTAACATTTGCGGTTCGGCATTTCGGTTGCATTGCAAATGCACGAAGGACCCGTACTAATGGCATTATTAAAATGTATCTCCCCACGGACACAAAAGCCATTTCACAGGGTCCCTGCAATTAATCCTTGTTTCTGGCACAATTTATGACCGTTGAGCTGTCACCGTGGAATATTCCACTTTTGTTGTGCTTCTCTTGGCATGCCGCCATTTTTAGTTATCCATGAACTCGTTAAAGGCGTGGCGAATACGTGTATGGCTGCATTTTCCTAATGCACTGGGAGATATAGTTGATTAATTGTTTTGAAATTTGTCAGTTATATAGAAGAATAACGAATAAAATACATATTTACGACTTCTAATTAAGAATTAACTAAATAGAGTAACTAATAATAAAAGAAAAGACGTTATATAGTTTTGTTTCAGAAATGGCACCTTTATAAAAACGTTGAATTTTTGCAAAAAATAAATTTTCAATGCATTTTCTAGGTTTGAGTTTACATTTTCTGAAAATTTTAATAAAATTGCTTGATAGACGTGTGATTTACACGAAAATAATTATCATAACCTTATATATATCTCCTTCAATCATGCATTCTTCTCAGATGGCTAGACAAGTCTTAGAGTTCTAGATAGATTATTAAATGTATTTCTTCAGCATTTAATAAACATTTTGAATGAGGACTAAGCTTTACTTAATGACGAATTGGTTTTGGTCACAAGAAAGATCAAATACAAAGAGCTCTTTTGCTACCGCTTTATATTGTATAAAACTCTTTAATTTCCCCCCTCTTATTTTCATGTGTATGACCTGTTCAAGGCTTTGTTTTTAATTTGGCAATCATTATTTGTACTGATTACTTTACTATTCTTGCAGGCATTCACGTCACTGTCAGCGGCTATGCCAAGATACGCTGGATAAAAAAGGGATATCCGCGCGACAGCGAGCGCGCCATGTGCCGTGCCTATCGATCGTATCTGTCCTCGCGGTCCTACGTGCTCGGCTCCTGCGCCAACAATTCGAGCATCGACTGGCCAGCCGGCGAGTACTCGTATACCTTTCATGTCATTCTGCCCGACAACCTGCCCACGTCCTTTGATGGCAAGTACGGCCAGATACACTACGAGATTATAACGACGATCGAGCGGCCGGCGCGTTATCCGAAGGTCTTCAAGCTGCCATTTACAGTGATACAACCGCTGGACCTGAATGCCGATGCCATTTACAGGGTGAGGAATGAGCTTAGAAGGGTTCAAGATCTCTCAATTAGTTTTTGATTTCTAAACTTAAGAGTTCTTAAAATCAAAAGCATTAAAAAACACCACTAACATTCTTCTTTTTCTAAAGGTTCCCTTGGAGATCCTCGATCGGAAGCGCTTCTGGAGCTTCTGCTGCCCCACTGGCCCGCTGACGGTGAAGTTTTCCACGCCTTACTGCGGCTATGCGCCCGGCCAGAAGATCCACTTTGTGCTGTACATCAACAACGAGTCCTCGATTGACATCACCGAGTGCGAGGTGAAGCTGAAGCAGGAAGTGAGCTACGAGTCGCATGATCCGCAGCATGAGTACCGCTATGACAAGCACTTGATCGCCAGGAAACAGTTTGGTAACGTGCTCCGATGGTCACGGAAGGTATATCGAGGCTACTTGGACCTGCCCTCTATACCGCCCACTTCGGTGAAGCCCACGTGTCCGATTAGCGTAAACTACTCCATTAAGATCATAGTCAATCCCACGGAGTTCCACTGGAAGCTCAAACTGAAGATCCCGCTGACCATTGGCAGTATACCGATAATGGATGGTCCAGAGGCCTTGCTGCGCTTCAATCGCCAGCAGCAACAGCACCAAGTAGTTAGTCAAAATTTACAAATGTCCACGCAGCAGCGACATCATCAAAGGGATCGGGATAGGGATAGGGATCGGGACAGGGATCGTAATCTGGATCGGGAACGGGAACGGGACCGGGATCGGGACCGGACAAGTGCCTCAGCTCAGCAGCGACGTCTCAGTAGCATTACCAGCATCACCAATAACAACAACAACAACAATCGTGGACGCTTTGTGGGTGGACTACTGCCGACCAATAGCAATATAAATATGATAGTGAATGCCAGTCCCACGCCCACAAGCTCCACGCCATCATCAACGCCAACAACTGCCGCCCTCAGGCCCATGGCAATGCCAGCGATACTGGTGACCAGCGATAGCGATAATCCGCCGGACTATATACCCATGAGTGAGATCTCCTTATACAATATATAGTTGATGATTTAATATTAAATTCTATATCAATAGTGCCGCCCTCATATGAAGATGCCATGGCTCTGAGTGAGAAATTCAGCGATGATACTGAGTTCTTGACAAACGTTAGCATGAGCAGCATTATGTCCGCTCAGGCTGATGTCACCACAAGTGAGCCCTTTAAGCCGCGTTATCCGGTCTATTACGATTATGAGACACCGACCATACCGCCCGGTAGTGATGATTCCAATGAATCCGACACATAAACCCCTCCAATACAAAACCAAAAAAAAAAAAAAAAAACTATAAAAATTGTTTACAAAAAAAACCAAAGCAAAAGCTAAAAAAAGAACAATGAAATTGAATGGCTGAGTGGCTTTTTCTACAACAAAAAAATATATATAATTTTATTCCTTTACTTAAACGTAGTTAGAGCATCTTTATTCAATGTCTTTTATTCTGTTAAAGTACAGGGATTTAATAAGAAAAAGAAGAATCTTCCAATTCATTGTCCGCTTGTGTTATGAGAGAATAATAACAAATGAATCTCTGATCCTTCCAATAAATATATTTTTAGTCCTCCTTAAACGATAGTCTGCTTTAAAGTTTACCTTCTTAGAAAAATAATTGTTGTCCGTTTGTTTAGTCCGTCTGTTTACCATAAACTCTTCCTAAAATTAAATCTCTTTACTATTTTACCATAACTTACTCAGATATCGTCTTACATTTTATTCATATTAAATAATTACAAATGTATTTCATAATTAATTGCACGTTTTATTACATTTTGCATATTAAATATTAAATGAAATTATTCAAGATTTCTTCCCTAAATTTTAACCATACCCGTTTGATAACAGTTCTAAGTATTTGAATTATTCCCTTTTATATATTTAAATAACATATATATTTTACTTTAAAAATTAAACATTTTATTAACAAATATTTGACTTTACACATTGTAAACCGTATCGATTTGAAATTATATTAATCAAATTTATTACAGATGCTTTGTCAGAGAGCATCCTAAGCTATATATTAACCCAATACCATTTAAGAACTATTATATATTTATACATTTTGAAAGCTTTTCTCAAATTTTCCTACTATGCATTTCTCTATTCTATATAGACGTAAGACGAGCTGAAACATTTTCAAAATGTGCTTAACTTGTAAATTTGTTCTCTTGTTACCGCCCCCCCGAAACATGCAACATTTTGTACCGTCCATTCACGACCCCCACCAAACCCCGATCTCTCCCTGCTCACCGGCTTGAAATCCCCATCCAGAGACGCTCTACGATGAGACCAGCTCCCAGCTGCGCCTGACCCTCGGCTGCCAGGATCCGGCGCCGGTGCCGGATGATGCGGAATTGGATGAGGAGGCGACCACGAACACGCCCGGCGGAGAGTCCTTCAGCTGCGAAAAGAAGTGAAACGAACGAGATATGGAAGGATCTGAGCTGCTTCAAAAGTTAACCGCAAAACAACAATTACATATTTACTCGTAATCAAAATATATTTAAAAAAACAGGATAATTCAAAGCAAGGCGCTAAAGTATAGTAGTTCTTAAGTCTGAAGCCAAGGTGGACAATTGGAGATAGTAAATCGAAGACATTTTTATAAAAATCAAATCAGAAACAATATATATATTTTGCAGTGCGCTATAAACTCTCTCTCTAAACTAAGCGGATTTAATTTTAGTCACAATAATACTTCCAAGCTTACTTTATCTCTCCTTCTCTTTTTTAAGTTTCACTTGAAGCAATTTACCTTTATTTTTATTCTAATGGAAAGCAAAATTGCAAGCAGGATTGAATATGACAATTCTATAGGGGCCGCACACTACAGTGATCACTGGCTACACATATATACGAACCACGTAGTGAAACGTAGAAGAAATTCCTCCTAAAAATCCCTATAATTAAGATAAACTCCCAAGAAAACTGCACAATTTTAACCAGAAGAAGAGTAATTAAAAGAAAAAACTAACATTTTCCAATATTGAATATTGTATTTATAAAGTATCTATGAGAAATTTACAAGCGAATATTAGCCAAATTTTAATTAGTTTCTATGATTTAACATTACACTATCATAAAGTTGGATCAAAGCCGTCATCATCATCCTAGCCCTTAGGTGTCTAAAACTAAATATATATATATTTATAAATGAAAGTGTCTTTTGCTCTAGTTTATATACAAAAATCCTTGTATTTAGATTGTGTATAACCTTCTACTTCATACTTTGTACTTCCTCTGATTTTAAACTCAGTCTAACCTGCAATCACAAAAGTCTATTCCTAAGTCTAAACTGTCTTCAATTCGATTCAAACCGATTCAATAAAACTAAATGAGCCAGATATATATATTATGTATACCCCGAAAGATATAGAACAAGTGTTTTAAGTTGGCTCTGGAGTAGGATATCTACCGATAACGACAGACGAAAATCTCGGGACAGGTAAGCTTGGCAATAAACTAAATTTATATCACCAGACTTAAGGTTTTAAATTGGCAATAAAACAGCGGCAATAGCGGTAATTTTCTCACTGAGAATTGCGTCAAGTGAAAACAGATTTTCAGACTTCGGCTAAAACCTCAAGCTGGCGCAGTCACTTGTTCGCCGTCCGTCGACGAGGTCGCAACTTGAGTCCCAATCGCGTGGAAGCAAATTATTGGGAAGCCCACTTAATAGTATGTGATTCCGTGGCAAAGGCCATAATTTTCCATGCTTATAAATTGTGAATTTAATCTATCGCGTGCCGCTGCCATTTATTACTGTGGCGAGCGAATTTCGGGCTCACTCACTGTAACAGTTGGTGGCAAAAAGCCTTTCCGATTAGAGGGTAAGTGAAAGATGCCATTAGGCAAATGAGTTTATGAGACACCTTCACCGCCAGGTGATTAGATAAGAGTCAAGTCTACAAATAGATGGCACTGATCTTCATGCGTTTTTTTTTACCTTCTCTTGACAGGCGTAAATATCACTCTTAATGGCGCCTCCTCGGTTCATTGGAGGGAATCCGACCCGGGGCCTCCCCAAATCGAACATAATGACAGCACCAGGCACGTGGAATGTGCCAAAGTGGATTACAAAGGAGGCAAGGTCCACATAAATGAAACAAAGAAGTTGGTGGGTGGACTGATTCTACCGCCTGGTCCCAAGGACCTAGGCTCCTTTGAGTTCCAACTCCCTGAAAGTCTGCCAGCCACATGTAGTGTTCCTAATGGCCGTGTGGAGTACATCCTAATGGTGGTCATTGAGAGGAAAGGCAAGCATAGCAAGTGCTTTGAGCAGCGCTTGGTTGTCAGAAGGAGCCTGGAATTCATCGATCTCAAGCCACAAACTAAGAAAACCTCCACGCTGAGCCTCTCCCTTCCCCGAAGTGTGTTTGTTCCTGGCCAAAGTGTGGACTATGAAGTTGAATCGAGGGATGGAATTTCGGATATCCTTACCCGGTTGTGCCAAAGTATTAACTACCAGAGTTCAGTGCCTGAGAAAAGAACCAAAACAGTGACAAAAGGTCTAGCAGAGTGTTCCAGCCGAAACGGAAATCTCCGCCTGCCTTTAACTGCTCCCATTATGAGCCACCCGGATCAGTTTGCACCCATCCACATTAGCTACTATATAGAGGTATATAATTTTTTGGATCCTCCTGTACGGCTTCCCCTTTTTGTGGCCACTGTGGCGCCGCCGACTCACTCCCCCTGCATCGAGTCTTCCCGCCTTTGCTTTGTGAATTTGGGTAAGTCATTATATATGCGGCCAGCTTATCGGTTCTAATAACTAATTAAAAACGGGCCTCCGGCCTCCTTTCAGCGCTGAGTCATGGCGATTGGTTTGCGCCAATTAATCAACTGCTGGCCCAAAGCTGTTCCCGGGAAATTGGCGCCCTGGCGCTAAACAAACACTGCGAACGCATCAGGTTGCTGAAAGGTCCAAAAAGAAAACATTCGTACGTGCAACTGGCACTGCGGTATTTCCATAAGAAAGTGCTACCCTAACACGTGCCAAGATTGGAATTTCAGTGACCAGCTCTGGATACACATGGGATTCAATGGAATCGAACTAAACCGGCAGTCGCTAGAACACCTGGAATATAAAAAAAAACATTTTTAAGGCGACTAAATGGTACACTTTCTCGAAACACTGACAGAAAACGTTTCTAGGAAAGTTGAATTTGTGCACATTTAACTATTATCTAAGGCACAGAAATACAAAATGTTACATGGTTTTTTTTTGTTGAACGGATATCTGATTTTCACTTTTAAAATCAATCAATCAAGTTTCTTAAAAAGCTTCGCTTGCGGAGATCAAGTTTGAATATTTCGCTAATAGACTTTATTTTATATAGAGACAATGTTTTAAAATTAGGGGTTGATTATTAAATCTTATTGACATAAACAAAAAATATGCAATGTTTAAATAGTGAAGCTTTTCAGATTTTCTAAAGAAAAGGATTTAAGATGTCATTTATTCTACTTTCAGCTGTTTCATAATTCTCAAACAGAAAGGCACAACATTTAACAACGTTGACAAAAGCAGCAAACCTTAAATTTATTTAAATTCAATTATCTTTGGGTATTTAAATTCAATTATCTTTGGGTATTCAAAACATAAAGCGCACATTTTCAGACGAATTTAGTGGGCTTTAATTCAGAGAAATAGCTAAAGAAAGAGTAAAAATTTGATTTATTCCAATTTCTTAATATTATGTCTGTTTTTGGTCTAATCTTTAACTTTATTAGTGGCTGCAGCTTGTATTTTCCCCTAAAAAAATCATTTTTTAAAGTTAAACATGAATAAAATAATCACTATATAGGTGTCTCTTGAATTATTTCAACTTAAATATAAATATTCAATCTTATAGATATATTTAGTACAGTAGTAAGGTAATCACTGGATTGGTAATCTTAAATAAGATAACTCTTTCTTAAATATTCATTATATTAAATTAAGATTGCCAAAACCCCAAAGAACATTGGGTAAAATAGCATTGCAGTTCTTAATTTTTCTCTGTGCATATTCCAGTACATTTAACCCGCCATCTGTAATTTTTCCAGACCTCGGGCCAGATTTCTCATTATCGCAATTATGCATGCAAGATTAATGGAGTGAGTTACGAAATCATTTCGAGGCCTTAATTGTGCCACGTTATGCGGCAAACAAAGTGGCCAAAAGGGTTCCGGCCAACACCCTGAAAATAGAGTACTTGTTGTGACGCAGTTCGCGACTCGGTGTCCGTGTCCGGGTCCTGTGTTTTGTTGACACTCTCGCTCAGGCGCTGTATCGACGGTTGATATATGGTAATATCGAATGTAGGCAGATATAGCTACTGCCCCCTGACCTCGCCCAGCATTCAGGCCCATGTGGGCCACATGTGTGAGTGTGCGTTTATGATTTGGCCAGAGTCAGAGCCAAAAGCAAACAAAGGAAACCGAAAGGACCCACGGCCAAAAGCTGCTCCATTTTCGAACGTTTCGCGCTGAAATATTAGACCAGAAGCAGACAGTAGACGGCTACACAGACGCAAGGCGCCAGCTTATTGATTCGGCCGCCCCCAAATGGCCTCCTCCTCCTAGAAAAGCGAAAGCCCCCATGGCGTCGGATGCTGGCTGACAAAGAACAACTCGCAGTTCGCAGTTCGAAGCTCGCAACTCGGAACTGGGAACTCAGTGCGCGTCTGGCTGTGTGGAAGTTGGGTTGCTCCGGTAGCTCCCGAGCTGAAGTGATGAAATTGTTAGTGAAAAAGGGCCTTAATCCTAACCGGAAGTAGGTGCAGCAGTCATGCCCACCACCTGTGTCTTTCAGCTGGATCGCCTGAATCCTGGCTACAACAGCGGCGAATACATCAGCGGTCGTATTTTACTCCGAACGGACAAGGTGAAGCGCGTGAATGGTGGGTTGGCACTTCTTTCTCGAGAAATCCTGTTCCTTATAGGGATTATATTCATGCAATCCGGTATTCTCTAGCCGTCTATGTGACCCTGGAGGGTGAGGCCAAGGTTCAGTGGTCGATGAGCGGCAAAAGCGAGACGGCCAATTATTCGGGCCATCAGCAATATTTACATTCCCGCACCAATGTGTTCGATAACTCCCTCTTCCGTGCTGGCGTCCACGTCTATGTGCTCACTCTAAGGATACCCCCGGACTGTCCCAGCACCTGCAAGGGTCCGTACGGTTATATAGCGTATCACCTCTCCCTGACCATCGACAAGCCTTGGGGCTTCGACGAGGTCTTCAGGAAACCCATTAATGTAGTGCAGACGTTGGACCTCAACTACAACCCAGAGTTTGCGGTGAGTAGCCATTGTTTGCTTGAGTTCTTAGGGGTGTTTTTATGTAGGAACCTGGAAAGATGAGTAAGGAAGTTAAGAAAAGAGATTTATTGGCAGCCATTCTTTTTGACAGATTAAATCTTTGGCACCTATAAATATTTAACAATTCGTAAGTATATAAAAATAAAATGAGATTATCCCTTTCTCCCCTTTCATCAGCTTCCCGTGAAGGATGAAAACATTAAATATCTCTGCCATTGGCCCTGTATTTCGGGTCCCATCAGTTCCACTCTGTCTCTGCCCGCCTCTGGATTTACTCCATTGCAGGAGGTGCCTTTCCGCTTGGAGGTGGACAATCAGTCGCCGCACTATGACATCAATGCTGTGGAGGTGTCCATCAAACAGCACTTTGTCTTCCTGTCGCGGAATCCCGTCAAGCGGAATTTCTATACAAAGACACTGATTAAGGAGGTTATCGCAGACCGCACCTTGCGCCTATCCAAGAGGCAGTACGAGTCCAGTATCTGTGTGCCCATGGATACACCACGATCCACACTCAATCCCAACTATATTGTGTTTATTCACTACACGCTGCAGGTGAAACTGAAGACGGGGTGCTTCCACTACGATACGGATCTCTCGGTGCCCATTATCGTGGGCACCACCTCGCTGCAGCATCTCCGCAACTCTGTGCACACCCATCAGCCAGCAAGGAGGACGACCACGCCGGAGAGGCAGCGACTAATCGAAAGGGTGACTCCTCGGCCACCAACGGTGGAGGAGGAAACAGTTGCAGAGGCGGCGGCCACGACAACCGATGAACCACACCAGGCCCTCGATGATGATGAGCCGCCGAGCTATGATAGTTGCCGTAAGTTTTGCATTTATCTGAATTCTATTCAAAAATACTGATAAGGAACAACCTACCATGGGGAAATATATATAATTACAGGCAAAGCTAAAGAAATTTATTACTATAATTTTTATGAATATTATTATAATTATTTTTCTAAATATAATACTAAGTGCTTCTTTTATAATTACGCCGCAACTGGTGTAAGAAAACATGTGTTCCTAATCAATTTTGAGTGATTTCATCCATTAACTGAGAAATGACCAAATTTATTGTTCTTAATCAGTTGTATAAACATAATTAAGTGAATAATAATAGCCTTATAGCCTTGTTCAGAACTATTAGGCTAAAGTCTGGTATACAAAAGTTTAAAAACAACAAGCTATAGGTACAGGCATTATTATTCAATCAAAAAGCACCTGTTGACATTGACTTTGAAACATAAACAATTATTGAAATAAATAGTGGATAATAAATCCCTTTAAGTGTAAAACATAATCAGTACTTTTATGCTTAATAATAAATAATAAAAATAAAGGAAGAGTTAAGATTAGAGGCCACGTCAATGAGATTTTATATTATTTATAGTATTATCTATATTTATATAAAGTCTTGTGCGAATGTCAAGAGCAGATTATTAGGATTTCTAACCCAATCTATTTAGGAAAACATTATTGTTTGGTATATTTATTAAATATGCCTTAACTAATTCCTTAATAAAATGAACAAAATAAATAAAAATAAAAATAAATTAAAATAATAAATATTTAAAATACCCCTAAAAATATTATTATGTATTAAATCTATTACTGTTTGACTTATTAGCAGTTATAATTTGTTACTCATTTATTTATAAACTTAAACGTATAAATATATCTGTATATAAGTATATAAGTAAATCTAACCTTCCTGTTACTCCACTTGCAGTTCCGCCCTCCTTCAGTTTTGCCACATTGGCAGGCAGTCAGCAGACTCTGGGAAGTAATCATGCCGTGGTCCTGCAACGAATTCACTTACCAAAATTTCCTGGCTTCAGCACACTTATTGGAACAGCTCCGGCTCACGGAATGGAGGACTCTGGCCTGGATATGCATATGTACAGGTCATACGGTTCCCTGAACACGGATCACACGGGCCGGAGTTTGGATACCTTTGGATCGCTCTGCGGTCCCCTCTCCGAGCACGTTGAAGAGCATGAACATGAGGCTGAGGATGTGGCTGAGACGCTGGATGTGACTGCCCAGGTGCATCAGGTGGCAACTTCACAGGCTCGAGTGGCAGAGTCCGAGGAGGATCTGTTAGAGGAACACCTGTTCTAGTGAAGGTTTAGTGTCTTATATACTACGTATATACAGTAACAAAGTAACTAAGTGTTCAAGACTAAGGCTTAAACGAGATTTTTAGGCTGGATTCACGAGTCCGTCGTCTAGTTTTAGTGAGCTTTCATTGCGCAGATCTGTACACTCGCCGCGTACCATCCAAAATTGATCGAATCGAACTTATTGAGTGCCAAAATCTATATATATATATATATTTATCGCTTTTCTACATCCATCAAACATTTACAGTTTAAATATTCGACTTGATACATTTACCAATTGTCCTAAGTACCAACTAATACGTTCTTAAGTGGACAATAAATAAAGTATAAATACAAAATCAATTTGTTGATTGTTTTCTGTCGCGTTGAATAGTGATGGGAGAGTGAAGAGTTAAGTAAAGCAAAGTATGAAACTATTAATTAATTCATGAAATTTGTTAAACAATTGAGTGATTTTCTTATATGAAATGTTTGTAAACAAAATAAACTCCCTCAATGCGTGCCAAAGTTCAACCACCTAGAAACTTCCCCATCACTGGTGCGAGGTGGCCTTGGATCCATCATCCCCGTCAACTTTCCGCCCATATGTAGGCTACACCTGACACCCGATGTAATGCATTTTAATTAAATTACAAATTGTTGGCTCTCTGATAAGGGTCGTCGCAGTCGCAGTCGTCGTCGTCGTACGCCGTCGCACTCTGCCGGCCAGATTAGATAGCAGCTTTGCCGATAATAGCCATGGTTGTGGTAGCATTCACACCTAGTATTAGGCCGATAAGGCCTGGACAAGTTCCGTTCTTAATGGTGGAGCATATTGTCAAGAACTGCCAGACATCGGTGAGCAGTCAACAGGAGAGCAACATAAAGTGTTAAGGATGAGCCACCGCTGCGACATACAGTTGGACAATCCCCGAGGGGCCTATCGAGCCGGTGAGACCGTCAATGGTCACGTCTATCTGACCCTTACGGAGCGTGCTCTAATCAAAGGTATGCAGTGACTCATGGGGCTACCCCGTGTAATAAAACCCCTTGTGGGTGGTGATTCACCGATCAAGATCAAGTTACGATTACCTCGCTGCAAGGTTGATAAAGATTGTCGAGGTGAAATCAAATTACTAAGGCGCGACACGGTCTCTAACTCGATTTATTATCAGTCAACAGGTTGATAAGATTATTGATCTAAACTAGAAATAGTGTTTGCTAAATTATTATTAGAGTAGAAAATTATTTAAGTACAATGTATGCAAATTTAGCACTAAAGTAATTGTTTGTTAAAAATTTAAACTTGAAAGGAAATTAGTAAAGTAAAAGAACTTTTGGTATAACCCATTCTTTGCATTCTAGCATTTGTTAAAATATATACTTTGCTTATGTTTTAATTAATTTTAAAGTCCAGCTCTTAAACTCATTTACTTTTTGTACTTTTAAAATATCATCCATATTATTGTATGAATAAATATTACTAAGCTGATAAATTTTAGAAATAATCATGATGTGATAACAAAATTTATCTGCAATCAATTATGATGTAATTATACCCTCAGTATTAATCCAAATAATCTCTGTATAATTACAGCAATTTGCCTAGAAGCTAATGGATATGCCTGCACCGCCTGGCAGCTGGCTCAAAAGCAAAAGAAATCCAAGGGTACGCAGCCCGTAGTACAGAGTCAGCCTTTGGACCTGGATAGTCGAGTGGATTATTTTGCCAAAATCGATTATTTTGTGGGTTCTGAGGCTGCTCAGCCGCAGATAATGGAGGCGGGCACCTATAACTATGGGTTCCATGTGAAGCTGCCTCAGAACTGTCCCGGTAATTTCGAGGGTGCCCACGGACACATCCGGTACACACTTCAAGTCCTTATTCATGGCAGTGCTGATCGTCCTTTGCAAGTGCTTCATATGCGGCAGTTGCAGATCTTTCCCCAGAACAGTCTTACCCAGGAGAACAGGAGCAGTGAAGTGCATATTCATGAGCAGACGCCACGTCTAAAGTTCTGGATGAAGTCGCTGCACTTGCAGCTTCAAATACCCCGGCAGGGTTACTCTCCAGGAGCGGGAATTTCGGTACATGTGAAGTTACATAATCCGGAAAGGCTGCCACTTCGTGAGGTCACCTATTCCCTGGTGCAGATCTCCACCTATGTGGCTCAGTTGAAGAACAAGCCCAAGCGAACGGATACCAAAGTCGAAAGGCAAACTATACTGAGCAGAAGCCACGAGCTCCTCAGCCTGCCCAAGACGGAACTGGAGAACTTCCAGCATCTCCATATGCTTCAGGTGCCACAAACAGCGGCCACTCTGAGTGTGGCCCAGTGCTCGTGTCTGCAGTTGAACTACGAGGTGGAGGTGCTGGTGAGGTCTCAGCAGGAGAAGCGATTGATTTCCGCCAGGATTCCCGTAATCATAGGCAATGTGACACCGCCATGCCCGGGAAAACTTCTCATGTTAGAGCCACTGGATGCCTCGGCTCCGGAACCGACACCACCCGGTGAAACAGCCCAAAGGATGGCTCTGAATTTCAGCGGTTCAATGGCCTCATTGTGTAGGTTATTAAATTAGATAAAACTATTTGAAACTTAATTAATTTACTTATTAAATCTCTCTAGCTTCGGACTTTCGCGAAGCTGAATTTATGACGGCCACTAATCTAAACAAAACCAACAAACACTATTTGTCCGGTGAGCAGTTGGACTTTAGGCCACGTTATGTTTACTATGAAATGGATCAGACCCAATCCGAGGAAGTCAAGTCGCATTAGCTACAGTATTCTTTTCGCACAGTCATATAAATTATTTTATTCTTTAAGAATTAAATGTAAAGCTACATCAATTATATATTTATTTCATCACCATTCGATGGTATCTTTTATTTGGCTAAGGATGAACTAAAAGTTCTTAAGAACAATACTATAAAAACTTGAACAGCTTTAACAATATAATAAATTTATCATTAACTGAGAAAAGAGTTTTAAGAATAAGGCACAACAGTGATCTTCAGGAAAGGTATATTATACATGATCAATATGATCTTGACTATAATCCTTTGATAAACTATGCCAACTTTATGCAAAATGTTTGAAATATGCTATGAATTATGGAAATATTTCCCAAGACAATATTATATATACCCTTTAACGTTACACCACTCTCTCTAAATATTTATCTTGAAAAAAAAACAGACTTTTTCAAATATAATTTGGACACAAGGCAGTACTTAAATATTTTATTATCAAAAGCATTTGGTAATAAGCTTAGATATACGTATAAATAGCACTTGGGAAAAATTAAGTTTGCAGCGAATTCTTCACCGTTTCAAGGCACACAAAAAAGCAATTCACAATTACAATATTATGATGCTGATCCTGAGATTCCATTCGAGGTAATTACTATAACCTATGGGTTGGCATTCCAGCCATATGAAATTGTATTATTCCCTCCATTCGATGGTGCCGTTGAAGAATGTGGCAGTGACAGAACCGGAGCGGATGGAAGGAGTGCAGAGTCCGCATCCTGTGAAGGTGGGGGCGGAGCCGAAGGCATCGCAAAGTTGGTGTACATGGGATAACGTGGTATAAAGTCATCCGTGCGATTGTGTTCGTCCACATCGATGTCGATAAACTTGTCATCGGAGCTGGTGGCCTCCTCAAAGGTAGGTGGTTCTACAAGAAACATATATATTTTAGAATATTTGTACCCTTTAATTCTTGTCATGTATACTCACTGCAATTGTCATAGCTGGGCGGCAGATCCCCGGCAGCTCCTGCCGGAGTATCCGGTGTTTGGGGTATCCACTGAGCTGCATGTTCTGGATTCTCGGCACTCTGAGCCAAGGGAATCGTACCAATAACCATGGGCACATCAAAATCCGTATCCATGTGGCAGTCACCCATTTTTATCGATAGAATGACTCGGTAGGAAACCGTTATGATCCCTCCCTCGTTCCGGGAAGATGGCGGCACTGGAGGAATGGCCAGTGTTCCATTGATGACCTTCTTCGAGAGACGCAACACTTGCTCTCCCTGGCAACTCTCATTCAGGTCGATCTCCTTCTCGCGTTCCTTGTAATGTGGCGTCTCTGCTCGGAATTTGTAAGTCTGTTTCAGTTTCACTTCGATTCCATTCAAATCATAGCCAGTTGATTGATTGTCGATTTCCAGATTGAAGTGGATCTTTTGACCGGGAGCATAACCTCCAAAGGGTATGGTAAGGGTCGAGAGAACTGGTCCCGAGCTGCAGGGCCAGCAGCAAAAGTACTTGATATCCTCACGTACCAAAGGCATCTGTGAAATAAGATGGTTAATGAAGGCTATGAATAAGTAATCGCATTTGGAAATAATGTCAGGGAACATGCAACTATATGTCATACATTGAAAAACAGATCTAAAATAGGAATTGCATTCGTCACGCAAGGCTATTTTACGTCATATATACAAACATTATCTTTGCTTTTTGATCTTTTTTTTTGTATATATTTAAATTAAAATTGTGGCCTTGGTATGGACTCACCAGCAGCTGTGGACTCATATTGAGGTTGTAGGTCTGCAACACTGTCAGCGGTTGCTTGAAGACGTTATTAAAATTCCATTGACGATCGATGATTACGGATATCTCATAGCAGATTTTTCCATATTTTTGTACCACCGATGAAGGACATTCCAGTGGCAGGGGTATGCAAAAGTTGTAGGTGTGGGTACCGGGGGGCAGTGTTCCGGATCCAAAGACCGCAGTTCGAGTGTTTAAATATATCTGTTTGCCTCGATAGTATTCGGTATAATGATGGGTCTTTCCGTTCTGGGTCCTTGTCTTGCGCTCATCCCATCGAACCTTTGCCTCGCCCTCGAAGAGTATGTAAACCTCTAATAGGGATACATTAAAGGGGTAAAGGGTTATACAGTATATTTAATAAGTTAAGCACTCGATAACTACTTAGTTATCATCCTGCAAAAGTATTTTCAGCTAGGGCTACTTCTGAACGTATCTGAATAGCTTTAAATGCACATATGATGTATATACAAATATGTGACAAATATTTTTAAGTATATAAATATATGGATTCCCTATAGCTTTTAGTTTCGATTAGCAAACAGTGGGATAAAGTCAAGAGTATATACAAATAATCTAAACAGCATTCGATGAAATCTAAAAGAAATGCAAGCTCCACTGTATCAAATACTTGTTGCTCTCTTATCTTTGAAACTTTTAAGTATACACACAAATGTTTTTTTTTTATAAAGAGCTTTTTGGTTTATTGTTTTTGTTTTGGTTCAACCAAAATAATTGGGGGGAAAAAATACAAATTCTCATAAGGCATGATGTTTGCTGTGGTATTAGGGGTCAAACTGAGCTCATCCAGAGCTTGGCAATAATTAAATATATATATTTATATATATTTTTTTTTAATAAGAACTCAAGCACATGGAATAATAATATATAATTTAAATGATTAAATATAAAAACTATGTGCTTGTGGCCCATAAACTAGTTTGTGTCTTACAGCATTCTTTAGAACCGGTTTAGTATTATCATGTATATTTTATTAATCACGAAAATGATAAGGGGTGATAATAAGAATCACGTTAGTTAAAGATCTTTTCTCAACAGGTCTTTTCGTTTAAACTTACCATTTACGTTCTTTTCGGATGTTGTAGTGAGTATAGCCCGTCCATTGATCGTTTCTCCACTATAATATATGGGTTCGGGACGATCCAGCTCAAATAAGCAAGTCGAAGGCATTTTACAGCCCTTTTTTAATCAACTAAAATCTCTATAAACTATAAGGTTTTCTGGCTACTCCTTAACATTCACAATTAAAAATTCTTAAATACTATTTGCTGCTGGCACGCAAACCTAAAAATTTATTCAGCACCAGACAAGCGCCGCACTTGAAATGAGAACTAAAGCGAGAATTGCCGGTTGGGGAGAGCCAGACATAAAGTGTGACATCATCAGTTCCAGAGAGAAAAAGCTCCAAATTCTACGGGGAGAGAGAGAGAGAAAGCTTTGGGGCCTGCGCTCAAATAAAACTATTTATTTGGAATATTGCATTTCGTTGTTTGTTGTTACACCGATATTCGCTAATTTGTTACGAATTTGGGGGCCAAGACAGTCAGACCATTGTAAACAAAAAGCAGGTGTATATTTTTATTGAAAGCTCAAAAAAGCTAATTTAGAAGATATTTTAATTTCTAATGTAGCCAGGGTTGTCGGAGTGTTAAAAGTGTACAAAATTTTAGAATAGTTAGTTTTTAGGGAATTTTAGAAGTCCCTTAAGTTGTAGAGTTTTTTATGAAATATACAGTGTTTTGAAGGGAAAATGAAAAATTAATATAATATAAAGTTTTTATATTATTTCTTATCTTTTCTGATTTTTTTTTTAAATATTTTGTATATATATTCTTTTATAGTTTATATGTATAGTTATAAAGTTATTTATAGTTTTTCCGTGGCAAATAGAAGAGTAATAGAAAAAAACTCTGATGCCTTATGACGAATACTGAAAAATTCAAGCCGGTTTCTAAGCTCTATGTTAAAATTTCGGGAACAGATTAAGTCCCTGTTATGATTACTTGGATCTTTACCATATATGCTGCACTTCCTGTTATGTTTCTTTCGACTACAAAAAGTCATTTTTATACCCTTGCAGGGTATTATAATTTCAGTCAGAAGTTTGCAACGCAGTGAAGAAGCCACCTCCGACTATATAAAGTATATATATTCTTGATCAGGATCAACAGCCGAGTCGATCTAGCCATGTCCGTCTGTCCGTCTGTCCGTCTGTCCGTCTGTCCGTCTGTCCGTTTCTACGCAAACTAGTCTCTCAGTTTTGAAGCTATCTAAATAAAACTTTGCAGTTAGTCTTCTATATACTCTCACTCGTATATATGTCGGAACGGGCCGGATCGGACGACTATATCATATAGCTGTCATAGGAATGATCGGAAAAGTTTTACAAAAAAAATTATAAAATTTTTAGTTTTCAACAGAATTTGATCAAATTTGAGATATAGCCGTTTCATATTATTCTACAATTTTGTGTAAAATTTTATGAAAATCGGACTAATATATCATATAGCTCCCATAGGAACGATCGAGAAATTTGAGAGGAATGAGAATGGCGGTGGCTGTTGTCGGAAGACTGACAATCGCGGTGGCGATAACATCTTTAGTTTTCAACAGAATTTAATCAAATTTGAAATATAGCCATTTCATATTATTCTAAAATTTTGTGTAAAATTTTATGAAAATCGGACTACTATATCATATAGCTCCCATAGGAACGATCGAGAAATTAATACAATTAAATTTATAACTATTTTAGTTTTCAGCTGATTTTCATCAAATTTGAGGTATAGCCATTTTATATAAGTCTTAAATTTTGTGGCAAATTTCATAAAAATCGGACGACTATATCATATAGGTGCCATACAAACGATCGTTTGATGTAGAGGAAAAATGCAAATCTGTGAATGTAAAACTGCAAATATAATATGTATATGTGAATGAAATGAAAGCAGGTATTACTTCATTGTTTTTTAACACAAATATATATCATTTATATTGTATGGATTCCTATTCATAGAAGTTCTATCTGCAAGGGTATATAAACTTCGGCGTGCCGAAGTTAGCTTCCTTTCTTGTTAATTTTAGATAATGTATGGATGAAAATGAAATGGCATACGAGATTTTTTGAGTGCGCTTTGCTTTACAATTTTTGTGTTAATAGCTCTCTGTTATTTATTGTTAAGATCAAATAAAAGACGGCATAGAAACTATTTCTTTAAGGATAACTTAATCTGGGTACTTTACCAACCTCCCCTGGTCATTGAAAACAATTTAAATTAATTTTTCCATAGACTATAAATATTTAAATAAGAAAAACGGGTGTATTCTTTATTAAGATATACATAGGTAGTTTATTGTTACTAGAACACAAGTTCCTTATTTATGTTATTAGGTCATACCTGCTATTTTAAGCGCCACTGATAAGTCGGTATTTCTTATTTTCCAAATTGTAATCAACGGAAAATGGCTGATATAAAAAAATAAGTCATACAATATCTCAAAGGAGTTGACATTGACTGTCTACGGTATTATCGCCATTTATCGCTCATATCACCCATAAGACAGTTTTATATTCTTGTTTGTTTATTTACCATTGCGTAGGTACATACATATATGCATATATACGTGTGTGGATATATTAACATTCTGGTTAGTACACAGGCAAACCGAAAAAAGAAATAAATACTGCCGAGAGATAAGATATAGTAGTTGTGATTTTCCCCAAAGCGCCCAAAGCTCTCTCAAATCTGCACGGGCGACTCTACGGGCTGCTTTTCCGGTTGCTGCTTCTGCTGGCCGGGATCGGCGGGTCGTCGACGACGGCGACGACGCTTCTTTTGAGGAGGATTTGGGGGAGGGCTCTGGAAGGTGTCCACATCGAAGACGGGGTAACGGGGCGTGAACTGGGAGGCCTCGCTGACAGTGTTTGCATCCGTGTCCGCAATGTCAGTGGTCATGAACATGGCCTGTTCGTAGGTGGGAGGAGCTATAGAATAAAAAAATAAAAAATATTTATAAAACAAAGAAACATAAAACAACAAAAACTCACGCAAATCTGGCACAAAGTCGTCAGTTGCCTCCAGTTCATCATCCCCATCCTCTGGCAGCTCAAAGTCCTCGAGATCCTCGGTCATCTCGTAACCAGAGTTACTTACTCCACTGGCAGACATCTGGGCCAGCTCCATGGCTCTTGTGGAAGTGCAGGGCAGATCGGCAGGCAGCGGACTTCCAGCTGCATAGGCGGTACTAGTTGTGGGTAGGAAATCCGGTCCCGAAACAGCCGTAGCCAAAGGTACATTGCCAATGGTAATGGGAATGATGACCCTTGGATTGGCCATCAACCAGTTCATCACGGCAACCACTCGAACCTCATAGGACACCCTCACCACCTTGCTCAGGTGCTCGCATGTGGGCGCCGTGGCTGGGATCCTCAGCGTTTCTGTGTAGTTTTTCTGACCATGATGTGGCACCGGACCGCATTCCCTCTTCACCAGCATGATCTTCTCGGAGGTGGTGCGCAGCGAGGGCTGGTCAGCGGTGTAGGTGGCCCGCAGGTGCAGCATAATTAGCAATTTGCTACAATCGGAGTTGGAATCGTTGCGCACCTGGGCGTGAACCAGCATAAACTGACCCGGAACATAACCCTGCTGCTGCAGTGTAACCTTTAGCTGCACGGGTTTCGTGTGCATCAGGCAAAAGTACTCAACGGCTTCGTTACTTGCCGGCTCCCGGAGCATCTTGCTCTCCTGGTTCAAATCCAGCAGCTTGAGGACTGTGAAGCCCACATTGTGGGTACGATTGGACGCACCCGGCTTGAGGAAGGTGACCTTGGCCAGGTAACGAATATGGCCATAGGCACCCTCAAAGGACGAGGGGCAATGATTGGGAATGGGACAGGCAAAAGTGTAGGTGTATGTGCCCGCATCCATGTTGAAGTTACTGCCCTGCTCGGAGCCCATGAGGTATGTGGTGGAGGCTATATAGTCCTCCCTTCCGCTGCACTGGTGCTTGGATCGTTTCTTGGGATTTTGAATAGCCACCGCACGGCCATGACGACGGACTCGCCATTGTGCCTGGGCATATCCGCTGATTTGCAATTTGATTCCTGGTAAAAATAAGGAATTTTTATTAAATTGTTTTACTAAGAAGAGTAGAAAATAGGAAGTAAAGAAGTAGATTATAAAGATATACTGATAAGTCTGCTAATCTTTTTTAAATCAGTGACGTAAAATTAAATTGTATGATACATATAGATAAGTTTAATCTAAAACGGATTTAAATATTTGCATCTTTTATACTCCTTCGTGATCTCTTTACATGGTGTTACTCATCACAAAAGATGATATGATACCAGGGGACAAAAACCAGACTCAAATTAATTAGGTTACATTATTTTAGGACGAACTACATTGAAAATTTGCTTATTTTTCTTCGTAATTTATAGAACTCCTAAAAAAGGCTTTGTGTTTTAACTTGATGTGTACATTTCACTGCAGTTTTCTTAATTGCTAAACTAAAGTAAAGGATAACCCTTGCGCTAAAGAAAAGCCGAGTAATAAAAATAACAACTTTAAAATGTAACTCGAACATTCTCTCTCTCTCTCTCTCTCTATATATATAATATTTAGTAAATCTATTCCGCTCTTTGGTAACGCCAAGCCCAGACACAAACCGTGACTAATTCTTATTGGCATTTCCTCGAATCAAAATAAAATCACATTGGTGGGTGAATCCCCTGCCGCCAAACAAAAAATTATTGTTAGTACCCATAAGCTGCGGGCAACATCAATTATCGCACATTTGGAGTGTCCGCTTGGTTATCACTAAATTACCCATTTGAATGGTTTGTTGAAACTTTGCTTTTTAACATTATCCAAAGCGATGCGATAAGATACGACCGTGCAGATAAGTTAATGAAATATTCCGGAATCCTGACCGGGTTTACGTACCTCGCAGTTTCTTGGTCTTGTTCAGATTGACGATCACCTTGCCGGTTATCACCTGGCCGGTAAAGTAGGTGCCATGTTCGTTCTGGTCGAACGTTATCATGCAGTTCTTCGACATGGCGGCGGCACCTTGGTATCGGAATCGGGGCTATCCTCCACCAGAACTACAATTAATTACGCGATCGGTCCGCACGCGCTCGCTGCTGAACGGGAACTGAGTCTATCACCATTACTAACTAGGCCTAGACGCCTCTCTCCTCTCTCTCTTGCTCAATATTTGCCGTTGGCCAAGTTTTATCTTATCGCCGGCGTTAACTCTCTACAAAACCCACTGCAATGTTTTTCTTTTGCCGAGCGAGTGCAAAAATCACGGATGGTTGGCAACGCGAACAGGTGAGTGAAACTAAAAATAACTCCTCACCTTTAAGCAGAGTTCGGTAGCCAGGTGTCAAAGCATGCCCATGATAGTTACATTATCTTTTTCACAGCTTTATCTAAGCCTTGACAGTCTTTGGCCCCTCATCGATTAATATTTTGCCACTCAATATTATTATCATTCCTATCGCTGTCACTTACATATGTAAATATTTTGCTAGCAATGCCACAAATTTGTGTTTAAATACATAAATACCTATCGGTTATGATAAGATAAAATAAAACTGTTGGTCGAAAAAAAAAAAAAATAAAATAAAATAAAAACAGAACCCGTGGATGACTTCAGTTCGCTCGGAGACACGGCGCAGACAGGGTAAAAGTTCACAAGCTCTTCGGGATTATCAATAGAAATCTATACGAACGATGGTAATCTGCGAGATTGAATTCAGCAATAATCCCAGGGGGATTTTCTACGCAGGCCAATTGATTTCTGGACAGGTGGTAATCAAGACTGAGAAGGCAAAACCAGTTAAGGGTAAGAAGTCTGATTCATTGCCTTGGCGCGTGTTATCACTTTTCTAGGGAAACTTTGTTTGCAGCAGTTTTAATTGGACTTTTAATAAATATACTGCAAGTTCTAAAATTATCTAAAATATTTTTATATTTAGCTGTGGTTCTTCAGATCAAAGGATTCGCCGAAACTTATTGGACAGATCCCGAGTTCGACTCGGAGGATCAGTCGAACGGTGAGTCATTCAAGGGACATGTGGACTACATTGCCACTAAGGCTTATCTGCACGGGTCGAGCTCTAGCATAGGTTTGTATTTCAAGATGATAAATTTCAATAAATCAAGAGATAAAGAAATCAAAGCTCCATTTCAGAGGTGATTATTGAGCCGGGCACGAGCACGTATAGATTTGCCTGTCAGTTGCCAATCACATGTCCCTCTTCGTTTGAGGGAACCCACGGACGTGTTCGATATCTGGTCAATGTAAGATTCCTGCGACCCTGGAAATTCGATCAGAACTTTGGTCGCAGCTTCACGGTACTCAAGGTGATGGATTTGAATACCGAGAGTCTGATGTTGAGGGTAAGTTGGGGGTGTATGGGAATCTTTCTGACTTAAATACCTTTCTTTGTTAATGAAATATGTCTTACTCTTTAAGGTGCCCACCCAGGTGGAGTCCCAAAGGACCTACTGTTGTTTTCCCTGTCGGTCAGATCCCCTCAGCATTCGTCTCTCTCTGCCACAAGGTGGCTTTGTGCCCGGCCAGACAATACCTGTGGGTGTAATGATCTCCAACGATAGTCACGTTGCCGTCGAGGACATAACCGTGACACTGGCCATGGTGGTGATTTACTATAGTCAACCTCCGACGGCGGATACCAACAAGGATCGTTTCGTGATGGTACAGAAAACCGGCGAAGGTGCTCCTGCAAAGTGTCGAAAGCAATTCACCTTTGACATACGGGTGCCAGCAACGCCACCCACTTGCTTTAACTTATGCAGTATCATCCAGATTGGATATCAGGTGGAGGCGGAGGCCAGGGTCAAGGGTTGTCATGCCAATCAATCTGTTCACATGCCGGTGACCATTGGCAGTGTGCCACTCACCAAGCAGCTGCAAAAGGAGGGCAGGATTTGGGGAGAAGATCTGCCGCCACAACAATTGGATGCCAAGGCATTGGTTTTAATAAAAAATGAAGAGGTCATGGAAACAGTTGGACCTGTAAATCCCTGGGCTGCTGATACCTCAATTGGTAAGTATATTTGTAAGATTAAAATCGTTAAGATTCTTATACATATTTCATGAAGTAAATTAAACTTATTTACTAATTTCCTTTTTAAGCACCTCCCCACTATGCCGAAGCCAAACACATCTCTCCAGAAACCCAAAAATCCTCGAAAGCTAAAAAGAAATCCATAAAAAAGACTACCAAAGAGTCAAAGGACCAAAATGGAATGGAAATTGTATTTACTCCTTTATATGCTGTTTTTGACCTGGAAAATCCAGATGATAATTTGATTTTGAGGTCCAATGAATCAAAGACTGATGGCGGCTATGTAAATGAAGATGTGGATAGAAGCACTTGGCTTTAAATTAGTTAATACCCACGTTGTAAATTATTAATAAATTATTTAGCTATTCAAATAAATTAAACCTTTAACTATCATTGCTGACAGTGTACTGGGAACACTTTCTGTTAAGGATTATTTTTTCTGAGCAATATTTGATTGGGTTGGGAGCTCTATCTTATCGATAATATTACCCAGAAACAAGTGCAAATGACTGATATACCGCCGCACTAGGATTTGTTTGAGTTGAGTGTAATGTAATACTTGAGTGAGTTTCATCACAGCTGGGGGGTTTTTTCTGTGGTTAACTTTTATCTTTGTTATCAGTAATAAAACTGATCTCACAGGTAATCAATGTAAAATATATTTCGTTGGCCAAGAACTATGATTGTACCGATAAGATAAGTCAAACGAAAGGTCGCAGAAGCATAAAAGCAGTGGATTGAAGGCTGTTTTGTTCAGTTTGCTTATGACCATTAAAGGGGAAAGAGCTCAACAATTGACTGAAGTCATAAATAATAACAACCACGTGATACTCTTATAAATTATCAATAGAAAAATATGGGAACTATATGCCAGATTCTGTTTCACAACAATATTCACGGAGTTTACTATGCGGGCCAAACGATTTCTGGCCAAGTGAATCTGAGCACGGATAAGGTCAAAGAAATAAAAGGTTAGTGCACTAATTTCACAACCAAAAGTAATGATAATCAATTTCCCGATTTCTCCCCTTATCAGCCATTAGACTAAAGTTGAAAGGTTTTGCCCAAACCCATTGGACTGAGAGTAAAACGGATTCGAACAACAAATCCACCTCTGAATCGTTTAATGGCTTTCATAAATATCTCTCCAGCACAGTGTATCTTTTGGGTTCCGAAACAAGTCCGGGTAAATTATATCTTTAGACTTATTGACTTTCCCTTTATAAGCTTATATAACTTGTTTAGAAATGACTTTGGAGCCGGGAGTGAGAACTTACAATTTTGCTTGCCAAATTCCCATCCATTGTCCCTCTTCCTTTGAGGGGACTCACGGTCGTATACATTATATGGTGGATGTGAATATCATGCAGTCTTGGAAGTATGGCAGTGTGTTCACAAGGCCATTCACTGTAGTCCAGGTGATGGATATGCCAACTTATCAGTCGGTATCTCAGGTATGTTTCTAAATAGTCAAGAAAATAATAATTTACTAATTAATAACAAACTAATATCGGTTTATTTAGGTTCCCGTTCAGGTCAGGAGTGAGAAGACCTTTGGCGTCTGGCCCTTCAAGTCGTCTCCACTGAACCTAGAGTTGACCTTACCACAAACTGGCTTCGTGCCCGGTCAGACTGTCCCCCTGAAGGTCTTTGTGGGTAATGAGAGCAGGATTCGGGTACACGAAATGAAAGTGGGCCTGGCCATGATGATCACTTACTATAGTGATCTAAGTTCCGGCACTAATTCGGAACGAATTTCCGTGGCCAAACTGAAGGCTGATGGTGTGATGAGGAACTCCCAAAAGATGTATGAATTCCAATTGTTGATTCCCTCCACTCCACCCACCAGTATGCATCTGTGTCGCATTATCAAGATAGGTTACCAGATCGAAGTGGTGGCCAAGGTCAAGGGGATGCACATAAATGGAACACTGGTAATGCCAGTAACCATTTGTGGGGTTCCTATTGCACCGCCAATGGTGCATTATGTACCTGAAGGATCGGGAGCTTCAGGCGGATCTACTGAAGGAGTCTTGACATTGTTTGATGGTGAAGCTGCCAGTGCTGCTCCAGCTGCTCCTCCGTATCCCTGGTCAGAGAACTCTACTTTTGGTGAGTAAAATCAATATTAAGTGATTTGTACTTAAAATTCTATGTCATTAATTGTATTTTACAGCACCGCCTAGCTATGCTGAGGCCATGCACATTCAATCTAATCCGGAAAAGTCCGGGCAGTTGCAACAGGAGACCCAGGCACAGTCTTCTTCGGACGAGAAGAAGCCCTTCAAGCCTCTATATCCCATTTATAGTGTGCCAAGTCCCACTGAGGAAAAGAAGCTGGATCCTGCCTTGGAAAAAGAGGAGAAAAAATGATGAAGCAGGACAAATATTTCCGAATTTGAGAGATATACTCTGATCAATCCTTTGCCAGCTTATCAAGGATTTCTTACGGGCTTTCCCCAGCTCTATGGGCTCTTTGTTGCGTGGCTCCCGTTGGCGAAATGTACCAGTATAATTCAAAATTGTGACAGCGATAAGATAAAAAGTTGGCCTGGCCATCGCTACCAATATACATATAGAACCGTCGCAATGTTTGTTTCATTCTCAGTTTGTTTCTGGCAGCCAACTGGGCATGAGGTTCCTATTAGCTTCTCCGAACTGACGGAGTAAATACGCAGCAAACTCGAGGCATTAAAATCAAATCAGTTGTGTTTGCAACGGCATCAGGAGCGGATCGGCCAATAAATAGTCGACAATAGCAATTACGGATATAATTACAATTATGACTGTTACCTGTGAAATTGATTTCGATAACAATCCCCATGGCACCTACTTTGGTGGCCAGGTTGTGAGTGGCAGGGTAACGCTGCGTCTGGACAAAGTGAAGTTGGTGAAAGGTGAGAGTGGGTGTTATTTTTTACAGAATTCTCCAACTTGATACTCTGGTTTTTTGGCGATACCATTAGGATGACTCATGCTTATCTTATCGGTGAATTTTTTGAGTGCGGTTAAACGTTTTGCAGCAAAAGATCGAGCTTGGTGATTCATATTATTTATAATTTCGAAACGACCACACGTGCAAAATCTAACGCCAACACACAGAGAGCGAGGTGTTCGATGGCCAAACACAAATACATTAATAATAAATATTTGCAGGCGATAAGATTGTTAATATATTTTTAAAATAATCAATGGTTTCGCATTAACTGACATTAAATATGGGTAGATAAATATATACAGGCACTCTGGCGGAAAACCAGAGTCAGAAATCCATTTAGTAAAAGCTTTTAATAAGATTGATTTATTAGGTAGTGGGAGTTGGATAAAAGCAAGTGAATTTATAAAAGATCTGAATTAATTACTTTATTTATGAGGCCTAATAGCAATAAATAGTATGGTAAAAATACTATTCCCCGCTGCTACTTTCAGGGAAACATAAAATTATATCAGTTTTTAATTAAAATGCAAAGAAACTTTACGATCCCTTAAATAAATTTGTAGTTTGGCAATAAAAATCGAATCGCTATCTTGTGATAAGAAAGTGCAATCAAAATCAAACAACCAAACGAAAAAACATAAATAAATAAAATAAATGTTTATCATATGTGTTTATATATGGTTTTCCCTTCCACAGCTGTCACGTTGAATATAACCGGATATGCTGAAACCCGATGGAGCGAAAGGGTTACCACAAACAGGAGGAGGAGACGTCGCACGTTCTATGGCCGTGAGGATTATATTGCATCCAAAACTTTTCTGGTGGGCTCCAATCTCAGCTGTAAGTATGAGTCATTCATTGGGGGGACATAGATCGGTTTTTTAATTGTTTATATAATTTACAGCACAAGTTCCCATTGAAGCCGGCATTCACACATACAACTTCACTTGCCAGATTCCCACCGAGTGCCCTTCATCCTTTGAAGGCCTTCATGGCAGGGTTCGTTATATGACCAATGTGACCCTGGTCAGACCCTGGAAATTTGATCAGAGCTACACACGATGCTTCACAGTACTGAAGGTTATGGACCTCAATTTTGATAGTCCACTATTGAGGGTGGGTTTTATATACATTTAAATATAAATTAATATAATTTTAAATTCATGAATTCTTTGTATTGTTTCAGGTTCCCGCCCACAGTGAGACCACAAAGACATACTGCTGCTGGCCCTGCAAATCGGATCCTTTGTCCCTTCAGCTAACGCTTCCTCAAACTGGCTTTGTGCCTGGGCAGAGCATTCCGCTCAGTGTGTTGGTCACCAACGAGAGTCACATTCCTGTGGAGCAACTCCTGATGACTTTTGTGATGCTGGTCACCTGTCACAGCAAGCCACCTTCAATGCCGAATAGTACCTCCGAGCGACTGGTGGTCAACACTGTGAAGGGAGACTCTGTACAGAGGAATTGCAAGAAGCTCTTCAGCTATGAGATTAGAGTTCCAGCCACTCCGCCCACCTGCTTCAATCTGTGTGGCATCATTCAGATTGCATATCAAGTAGAGGTGGAGGCTCAGGTTAAGGGCTGCCATCACAACGAAGTGGTCAGTATTCCTGTGACCATTGGCAGTGTTCCACTGTCTCAGCATGTGCTGATCCAGCCACGGGGCATGATCAATCAGCCTTTGGATGTCAATGGCTTGGGTGGTGGACAAATAGCCACTGCTCCTCCTCCAAACGCAGCCAATCCCTGGGCTATCGATGATTCTATTCGTAAGTTGGATTACTTTTAAAGTATTCAAATATTCTTACAAATTATGAGTTTGTTTTTAGCTCCTCCCAACTATCAGGAGGCTCTGCACATGCGCTCTACGGCTGACACAAAGACCGATGATTCCGACGATCCAGAGCCGGTACAACCGAATACTCTCAATCTGGATGGCAGTGCCTATAGACCATTGTATCCAGTTTTTGACATTCCAAGTCCCACCGCTCCTCCACCAACAGATTATACCCAGAACTATATGGCGGAGAGAGCCTTTGTTAATCCTGCAATTGATGCAGACAAGGATAAGGGTACATGGCTTTAACAGGAAAGAATTCTGATCACGACTAATAAAAGTAATTACAAAAATGTATGTTTTCTGAAGAAAATGAAATTAAACCATAAAAATACCTATATCATTAACCTTATATGTATATATTTTTCTTAACTTAATTGCTTGATATGAACATAAATTTGCTTTTTGAATTAGTAATGAAAGTAATCGTTTCCCAGATATATTCGATATGAAACTGCTAAAGAAAGAGTCTCGAAGTATAATATTGAATTTATAAGAGGAAGAAATACTAAATAATATTAATGTTTATATCTATAATAGAATATTTTTTCGTTTATTAAGAATGAACTCAATTCTTTATACATTCTTCTCCCTGATTAAATATTTAATCTTGCGATATTTATTTTCCATCTTGTGTAACATTTTTAAGCACAACTTTTTATCAGCATGAATAATGTCCTTGAAAGATTTACATTTCCAAAATGAGATGTTGTAGCTATGGTAATACGAGGTTTCCCCTTATCGAGTCTCCCCAAAATAACATAAAAGCTTTGCTCAAAATGCTCCACTGCCAAGGTCTCCTCCGTTCCCTCCGATAACGCTTCTCCAAAGTGGAGGAGGCACCCCCCTGACTGGCTCTTATACTACTTACCATTCCGATTCCATATCGTTTCCGGAGAAACCCGTTCGGGTCTTCGGCTCGGAGTCGTTCTTATCACTCACACTGCAAGCAGTCCACCAGTTTTGTACTTAAGTTAGTCGCAACTCGTTGCCCTGGCCATCGGTTTTAGCGGATTCCTGCAACGGACATTTGAACCTGGCCAAAAAAAAATGGTCGTTACGTGTGAGATCAGCTTCGATAATAATAGACACGGCACTTTCTATGCCGGTCAATTGGTCAATGGCTGTGTGACCCTCAAGTGCGACAGATCCAAGGAGGTTCAAGGTAATTATGGAAGGTATTTACAAGAAGAAACCAAATCGCAATAGGGTTTGATTAAGTGTTTATATATAGCTTCATTTGGCCAGAGTATTATAAATATTTGCTCGATAACGATTTGTGTGTAGTATATGTCGGGAATATTATATATACATATATGTGTTTATGACGACATTGACTTTAGCGGGCATTCTTTAGTGCGGAATGTATGAAGTTGATTGATAACACACCACAAAGTGTACATGTCTTGGTAATATTTTAATAGAGAGATTAAGAAAAGGGTTGTCCGTTGAATTTAAAAATGCAAACACACATTTTTGTACTTTGAATTTAATGACAAAACTGAATATTTAATAAATACCAGTAAAGTTCTGAGTGCATCGGTTTTAATTTATAGCATATCCCCCTTTTTATATTAACTGATTATGTGTTCTGCTATCAGTTGCTTTTAGGATTATCTATATATTAGCTTTCAAGATAAAATATCTCAATTACTCAACCCACTCTCACTCTCATTTTCCTCTCCCTAACTCTCTGCGTTTTTCCAGCCGTTCTGCTCAAGGTAGTTGGATATTCCATAACCAAATGGAGTGAGAAAAGTCTGGGCTCGTCCAAGCTGTATGCAGGCCGTGAGGATTATCTATCATCCAACTCTTATCTGCTGGGTTCCGAGCAAAGTGAGTGAGATACATTCATCTCGAGAGAGGTGTTTGCATTCATTAATGGTTTTTATCCAGACAACAATAGACACACCATTCAGGCTGGCGTCCACACTTACACCTTTGCCTGCCAGCTGCCCTACCAGTGTCCCTCATCCTTTGAAGGACGCCATGGCTGCATTCGTTACATTGTCAAAGTCCTGCTGATCAGACCCTGGAAATTTGATCAGGCCTACACCAAAGGTTTTACGGTGCTAAAGATGCTGGATCTGAATTTTGATACGCCACAATTGCGAGTAAGCTGTAATTATGTTATATTATTTATATTTGTTTATTTATAAAATATTTTTAGTTGGCTGCCCACAGCGAGGGTTATCGCACCTTCTGCTGCGGTCCCTGCAAAACGGATCCACTGAAACTGGAACTTCATCTGCCCCAAGCTGGTTATGTGCCTGGTCAGAAAATACCCGTGACCGTGGTGGTGGTCAATAACACAGCCGTGGCCGTCTCCGAGCTGCGACTCTCCCTTGTCATGTTGGTGCGTTACTACAGTGTGAGTCCAGAGCATTCGCGAGTGGAACGGATCATCATTTCGCGGGCCAAAGGTGACTCCGTACTGAAACAGTGCACCCGCTCGCTGACCATTGACCTGCCTGTGCCCTCTACTCCACCCACCTGCGTGGAGCTGAGCAACCTCATCCAAATCGCTTACCAGCTGGAGGTTGAGGCTCTCGTAAAGAGCCTGCGGGAGCAGCAACTGATGGTTATGCCAGTCACCATTGGCACCATTCCTTTGCCGGTTGCCGGCATTGTGGTACAGCAACCTCCCCGTCGAAGTGGCCACTACGAGGGTCCGCAATCCAGAAGGGATCCTCCCGATGAGCTACCCATGGTGACGGCACTGGGCAATGTACCCAACGATCCAACTCCTAGTTCAACGGATATGGGTGAGTGAATGATTCCATAGATTTAAATAGGAATAAAGTGTCTGTCCAAAAATTATATACGTGCCCAAGAACCTATAATGATTGATTGCAATCTTATCTGAAAACTTTTGAATGGAATCAGAACCCGGTTATCTTTAGATATCGCTAATTGTGCTGTCAACACATTTCATGAATGCTATGTTTATTTTAGTTAGTTATTTTATTTATAAATGCTTCATTTATGGAATTAATTTATACTGAAATAGAATTACGAAAAAAGAAAAAAATAGGGGTAGTTTTTAAAGCCTATAGCTTATTTGATTAGAAATTAGCTTAGAATTGGAGGAAAGAAGAAATGTGTTTTAAATTATTTGTAATGTTATTTAAATACTCCGGAAGTTACTTACAAATCACATTTTCGTTTCTTAAACTTTTCTAAAAAGAGTTCTTATGTTTCAAAAAGGCTTATGAATTACTGTTACTTTAAAATATCTTTTTGGATTTTTTCTTAAACAGAATTTCAAGTTTACAAAGAACAAACTTTCGTTTAATAATAATAATAAATTATATTTTTTTCTTATACCTTAGATCTTCCCAAATATGAGGAATCCAAGCACACGCATCGCGGCAACATCAACGAGGAGGAGTTAAATGCCTTTGGAAGCAATGAGTTTGCTCCACTGTATCCTGTGTACAACATCCCTAGTCCAACGCCTGTGCTTTCAGCGAATACACGGAATGCAGGTTTTGTCAATCAGAGCTTTGTTAAATAAAGCTTTATGTTTTTGTTAATTTTCCTTTTTTTATGTTCACATTTATTGTACAAAAAATATATACGAAAAAACAATAGTTTCATTTGGGGGTGGTTTAAAAGGGTTGATTCATGTTAAGGCCAGCCACCTGTAAATATGGAACAATTATTATATAAATACATCGTAATTCTAGCTAAGCTTTCCATTATTGATCCAGCCCCATTTTTTACCAGTTTCTCCTTCGAATACTGTAATGATAAATGGAGTTATTAAAAATCTGTAATAATTTTATATACCCACCTTTAGACGAAAAATAGGCGTAAAAACACTTTATACTTGTAATCAGATTGTGGAAAACTCAAGACTATTTATATTAATCTTAAACTAATGTTTGTATCGAGAAATTCTCGTATTCTTTGGGGTATTTAGTGCATGGAAGAATATCAGTTATCCTTATCAAAAAATTAATGTTGTACACTATATATGGATTCAAATTCAAGAAACTTTTCATCATATTTTTCGAATAATTATTACACTGTTTTAAGTCATTGTGGATTTCTTTTAACAAAACTAAAGCAGTTACAATTCAAACAACTTTTATAGTAATTTTAAATGAAGTTAATAGGCACTGTAATACATGTAATATTACTATAAAAGTAACAGAAACAAAGCAGTGCATATTACAGCATCTTTTATAGAAGATAATTTAGCTATAAATATTGAAATTTTGATGGTAATTGCTATAAATGTACCGTTCTGTTATACTGTTATGTTAGCAGAATCACAGCAGTTCAAATTGTATAAATCATTATAGCAACTGTTACTTTTCAAAGAAGTTCTAATTTTTCAAAAAGGTATTTAGGATGATACAGTACTAATTCTTATAGGCTTTATAGAAACCTATCAAATTGTATAGAGAATTTTAAAACAACAATAATATAAGAATTGTTAGAAATTTACCAATCAAAGCAATCATAGCACTACTTACTTTTACTGTCTTTAAAACTTGAACTATTTTATTGCAAGTATTATAGCCAAATATAAAGCAGTGCAACTATAGAATATACAGCGATTTATGGAGAACATTTTTGACAGTCTTGCAGTCATTGCTATAAATATAGTAAATACATATTATATTCGCTATAAAATATAAATTGTTAAAACACAGTATAAGACAAACATAGAATTATAGTCATTTATAAAATATTTTGTCCCAAGGATGTGTGATCTAAATTTACTGCTTGGTATATAAAAGAATCCTTTGCTGAGCGACAACTCCGAAAACTGAATAAAATGCTTGTCATTTATATTCGAATTTCGGGAAATATGTTATATTTTATAAAATAAAAAATAACTTTAAAAATTAATTTAAAAATGGCATGATTTTCTTCAATATTTAATAGTAATAAATCACATAATATTGATTATTGATTGAAAAAAAAATTAAATACGTGATATGTGATAGAAATCTATGCTACTTATTATACCAATTATTATTTTCTGATTTTTATTATGTGCTCTTTTTATACATTTTCTGTAACTGGAAACTGGAATCATAATTCATAGCCCCTTTTTTTTAAATATACAAGTTGTGGTGCAGAAGAAAAGCTACCTAATGTAATATTTCAATATGAAAGACTTCTTTTAAATAAATTCTTAGAGTTTTAAAATGTTATTGCCTTGAAAGGTCATTTGACCTTATCCCTAGCCATCTCGTGCACAGATTTTCGCTTCATAATTTTCAGTGATATTCTGGGAGAAATTTACCTCATGTTCCTGGGAACATTAACTTGCCCTGGGTGTCAAGGGCGGCGTTGTGTAAGGTGGTGTAAGTGCTTAAATTGAGCTTCGGGCACGCTCAGAATGCCATCAACCAGCAGGAAACATTTTCGGGGGATTGCAAACAAAACACCAAGCCACGGACATGTTTAGTTTTTATCATTCGCGCATTTGTTAGCGGACTCGTGCTTGCCAGTGACCCATTGCCCACATTCTCTCTGCTCCCCCAGTCCAGAATATCAAACTTTTCTGTTGTTGGTAATCTGTTTGATTGTCCCTCCTAAACTCTCATTTGTTTTGTGTCCCCACCTCCATAATTTCCCCCACCAAAAGGTTCTGGTTTGAGTGTAAGCGGATCCAGGGAACCGGCAATTGACACGCGGGCATTACACATTGAAAGCATTTTGCAAACTCATAATCCATCTTCCCCATCTTTGCCAACTAAAAATTCCACCTGAACTCAATTGAGTTTATTTTCAAATGGAGCTTAACTGCACTTTCGCACGGATATTTCAGACATTCAAGTGGTTTGATGACACCCTTGGAAAAAGGGATTCCCTTAGCAAAAACCATAAAATGCTTATTTAACCATTACTGGAATGCAAGATGCCATAGTCGAAGCTATAAATATCCTTTTATTTAAATTATTTCAATGGAACTTTGATTTATATATATTGGTATAAGAATCCAGAGATATTGCAAGAAGTAGTAAGTAATTAAAGAGTTGTAAATATTTATAGTTTGAGTGAGCTCCAATTGGGTAAAATAAATATATAAATCATAAATATAATATTAATATTGTTGTGCCTTCTGATATTGAGTTTTATAAATAGTTGGATAAAGTTTACTAAAAATATTGTGTAAAATATTTTAAAATATTTTCAAGGCACCTTCAAGTTTATTTAAGAGAACCTTCTTGTCTTTGTCGGGCTTAGCTTGGACTTCTCTTAACCCTCTCTTGTTCAGGATTTCCTCGGTTTTTCTCGGCGCTGGACACTCTCTGTGTCACTCGTTCTTACTCTCAGTAAATTGAGGACTTCTCTTGATCGTTGTCCTTTAATGAATGTTATCTTTTTTTATAGCTTCGTTAAAGGGTTTTAGTCTTAGAGCACATGTAGTGAAAGGCTTATATTATATATATTATTTACATCAAATGTACTAGCTGAAAGGATTGGTAAACCTATTCTCAAATCTATAAATACATTTGTGTTATAATTATTTCATTAAGTTTTACAAATCGTATCATGTTTTGTGCTGTGCAGTCACGTAGAGTAGTCCAGACATGGCAACCAGTCGGAATCTAGTTGGCCAAATGCGCCAAACTAATGACCGCATTAAGTAATTTTCCCCGCACTTTGGCCCCTTTGAATGGTCCACCGCCATCTGGGGTATCTCTGGGACTCTGCATCCCAGACAGAGGACTCTGAGTCGCATCGAGGGGTCTGCTGCTTGTTGTTCCTGCATTTAAATGGCTTACTCAATGGCGCTTCGTGGTAATTGGCTTTTGGCTTTGGCATGCCAACCAAATCGGCAAATCGGCCAAACTAAATGCATAACTAGTTTCGGCTTGGCAAGTGGATTCTGATGCTTGCTCGGTGGCTTCTGTAAATTCGAATTTTGACTTTGTTTTGGGGAGAATGAGAGAGCAGAAGAATGAAATTAGTTGGGATTATCCTTCGGCGGGGATGTACACAATGGAGGGATTTTTTTAAAAAAGGAAGCTCGTATCAAACGCAAATTGCCTTGTTCGAAGCGGGAAACATTTGGAGTTTTTACGGCTTTGGCGGTAAACAAATCCCGAGGCGTTGTTGAGATTTTTATTATTTAATTTATTTCGGTGTCAGTTTAAATGCCATTTATTCATGTGTCAAGTGCCTGCAATTGATTCTGTTTTGGGTCTCCCCTAATGGATTATAGATAATGCCAATGTACGTGCTTTCACAGATAGACATGTTTAGCCCAATTTTCTGGCCACCGAGCAAACGCACCACAAAAAAACAAAATGGAAAGGAAAGAAAACCATAAACGGATACCAAATTAGCATTTTTTGTGGATTCGATTTGCTCGCCTGAGTTTATATTTTCTTTGGTTTCATTTTTGCCACAGTCGTGTGCCCTGGGCCACACTTTTCCCCTTGCTTTCACTACGGAAAGCTGTAACTGTTTTCCTTTTGGCAGAACGCAACGTGTTTTCTGTTTATCCTGGCTGGTTTGCACCTTTTACTCGAGATGCCTGTTCGTCCTTGGAGGCTGCGTCTGTGTCTGTGTGTGTGTGTGTGCTGCGGCTTTCACGGGTATTTCACCGTTGGCTGTTCTCGCTAAATCTCCACCCACCTAAACCTCAAACCACAGAGGCACCCAAAAAGCACCCAACCATATAGAACTGCCACAACCGCTGCCTCTGCCGCTCTTCTGACAAACAAACGCAAGTGAATTTCGCCCAACAATCGAATTTCAGCGGCTTTCAGTGGCTCTGAGACCACCCAAATCCTTGTCCTTGTTCGGCATATCCTTGCTTGGCTTCGACAGGCTGTATTTGAGTTCGAGTCAAGCAATAAAGATGATTGGGCACTTGTGATTAGTGGCGGAAGGGCGGAAAGCAATTCCCCCTCACAACTACCCAAGGTGCACACGACAATGGCCTCTAAAGACGTCGCCTATAAAATGGGAGTTTTCTCTTTCGATTTCGTCGTCTGAGCCGCACCCGGTGCCATTGCCGGCCATTATTTCATTCAAGTTTCAAGGCAGCAGCCGCCGCCTCATTATGGCTTCATTAACACGCAGCTCGCTGTTTCTGCCTCTCTATAAACCAAAAAGTTTATTCTGCTCTGGCTAATGGCAAAAACTCGTCACGCACTCTCAGCCAAAAACTAAAAACTTTATTGTCACTTGTGCGGAATAGAGGCAAACCAGAGACACCAAAAACATCCCAACACACACACACAGAGAAAGCAGCCACACCCACGTAGCAAAAAAAGGACGAAAATTGCAATTGACAAGATTTAAGCATGGTCTGAATAAAGTTTTGTGTCGACAGTCTAAGACACTTTTCCGAGCTGCATAGACAACACAGCCAAATGCAACTGAAACTTTTTCCAGTTTCAATTTTCCCCTTCCTTCCACAAAACTTTCAGTGCAATGGGGCTCAAAGATATTTCTATTGATTTGACCGACTCCAGGTGGCCACTTGGAGAAATACATATACTTTTATGTTTGCCAAAATGAGCAATGAGTGTTGGGGATAACATCAAATTGCCAATAAGTTTTG